AAAAAGGGAGTTTTACTAAAACACCCAAAATGGGGGTTGAAATTATAAAAAAACCCAAGCACTATTTAAACATATAAACACACCCAAAACTCATCATTACACACACTCAAAACCCATTTATAAACACACCCAAAAAGTTGACTTTGGGGTTGATTTTGGGTGTGTTTCTATGTTTAAATAGTGCTTGGGTTTTTTTATAAATACATGTCTAGGATTGGGTTTATTTATAAATTTGTATTAAAAAAAAGGCTAAGGTATTACCTAATTACATGTATTAAATTAAAGAAGTTGGCCAAAAAACCAAAGTAAAGAAACTAATTTTATATTTAAAAAATTTAAAAATAAAAAGCAAAACAACCTCTCCCGATGAAATTTCACGAAATTTCGTCGGCACAAGTGCATAGACCTCTCCCGACAAAAATACCTTTGCCGACGAAACTTCGTCGGGGTAAACCTAATCCGGCAAATTTTGTCAGCATAGACCTCTACTAACGAAATTTCGTCGGGAGAGGTTTTCTTAAAAAAATAAATATAAACTTAGTATCTTTAGGTAAATAATTTTTTAAAAATAAATTATTTTCAGTAATTGAATAATATCCTAGCCTGATTTAATTATTTTCATTAGTAATTATGTTCTAACTATTATTTCTCTAATGAATAATTTTTATTAAATACTAATTATTCACTAAGTAAACAATAATTAAAACATAAGTAATTAAAAAAGAGAAATTCAGATTATGGTATTTATAGAGTATAGCCAGGCGGCGTACCTTTACAATATTCTATTTGTATAGTATCGTCATGCGGCTATACTCTTTAATCATCTAATGGGTGCCTTTTTAAATAACTCTGGGAAAGTAAAAAATCAAAAGGGGACAATAGCTATATCTTAGTAATGGCCTAAACGTAATGAATATTGCTCAAGACTAAAGGAAAATCATGGAGAAAAAATTTAAAAAACAAAAAGGCACCCATTAGATATTTAAAGCGTATAGCCGCGCGGCTATACTCTACAAATAGAATATTTTAAAGGTAAGGCCGCACGGCTTCGGGAAGAATCACTCCCAAACGAGCCCTAAGTTTATATTTATTTTTTTAAGAAAACCTCTCCTGACGAACTTTTGTCGGCAAAGGTCTATTCCGACAAAATTTGCCGGATTAGGTTTCCTCCGACGAAATTGCGTCGGTAGAGGTATTTTCGTCAGGAGAGGTTGTTTTGCTTTTTATTTTTAAAATTTTAAAATTTTAAAATATAAAATTAGTTTCTTTAATTTTGTTTTTTGGCCAACTTCTTTAATTTAATACATGTAATTAGGTAATACCTTAGCCCTTTTTTAAATTACTTTAATCAGTAATTATGTTTTAATTATTATTTATTTAGTGAATATTTAAATATTTTACTGATTTCGTAAATTACTTGGTAAATAGTAATTAATTGTTTTGAATTATTTTGTGGACTTTGTTTTTTGTTCTTTGATATTGAATAATCATTAAAATACGTGCGTACTTTGTACAATACGTGTACTATACGTTTGCTTTTATTATAACGAGTCTTTAAGACGTATATGGAAAATAGAAGTATAATTGAAAAATATGTATGTACGTGTATAATATGAGTATTAAATGGGGAAATACAAAATTCTTTATACGGGTAATAACTCTGGGAAAGTAAAAAAATCAAAGGGGGACAATAGCTATACCTTGGTAATGGCCAAAACATAATGCATACTACTCCAGACTAGTCTTATTGACAAAGGAAAATCATGGAAAAAAAATTTTAAAAACAAAAAGGCACCCTTTAGATATTTAAAGAGTATAGCCGCGCGGCTATACTATACAAATAGAATATTTTAAAGGTACGGCCGCCCGGCTATACTCTATAAATACCATAATCTTAATTTCTCTTTTTTAATTATTGTTTACTTAGTGAATAATTAGTATTTAATACAAATTATTCTCTAGAGAAATAATAGTTAGAACATAATTACTAATGAAAGTAATTAAATCAGGCTAGCATATTATTCAATTACTGAAAATAATTTTTGTTTTTAAATTATTGACCTAAAGATATTAAGTTTATATTTATTTTTTGAAGAAAATCTCTCCCGATGAAATTTTGTCAGATTAGGTTTTCCTCGATGAAATGTCGTCGGTAGAAGTATTTTCGTCGAGAGAGGTCTGCGCACCTGTGCCAATGAAATTTCGTGAAATTTTGTTGGGAGAGGTTGTTTTGCCTTTTATTTTTAAAATATTAAAATATAAAATTAGTTTCTTTACTTTTATTTATTGGCCAACTTCTTTAATTTAATACATGTAATTAGGTAATACCTTAGCCTTTTTTTTTAATTACTTTAATTAGTAATTATGTTTTAATTATTATTTATTTAGTGAATATTTAAATATTTTACTGATTTCGTAAATTACTTGGTAAATAGTAATTAATTGTTTTGAATTATTTTGTGGACTTTGTTTTTCGTTCTTTGATATTGAATAATCATTAAAATACGTGCGTACTTGTACAATACGTGTACTATACATTTGCTTTCATTATATGGCCTGCTCTGCGTTTGGTATTGGCCAAAAATCAAAGATCTATTGACCTAACGAGACAGGCAACAGAGACGTTGGCATGCCATTTGCATTTGTGAAAGAATTTTTAACATTGCATTATGTGATATGTGAAAGGATGTCAATGGTAACAATGAGTTTGGCTTACTGAGTGTTTCATGCAGGTAAATCCGAAATGTTAAAAATCTGCAGAAAGCTCAAACCCACCTACTTAGTGATGCTATCCAGTAGTAGATCCTTGTACGATTTCATTCGTGATTCACTGGCTTATTTACTTTTCACTCTCTGTGCATTGTGGTTTATCAATCTGCCTTGCTATATAGTTAACTGGTTTGGTGAGAGATGGCCACAGTAGAACTGCATTGGAAGAACTTCTAGAGAGGAACAGGAGTAGCCCACCACTTGCAGATACAATGTATAACATTACTCGTAGGTCCTACACTGACAAATTTGCTTTTAAATAATTTTTTGTCTTGTTTTGTTTTAGTTCTAGTTATATTTCATATTCTCTCTCCCCTGTTTTTTTATTTTTATAAACATTGTTTTTACCTCTGTCTCTCCTTTTAATTAGAAAACATAAAACAAAGATAAAAACTTCATCGAACACTCTCCAGTTGATTGTATCTATGCATGAGAGAGAGAGAGAGAGAGAGAGAGAGAGAGAGAGAGAGAGGTACCTTGGTATCAAATTATTAATTTGGTGGGGTTTCAGGTTGTTAGCATAGATTGATCCGCAAGACGTTACTTACCTAACTAGTTATTAGAAGCTCTGTTTATTTTATTGTTAAGCATGATTGGCGGTTAATTCTATGCCACTAAGTGACATAGGTCTGTGTCAAGCATCACTGTTCCGTTATTCAACCACTCAGAGTTGAGATGATGGATCTTTAGTTTATACTCCAATTTTGTTTGTGAAGTTTCCATATCTTGTTCTCGCATTGCATATCTGCTTACCCTTTTCACCAATTTAGCATAAACTTTTATGTTGCAAGTTTGACATACAGTGTTGATCTATTACACAACACATTAAACTTATGGGATCACTGACATGGTATCAGAGATTCTTTGCAAGTGATCCTAAGTTCTACCCGTGTTCTCCACTTCTTTGTTGGTTTGCAATTGACGTATGGGGCTGTGCTTATATGTTTGTCCCTTTCCGGCCATACACTGTTTGGAGCCAGTGCTTGTCTAATAGTAGGAACTTTGAATTAGTTAGAGAATTTAGATTAAACTTTTGCATTTTGTACTACTAGCACATATAACTATACATGAAGCAACAGATTGCACCTATATTTGTTTAATAAAACTGATATTTCCCCATTTGCCATTAAGGTTGACTTTTGAATTTGATATCTTTGTGTAGTGGCAAATGTTAATCTGTTTCTGCACAGACACAAGTGAGAAGTGATATAATCTGAAACATAATATAAGATTGTTTCTGATATCCTAGAAGAAAAGCATAGCATGTGACATTTCGCAGGAGTGCCATGGTGTTTGTAGGTTTCACGTTCACCCAACTTGTGCAGAGTTGGCAGCCTTGTAATGAGTCTCACACTTACAAAAACAATGCAAGAGGTGGTCGCATTGTGCCTGCCTCCATTGAAGACTTTTTTTTAGGGAAATGATTTTAAAAATAAAAAATATTTCGTTTTGGTTCTATTTACTTTTCATCTTCTCTTACATCTGTTTTTTAAAATATAATTGAAAGCTTCTCAAAACTCTCGTTTCTCTCTCTTCTACCTCTCTCCTTTAGTTAGGAAACATAAAACAAAAATAAAAACTTCATCGAAGTGATCAAGAGAAACTACCTTCTCCTCTTGATGGTATCTAAGAGAGAGAGAGAGAGAGAGAGAGAGAGAGAGAGGTACCTTTCATCAGAATGCTAGAGCATCAATTGCCACCATCGATCATCTTTGTAGGGTTGTTAGCAATTATTGTGCATTAAACTAAAAGTATATGGAACAAGAAAAGAAAAGAAAGAAGACACTTTTTCTTCTCCTTGTTTTGCCTCTATTCTTTATATAGAATCTAGAAAGTTCAAATGACTAATGCCTGCATTTTGTCCATACATACATGCAGTTGATCATTGCCTAGGAAATGCTATGCTCTTTTTGTTGTTACCCAATGTAAGACTAATTAACAATGGTCTTCATCTTAGAAATTTTGTGCAATGAAATTAACGCTTGAATAATTCTGGTGTATGTAACGAAGCAATTTCAGTTGTATTGAAGAAAGGTGACAATGTTTAATTACAGGAGGAATATGTACCCTGTAGAATTTACATGGAGGAAGAAGGAAGAGGAAATTCATAAACTAACCCACTTTCGTCAAAATCAATTTGATCTTGAGTACTAATGCTGGAGTAGTAGTACTAATTAAAGGACAAGAATAAAATCATGAGAAACTTAACAATTAAAATTGCTTCTCATTTGCTAATTAGTTTCTTCTAACTCACCCGTAATCATAGCTAGCCTTCGAAAGGTGTCTTTATATTGTCCATGTGACAAGGCCGGATTTTGAACACCATTCACACTTCCTCTGTTTCCTGTGGATGTGGAACTGGACGTAGACATGTCCCCAACTAGAGGAGAAGAGAATTTGGAAGAAGCTGCTACCTGCATGCACAAGGAACCATCACTCCATGAATGTTTCTTGGGAAAGGAAATGTTCCTTTGGCAAGCATTCGAGCAAGCACCCCCTTTGGATTTGTGAAGAGCACAACTACAGTTCTTATGGTAAGGCCTTCGCTCAATTTCGGTGTCTCTCATTGACAGGCTTCCTTCAAACACACACTGAAACATCATCCCAGCAACTCCTGCGCTAGTCATTCTATTCTTTTCTCTTCTCTGAATCTCTCAAGTATTTTATGTTAAGGCTGGCTGTGAGCAAGTGTAGCTAAGTGTTCTGTGTATGGCAATTGTGTGTTGTGTTTGAGTGTATTGAAACTTTGCATGCTTTCTAAAGCATTTATATAGAAAAGGGGAGTAATGTATGATAAATTAGGTGTGGGGGAAATCAAGAAAGTATCTTTGTGCTATTGCCTTGACGTACCCGTGTTGAACTCAAGACAAGTTTAATTCGTAATGGGATTCATGGCAAAGTGGAAAAAAGAGCTAGACAAGCGTTTTCTTCTAGGGAGAGTTCATCTTTGTGAACAGGGCTCTAATTTTCCCACAGAATGAGACAGAGAAATATGAAATGCTCGACTTGGCTTTTTGTTTTTGCGGCTCGGCTTTGGTATCTATAATAAGTATACTATTGGTGCGGTTTATTGTTAGCTTAGATTGATCCGCAGAGACGTTATTTACCTAACCAGTTAGAAAGGCTGCTCCTTTTATTATTAGGAATGTTTGGCGGTTAACACTATGCAACTAACATACATGTCTGGGTCAAGCATCACTTTTCGTTATACAAGTTATTGTCCTGCCAATCACTGACTTGCACACTTAACATGATTTTGTGCTTTCATTATTATATTAGCCTTCTCCACTTAGAGGTGAGATGATGAATCTTTATTTTTTACTGTAAGTTGGTTTTTCAAGTTTTCATCCAATGTTCTTGCTTTGCATATTTGCTTTCCAAGTTTCTCACCTCTTTGTTGGTTTCTAAGGTGCACAGTGGAGCTGCACCTATATGTTTGTCTCTCTCTTCGCATGTGTCTCTCCGCATGCATGACGGATTCGCACGTCTGGGATTTTAAGTTATCAGGGCAAGTGGTTGTCTAAGAGTTGAAGCAGTGAATTAGTTCGAGAATTAAATCCAGCTTTGGCATTTGGTACTTGTAGCACATATAGTTTTGTACGTACAATTGAGATTTCCCCAGTTGCCACTAAGGCTGACTTTTGAATTGATATCTTTGTCTAGCTAGAAGTTATAGTTTGATACAATAAACAACTGAGTAGCCACATATTCTGATATGATCTTGCAATTTCGTCGTTTATAGCAGAAGAAAACTTAAATTGGGAGGAAGGAAATGCTGTTGGGAATGCATATTATAAAAGTGAGCATCATTTCTCATTTTTCAACATTGCCTTTCTGTGCGTTTAAGCAACATTCTGCACAAATTGAATTGCATTTGGTGTGTCCAAGGATACTTGTCCTGTTTGACTGATCAATTTCATTCTTTTTTAGAGGTAATCTGCCTTTTGTCTCATTTCCATATTAAGAGCAGATAGAATTTCATCCTACTGTCTTTTTTTTTGGTAATCAGAAAATGTCTTCTTTATAGAGACACAGTCCTTGCCAACAGTATACGTACAAGTGACATAATCTGAAACAAGAGATTTTCTTTTCTTTTTTTTTCTTTTTTTTTCTTTTTTTTTCTGGTATCCTAGAAGAAGAAATATATATGGCATTTTTATTTTTATTCTTTTGATTGAAAAAAAAAGTGAGAAAGGAAAGGGGATCAAAGATGTAAAAACACTGCGAAAACAATGTGAAACTCACAATGTAAGAGATGGTTGCATTGTCTCTGCCTCCGTTGAAGACTTTTTCGAGGGAAAGATGTGAAAGAATGTACAAAATAATTTTTAAATGAAAATGAAAATATTTTAATATTTCTTCTCTTACCTTTGTTTTTATTTTTATTTTTTATTGACATCTTCTCTTACGTCTGTTTTAGTTAGAAAACATGAAACAACAAGAAAAACTTCATCAAAGTGATCAGGAGATTCCATCTTCTTCGTTTGATGGTATCTATGCACGCTAACTAATGATGAATTTGATCTTGGCAACTTTGTTGCAACACAAGGGACACTAGAAAAGAAAAGTTAAAATGGAAACCAAGACAAAACAATTTTGCTTGGGTAAAAAATGCTATTGACTTGTACTGTTCTAGAGCTGAAACGATGTTCACAACATACATTAATTGTATATTTGAAGATTGTATAGAATCTAGAATGTTATGTAAAGAAATAGTAGAGTGTAGAATGGGGAAGAGAAGGGCATGTTGTAGTTTCAGACAACTGTATTCAAATCTGAGAGAAATGTGACAATGTTTTATTACAGGTGGAATATGTACTCAGTAGAATTTACATGGACTGTGGTGGAAGAAATAATTCCTCAAAATCAATTTGATATTGAGTAACTAGTGCACGAGAAACTAACAATTAAAATTGCTTCTCACTTCCTAATTAATCTTTTTAATTTCTTCTACCTCACCTGTAATCGTCGTATCAAGCTAGACTCTGAAAGGTGTCTGTCTATTGTCTATGTGATGAGGCCAGATTTGGAACACCACTGACACTTCCTCTGTTTCCTGTGGATGTGGAAGTGGACAGGGAGATGTTGTCTATGGGAGGAGAAGAGAATTTGGAAGAAGCTGTTGCCTGCATGCACAAGGAACCATCACTCCATGAATGTTTCTTGGGAAAGGATATGTTCCTTTGACAAGCATTCGAGCAAGCACCCCCTTTGGACTTGTGCAGAGCACAACTGCAGTTCTTATGGTAAGGCCTTCGCTCAATTTCGGTGTCTCTCATTGACAGGCTTCCTTCAAACACACACTGAAACATCATCCCAGCAACTCCTGCGCTAGTCATTCTCTTTTCTTTTCTCTTCTATGAGTCTCTAAACTATTTTATGCTAAGTCTGGCTGTGAGCAAGTGTAGCCAAGAGTGTTTGTGTGTGGAAATTTTGTGTTGTGTTTGAGTGTGTTGAAACTTCTGCATGCTTTCTAAAGCATTTATATACAAGTTGTGAAAAATGGTGTGGGGGAAATCAAGAGAAATATTTGTGCTATTATTGTTCCCACGTACTCTTGGTGAACTCGAGACAAGTTTAGCATGGGATTCTTGCCAAAGTAAGGAGACTAAGACAAACGTTTCTTTCTAGGGTAGTTAAACTTTGTGGACAGGACCTTAGTTTTTGCACACACATGTCATAGACTTGGCTTTTTGTTTCACGGCTTGGCCTTGGAATCTAAGTATTAATGGGGTTTGAGGGTTTTAAGCATAGATTGATCCGCAAGACGTTATTTACCTAATTAGTTATAAAAAGGCTGCTCAGAGTCATTTGATTATTAATTATGCATGCTTGACGACGGCTAAATCTATGCAGCTAATTAATTAACAAATGTATGAGTCAAGCATCATTTTTTCGTTATGCAAGTAAACGACATCCCCACTAATCTAATGCAACTCTCGTCGAAACTTAATATGATTTTGTGATTTCATTATTATATTAGTTTGCTCCAGTTAGAGTTGAGATGTTGGATCTTTAGTTTTTACTTCAATTTTGTTTTTCAAGTTTTCATCATTTTGTTCTTGCATTGCATATTTGCTTGCTGCAAGTTTGATATACATTATTTGTCCAACACCTTAAGCTTTTGAAATGGTATCATATACTTTGCAGGTGGTCCTAAGTTCAGTTGCTATTCCGCATTTCCTTATTAGTTTGTATGGTGCACGTGACGTGAATTTGCGCGTCCTAACTTTTGGGACTAATGGTTGTCTAACAGTTTAGGAACTTTGAATTGGTTAGAAAATTGATTAAACGTTGGCATTTTCTACCCCTAGCACATATAACTTGCAGACAAGACAACTTATATTTCTGAACGCTGGAGATCTGTTGTGTATCTTGTATTTTTGCACAGTTAGTTGTTCACTGATCAGTTGCTTTATGGTTGACCATGATAATTTTTTATTTTTCAATTTTCATCCCACCCAGATGTGGCTTTTCACTTGTCTTGATCACTCTCATTTTGGCTAAGCGATTAAGGAGTTTATAAATGGCATGATTAGCCACAGTTATCCATGGCATGATATCTTTGTTTGGACCATTTGGTATTGTCCAAAAAACTCTGCTAATCTGTTTCCGCAGAGACACAAGTGATACACCCTTCAAGGTTTTTTTACCGGCGTCCTAGAAGAAAAACAGAGCATATGACTTCTTTTTCTGTCCAAACTCACAATGGTTGAGGGTCCTAAATTCACAATGTGAGAGATGGTGGCATTTTCTATGCCTCCGTTGAAGACTTTTCGGAGAGAAAGATGTGAAATAGTACACAAAATGAGAATTAAAAATAAAAATAAAAGAAATCTTTTGTTTTTATTCTATTTACTTTTCATCTTCTCTTACCTCTGTTTTATTCATTGACATCTTCTGTGTGTCTCTCTCTCTCTCTCTCTCTCTCTCTCTCTCCTCTTCAGTTAGAGTTAGAAAACATAAGGCGCCTAGTTTTATTAATTTTTTATAAAAATAGTATAGCCGCGCGGCTCTACTTATTTTGACACATAGGCGCCTAAGCGCTGGTGGTTGTTCTTCTAGTTGCAGCTGCCATGTTCACCGTGCAGCTAGGTCTGGTCACAGCAGCAGCAGCAGGTATCTGTCAATATTTCTCATTTAATTTAATTTGGTGCATATATCTGATTCTATATATTAACTCATTTTAGTGTTGCATTGCGTTGCTTGCAGTTGCAGATGATAAGAATGTTATTATAATTAATAGGGAACTGAGAGAACGGCGGCCACCTCCATTTCGTCCAAAATCACCACTTGCAAACCGACAACCAGGCATGAGACTTCCTGCTCCCGATCCTCCACCTCCTCCTCCTCCTCGCCCCGCCCTCGCTTCCAAACAACTTCAACAATAACCGTGGCTGATGATGACAATAACTCATCATCTAACATGTTGCTGCTACTTCATCCAAAACAACAAACATGTTGCTGCTATGCTTTATGCTTTTCTTTTATTTCATATTTAGCAAATGGTGTTTCCTTGTTTTCTTCCTTCTGTAATTTGGCCCATAAATGGATAAGATTATTGCTGAGGGTTTTTTATTTTATTTTCTTGTCACTGGAAGCTAGGCGGGTCTTTTTTTTAATATATATATATATATATAGTACAGCCGACCTGCTATACTCGGTTTTTTAATTTTTATTAAAAATCGTATAGCCGACCGGCTATACTCTGTTTTATTAATTTTTCGTAAAAATCGTATAACCGCGTGGCTATACCTCTTTTGACACATAGGCGGCTAGGCGCTGGGCGCGTCCTTTTTGTTTTTGTTTTTTAATAAATCGTATAGCCGTTCGGCTATACCTCATTTTTTTAATGTTTAAAATAAAATAGTATAGCCGATCGGCGTTACAGGGTTTTTTGTTCTTAATTTTTCATAAAAATAGTATCGCCGTGTGGCTATACTCGGTATTTTTTAATAAAACTAGTATAGCCGTGCGGCGATACCCGGTGTTTTCAAAAAAAATTTAAATAATATAGCTAGTCGGCTATACGAGTTTCCTAATTTTTGAAAAAATATTTATTGCCGCGCGGCTGTACTGTTTTTCAGACGTGGCACCTAGACCGGGTTTTATATATATATATATATATATATTTATATATATATATATATTAAAATAGTATAGCCGTTCGGCTATACTCGTTTTTCTTCTTTTTTTTTCTTTTTTTTTAAAGGTATTTCCGGCCGGCTATACGCGGATTTTTACCAAATTTTTTTAAAAATCGTATAGCCGGTCGGTTGTACTTGTTTTTCCAAATTTTTTTTAATAAATGTATAGCCGCCTGGCGGTACCCGCGTTTGCAATTTTTTATAAAAAGGTATCGCCGTGCAGCTCTGCTGTTTTTACATGTGGTACATTGGCGCTAGGCGGGTCCTTGTTTTAATATATATATATATATATATATTATAGCCGCATGGCTATACCCGGTTTTTAAATTTTTTTATAAAAAAGTATAGCCAGTCGGCTTGACTCGAGTTAATTAATTTTTCGTAAAAGTAGTATAGCCGGCCGGCTATACCCGATGTTAACCGCTGCCATATTCATGGTTTTTCCTAATTCTGAGATATTTGTAACGCGGGTAAAAACTTTGTCGAAGTGATCAGAAGAATCTACCTTCTCCATTTGATGGTATCTATACCTCTGAGAGAAAGAGAAAGAGGTATTTTTCGTCAGTACCACCATTGATCTTCTTTGTAGCATAGCCGATCTTCTTTGTAGCATAGCCTAGGTAGCAATTCTTGCAGAAAAGAAAAGGAAACTCTTTTTCTTCTTCTAGTTTGGCCTCTATTTGCATATAGCATTATCAATGGCCTAAAGAATTTAAATAGTTCATGCCTGCATTTGGTCCATTCACATATGTAGTTGAACTGCCTAAGAAATTCTATGCCTTTCTGTTGCTGCCCTATGGAAAACTAATAAACGATAATCTTCACAGAATTTTTTCGGAACGATAGGAAAGCTAGATTGTTTTTAAGAAGGAACAGCAAAACAAAGTTTCCTTGGCTGAAAATACTAATTACTTCTAAGCTATCTACCAAAAGGGAAGAAAATAAATTACTTCTAGAGCCAGGTATAAATTGTGGAATGTAGACTGTCACCAATACATAAAAGTAGACTGTCAGACTCTTTGGTACTTGAATAAGTCTGTTTGCATGTATGCAGTTTCAGTGGTATTAAAGAGAGAAATGGGACAAAGTTTAATTACAGTAGAATTTACATGGATGGTGAAGGTAGAATACTAATTAAGGACAATAATAAGATCATGAGAAGCTATTCACAATTAAAATTGCTTCTCATTTCCTAATTAACCTTTTAATCTCTTCTAACTCACCCATAATCATAGTCGTATGATCAAGAAATCGTCTGAAAGCCTCTGTCTATTGTCTATGTGACAAGGCTGAATTATGAACCCCATTCACACTTCCTCTGTTTCCTGTGGATGTGGAAGTGGACGTGGACATGTCGCCTAAGAGAGGAGAAGAGAATTTGGAAGAAGCTGATGCTGCCTGCAAGCACAAGGAACCATCACTCCATGACTGTTTCTTGGGAAAGGAAATGTTCCTTTGACAAGCATTGGAGCAAGCACCCTCCTTGGACTTGTGCAGAGCACAACTGCAGTTCTTATGGTAAGGCCTTCGCTCAATTTCAGTGTCCCGCATTGACAGGCTTCCTTCAAACACACACTGAAACATCATCCCAGCAACTCCTGCGCTAGTCATTCTCTTTTCTTTTCTCTTCTCTGAGTCTCTAAAGTATTTTATGTTAAGGCTGCCTGTAAGCAAGTGTAGCTAAGTGTGTTTGGTACGGCAATTGTGTGTTGTGTTTGAGTGCGTTGAAACTTTTGCATGCCTTCTAAAGCATTTATATAGAAGAGGGGATTAATGTATGATAAATTATGTGTGGGGGAAATCAAGAAAGTATCTTTGTGCTATTGCTCCCACTGGAGACAAGCCTAATTAGTAATGGGATTCTTGCCAAAGTGGAAAGCAGAGCAAGGCAAGCGTTTTCTTCTAGGGCAGTTCAGCTTTGTGAACAGGACAGGACCCTAGTGTTTTCCACAGAGAGAGAGAGAGAGAGAGAGAGAGAGAAGCTCGGCTTGGCTTTTTTGGTTATCGGCTTGGCTTCGATATCTAATTAAGTATTAGTTAGTTGAGTTTCAGGCCGTTAGCATAGACTGATCCGCAGAAGAAGTTATTTAGCTAATTAGTTAGAAAGGCTGCTCATTTTATTATTGAGGCATGCATATGCTTGGCGGTTAACACCATGCAAATAACTAACATAGGTCTGAGTCAAGCATCATTTTTCGTTATGCAAAACAAGGGACCTACAAATCAATCGTGTGGAAACCTAACTAACATAGTTTTGTGCTCTTTCAATATTATTATATTAGATTCAACCACTTAGAGTTGAGACGATGAATCTTTGGTTTTTACTACAGTTTATTGTTCTTTGCATTGCTTATTTGCATACCCTTAGTTTCATTATTTAGCATCAAGTCCTAGAGGAGCTTTGCATTGGTTATAGCTTCATACAAGATCCAGCTGATTATTATTATTTAAACATACAGCAGATGTTAAAATGAAATTGCAAAGGAGTATTGTCATGTACTTGGTATTTGGATCAGATTTCTGCTGTCCTTTGATTATATATGCTTTATTGACTATGAGAATTTTATATTTTATACTTTTATCACACCCAAATAAGAATTTCACTTCTCTGCACTCTATTTTTGGCTAAATAATTGTGGGTTTTGTAAAGAGGATCATTAGCCAAAGTTAGATGCTATAGATGATCTATCAAAGTACTTCACCAATGTCCATGGCATGATGTGACTTTGGTTTGTTGCCATTCCTTCTAGATTGTGTTATTCTCACATGCATAATCTTGCAATTTCATCTTTTGTTGCTGTGAGCTGCTTTGCAGCAGAAGAATTACTGAAATTGGAAAATGCAGATTATAAAAGTGAGCATCGTTTTCTCACTTAGTTTTGTGACAGAGACAAATGGGATTTCATTTCCACATTGCCTTTCTGTCCGTTTTAGCAGCACATTTACACTCCAGAGAGAGTACTAATTAAAATGCATTTGGTGCGTCCGAGGATACTTGCCCATTTTACCTGTTTGACTGCTCATTCTTGGCTTTATGTCTCCCTTCCATATTAAGAACGGACAGAATTTTATTCTACTCTGAATTCTTTTTTGCTTTTATCTTTTTTAGTCGGTAATCAGAAGATGCACGTAAAATGTTAGGAATGAGACGTGAAGACTTTTCCGAGGGAAAGCTGTGAAAGAAAATGAAAAATTATTTGATAAGTTGTTTGAATGTTATTTACTTTTCACCTTCACTTACCTCTGTTTCTTCATTGACATCTTCTCTTGTTTCTATCTCTTCTTGTTTTCGAAGGAAAGAAAATAAAAGGGAACTAGTTTTCCTCTTCTTGTTTTTTACTACATTTGTGTATAGAACTCTAGAGACTTCAAATAACTCCTGCCTGCATTTTGTCCAATACATACACGTATTTCAATTGGCTAAGAACTTTCTTCGCTTTTTTTGCTGTTGCCCTATCTAAGACTATTTAGAGATGAATTTGATCTTTGCAACTTAAAAATTTTTTTTTAAAAAAAAACAGAACAGAACATAACCATTTTGCTTGGCTCAAATACTAATGACTTGTAGCTCTGCGATGCAATTATAAACTCAAACAGTCAGACTCTGAGGTACTTGAATAAGTCTGTTGTATGCAGTTTCAGTTGCATTGAAGAAAGACGACAATGACCTTTAATTACAGCAAGAATATGTACTCTGTAGAATTTACATGGACGAAGAAGGAAGAAGAAAATAACAAACTAACCCACAATATTTTCCTCGAAATAAAAATCAAAGTACTAAATAAGGACAAGAATAAGATCATGAGAAACTATTCACAAATAAAATTGCTTCTCACTTCCTAATTAACCTTTTAATCTCTTTTAACTCACCCGTAATCATCATTGTGTTAGACAGACGTTATCTGAAACTTTGAAAGGTGTCTCCATATCTACCGTCTATGTGACAAGGCCGAATTATGAATTCCCCATTCGCACTTTCTCTGTTTCCTGTAGATGTGGAAGTGGACATGGACATGTTGCCGACAAGAGAGGAGAATTTGGAAGTTGATGATGCCTGCATGCACAAGGAACCATCACTCCATGAATGTTTCTTTGGGAAGGAAATGTTCCTTTGACAAGCGTTGGAGCAAGTACCCCCCTTAAACTTGTGCAGAGCACAAGTGCAGTTCTTATGGTATGGCCTTCGCTCAATTTCGGTGTCCTGCATTGACAGGCTTCCTTCAAATGCACACTGAAACATCATCCCAGCAACTCCTGCGCTAGTCATTCTCTTCTCTTTCAATCTCTTGAATTAATTTGTGTGTAAGGTAAGCTGTGTAGCTACGTGTATTTGTTGTGTTCGACTGCTTTGAAACTTTTGCATGCGTTTCAAAAATATATATATATATATATATATTTATAGAAGTGGGGGATCCATCATCAATGTATGATAAATGGGGGTGGGAGAAATCAAGAAAAATCTTTGTGCTATTCCTCCCAGCCCAGGTACGTGCTCTTGTTCAGCTCGAGACAAGTTTATTGAGTAAAAGGGGTTCTTGCCGAAGTAAAAAAGACAACGTTTCTTTCTAGGACGACTGTTCAGCTTTGTAAACAGGGCCCTAGTTTTTCAACACATAGAGAGAGAGAGAGAGAGAGAGAGAGAGAGAGAGAGAGAGAGAGAGAGAGAGGGGCTTTTTTAGCATAGATTGATCCGGAAGACGTTATTTACCTAACTAGTTATTAGAAGTATATGCTGCTCTTTCTTATTTATTTATTATTAATTATGCAGGGGGTTGGTGGCTTAATCTATGCAACAAACTAACAAACAACGGTCTGAGTCAAGTATCACTTTTTTGTTAGTTATACAAGGCAAGTAAACGACCCACTAATCACTCGTGTGGAAACCTAATATGGTTTTGTGCTTAATTAATTATTATATTAGTTTGCACCACTTAGAGTTGAGATGGTGGATCTTTAGTTTTTACTTCAATTTTGTTTTGTCTGTCAAGTTTTCATCGATGTATGGTTCTTTCTTGCATTGAAATTTGCACATGTGCTTACCCTTTTCATTACTGTTTAGCATCAACTCTTAGAGGAACTTTGAATTGAGATTACACATGACTGCATCTGCATGCAAAGTGTTTGATATTTCCCCGTTTTTCATCAAGGTTGAGTTTCAAATGTGATATCTTTGTCAGTGGAGTTATAGCTTCAGACATTAATATACAAGATCTCACACAAAAACTGAGTTTCTTATACAAACAAACAGCAGATACTCAAAAGAAAGTACTGCAATTCAAGCCCTACAGAACTAGAACGAGATATACATTCAGATTTCTCTTAATGGTGCTGCTTTCACTGATCAGACTTAACTGGAATTCTTCCTTTTGTTTTGCAAATCTAGAAATATTATAAGTTCCCCACCAGACCAGGGTTCAAAACGTGCCAAGCAACCATCAGAAGAAGAAGAACCAACCAAGGAATTGGGAGAGAGATGATAATCAGAAGGAAAGGAACAAGCGTCTGTTACTGTTAGTAGAGCACGTGAGACACCTTCTGAAACTTCAATTTAAATCAAATATTGTCCTCAATAGGCAATTATTTTCAGATACGACAAACGACCCTGGGGCCAATTCGCAAATATTGACAAGAAAAAAGAAACAAGGGTACTTTTGTCTATCCATACTTATTTTTTTACGTTTGCACGCGTGAACCCACGCGTGTTTCCCTGCCCCCCCTCTCTCTCTCCTCTCCTCTCAGTCGCAGCATCTCATCTCAACAGCCATTTTCTCGTCTTAGCAACTATTGTGTTGAGGTAAATAGCGTAGCCATGCCGAATACGAGAAAATGAGCAAAAATAAAGATTTCGATTTCGACTGCAGCAGCTGATCACAGCTTTGGTGGACAACCGACCTGACCTTTGGAGCACCTTCACCCCAAAAGGCAAGGACAAGGTAAAGGCAAAACAAAGTTTGTTACTATTTACGTGAATAATGATAGTCTTTGTCTTTTCTGTTTTCACTCCAAAGGTAAATGGCAATTACTATTTACTTTAATTTATTTTTTATATTTTTTATACTTAAACCATTAATTTTGGTGTAAGAAGTGAAGAATATGACTAGGTATTTATTTTTTGAAAAAAATTATGAAATTATTGGTTTTTTTATAGATTTTTTTCTTTTTTTAAAAAAAATTGTTGATGTCATTAATGACGTTAGCAAACTTAGGCAAGATTTGCCTTTGGCCCTACCCAGGCTTGTGGAGCCCACCAGCTGCCCAGTCTTGCTGCTCGGGTAAAATAGGAGCGATGGAGCTGCTCTTAGAGCACTTTCGGTCATCATTTGGCACATAAACTCATGGGCCAATGGGGCCCGTCTAGCCCATCAAGAAAAAGCTCGACCCAATTTGGTGTGGGTCACGGGCTGATCCAGCCCATTAGTTAGTGGACTAGATTTGGACTAGAGTGTCCTCTCGGCTGATAGGGCCTTACTTGTAGATCATGGAGACGGTTGTAAGTGCTCTCCAGATGTTTGAAGACAGGCCTGATTCGTCAATTGGAAGTTTATGGTCTTCCAATATTAGGATATTCAGTATTAATGTTATGTTTATCAACTTATCATATACTTTTTGTTTGTTTGTTTCTAATATCATCTAATAATATTAGGATATTCAAGAAATTGCTGAGATGAATGGGTTTGTTTGTTTCTGATATATTGTGTTGGTATTTGAATAGGAATAAATTGTCCAGTGAGAATGCCGACAAAGTCTACAATACAATAAAAGGGTGATAAACATAGAAAACAAAAAAACAAACAAACAAAAAGAAGGCCCATTTACCCCGGCTTGATTCGATGGGTTTGCTCAGGCCTAGCTCATGGGACGGGCCTAGGCTTTGAATTATCTGAAAAATCTGGGCCAACCCAACTCATTATTTTCTCTCTCCCTTGTAAAACTAAGCTGGCCTAGCTCAAGCCCATAAAATTTGAGTGAGCCTAGCCTAGCCCCGCCCAGTTACAACCTCTTCCACCTATCCCCTGACAAAATGGGACCTAGGCTTAAAAACAACACCCACTAAGAAAAAATTATCATGACAAGAAGTGGGTCCCATGAAACTGAGCAAGCCCAAACTAATTCCCATTAACTTTCAGTTGCAGATTCATCCCATACCAAGTTTTCCATTGATTTATAGCAAAGTCTACATCTTTCTATTATTTGATGGTTGATAGTTTTTATGTATGTCATATTATGTTACATGATATTTAGATTCTTTTTTTTAATATATAATTGTGGTTTTCAAATTGATTAAATTTGGGTTAATCATTCTTAAACAATTTAATAAAGCTACAATGAGTCTGTATGGTTGGAGGAAAAAACAGTTTGAATCGAGCAATACATAAATAGTTGTCTTTTATATGGTGAAAATTTGAGTTTAGCCCCAACATTGCTAGAGATGGTCGTAGAGATATCATTTAGTTATAGAAATTGGCCCAATTTGTGGTTTATGTGCTGTGTAAGTTGACTCTTCATTCATATCACTTATGGATAAACATGTGGGAAATAATTTGTAATTTTTTTCTATGTCACTAAGATGAAGTGTTCTAGAGGCTTCAATAGTTAGAATATGTTGTTTTTTTTTACAAGTTGTTGGATTGTCCCTACATTTCCCTTTAGTTTATGTTCTATTGTCATATGAGGCTGTGAATAGCATGCTGTTTGTTGACGCTCAGCATGCACCGAGCCTGTTCGCGCAATAAAAACACCACATGTGGGCCTCGCGCACTGCACCGGCAGAAACGAGCAAATCTCCCTCGGCCTCGGACTTTGAGCTGCCTTAGAATATTCAAGATGATGCAAATCGGCCACATCGATGACAAGACCCCCTCTTACCGCCAACCCGCCGTACCTCATCAAGCATGCCCACGTCCCTTCAAAAGCCAGGTGTAAATTGCCCAATTCACCACCTCACCAGATGGGACTGCCACCGTGCGTAACAGGCTACTCTGCCCATGCCCGCCCCCTAGTTGAAGTATAAAAGGGTCATCATGAGCAGAAGACATGGACGAACCCGTGCCATCATTTGACAGATCTGATGTGACACAAATGGCTCCGCTCCGAGCCGAGGTGGCCGGCTTATAAATTAATTCATTTAGGTTTCTCCTAAAAATAGAGCTGAAGTTTTATGTAGAAGGGGACGACTTGAACCCCTTCAATAAAAAGAGACAAGCCTTGTTCCTTCTTGGCAATCCATAACTCATTTTCCATTAAACACCTCCTCTCTTGGAGTTACGTTAAGAATAATTGTTTCTTCATATGTTAGCCACTGGAATATCTGTGGTTCAAACACTGTTTATATTGAATTTGATGCAGAAACCAATGGCATTGGCATGGCTATTTGGTACTTCCCATGAGTACCTTTTGGCTTTAATTAAAAGGACTTAGATTGGATCCTCTGCTATATTAACATTCGCATTCCAAAGATGCAGGAATTGAATATGAATATATATTTTGTTGGTAATGGTAATGAATTAGGGATTACATTGCAGTCAACAAAATGATGTAGTCCTCTCCTGTCCTTTGTCTTTGTGTTCTCCGCCTTCCTATGTTAGATCATGTACTTGACGCCTTTGTCTATGATGTTTCCTTTGCTCACTACTTGTTTCAGTTTTGTTTTGGCAGTACCTGTGACTCTGAGCTTTGGAACCAAGAACTATATTTGGCACCACCTGATTTCTAGTTTGTATCTTCAATGTACCATTTTCTTGATACACACAGACAATTTATTACAAAGACCCCTGCAATTCGAGAGGCTGTGTATATTATTATTATTCATTTTTTTCGTTGTTGTTATGTCATGTGACATTTTGTCCTTCTCTCTCTCTCTTCCATTCCTTGTGGTACCATCCCCAACCAAGCCAGCTTCAATGAAGACTTTGAAAAAGATAGTATTTTCAATTGATAATAACAATAATCTGAATTCTGAAACGAGAGTGTGATTGAGACCACACATGGACAGCAGAACAGAACATGGATACCATTTTCATTTCTTCTGTTTGCTTTTTATTTTCCTCTGTTTCTGTTTTTAATTTTTATTTTCCTCTGTTTCTGTTTGGTAAAAGCCGTTATGGACGGAATGGAACGTGTTGATGGAACATGGTAGTAGCCGACCAAATGAGCCATCCAGCCAGGAATACGTGTGTGGCTGTTGCTGCACCATTTGTATTCTATAATTTTATTCGCATTTGATTTGATTATTTGCTAAACACACACACACACACACTCAAAGGCTGATTCTTACAATTTACAACCTGGACTGGACTGGACCACTACTCTAACTCTAGCCTTTCTTTTCTTTCTTCTACCTAACTCCACTGCAATTTAATCTCGGATCCAGGAAACTCCAGAAAAACCTGATCAAAGATCCCATCTGATCTGGGACATCTATGTGTGTACATTTTTATATGTTTATGGCACTGATTCCAATGGAATATCAGCACCTAAATCCCCAGTTTTGGTTTTGAATCAAGGAGATTGAGGAACAAGAGGAGGATCCACCAAAAATCTAGAAAGTACTCAAAAATTAGATTCATAATTACAAAACTAGATTGTGAAATCTGTCAACTGGGCTCCAATAGTTATTAGAACAGAGTATATGTACTTATTTGTAATGAGGATCAAAAGAGTAGTAGTATTTAGTACTCATCATCATATATAGACTAGTACAAATCAAACCTTGAAGAAAACAATATTCTCATCTTCTTCCTCCTCCTGATCATCATCACACAAAGTACCCAATTGAGGATGCTGCTGCTGCTGCCTCCCCACCGCCACCACATGATGATGCTGAGCAGGTGAAGAAGAGGGAGAGGAGTGAGCAGAAGCAGCAGCCACCAATGCCAAAGAGCCCTCGCTCCAAGCCCGCCTCATTGGATATGACACCTTCTTGCACTTAGGCCCTCCGTGCGTACATTGTTTGTTACGTGACTTCTTATGCAGCGCGCACCCGCAGTTGCGGTGGTAAGGCCTCCGCTCCACCCCTACATCAGACCCTGCGATGCACCCCTCGTAAACACACCGGAATAGCCCGTCCGCGGCGGCTCCCGTGGAGGCCATGCGGAGGTCTTGATTTTTTTCTGTTTTGGAACAGGTCACAATGACAAAACAATAATGCTGTGCACCACCACCCTCTGAAAAAAGAAGTTTTTAGGGGTTACTAGGAAGAGAGGTGGGCATTTATAGAATATGACTATCGGGTAGTTATATAGTGAAAAACTACAAGGTTTCGGTGCCAAGACAAAAGTTGGTTGTCAGCTTTTGGGTTTGCTGTCTATGTATGTATGTATAATGTATCGGCATATGCGGCAGTAAATTAAGCGTTGAAGCCGTGTGTTTTGGTCGGTTAATGGACTCAGTACATGTCCACGAGGCTTGGCATGCAATTGTCCATGTGTCTACCAAGAGTTAGGAGAGAAATTAGGGTCTCAAGTTACCAAAAAATACAAAACTCATAATATTAATTCAGGATATATTAATGTAGCTTGAAAATGAAGAAATGAAATGGTGCCTTGTGCAGAATTAAAGCAGATATATTCACGCATTTAAACATTTTGGTGCCTGATTTCATTCCAGATTCTCAACCAACAACACCTAACAAGTGTTGTAGCATGTAAAACTGTAAAATGGGTTTTGCTTTGCTTGTTGGGATTAGGAGCCAGCCAACTTTCATTACTTAATTATGGACAATAATGAAAATTAATATTCATCTAAAGATAAATTAATTCGAATTTGGGATCGGATCTAGTCTAGAAACCAAGTAGCATGCAGCAGCAGCAGCAACATATGGACGAATTGTTTCTGTCATATCACGTGAGACTGGAAGCAAGCATTGTGAGGTAGCCATGGAAGAGGTGAGGCCAAGCCAACACCTCCTCATAAGAAACACTTACATAAGAAACACTTACATAATACAGGAATAGCACTACTTTGTTATATTCGGTCAATCACGATATGTCACGCGTGATAATTTTTTCATATAACAGACTATAATTAGTCGAAAACAACAAAACTGTATTATTTTCATTTTATACAAGTTTTTCAGCCTCAACTGGGGAAGGGGCTCTGGTGAGTCAATGCAATTTAAATTCACTGCAGGAAAAATAAAGTTAAGAGTAATTGGGCCTGCCGGACCTACAAATTAGACGCGTCATAATAATAAACACCCCAGTGGCTAGCAAAGTCAACATTGAACACTGATATTGCAGATTGAAGTTGCCACCCCACCTGTCAGTCAGTCAGGCAGCCTAGTGAAAAAACTATGGAGTTAATAAAGTTGGCAAACATTGTATTTGTAGAGGGGAGGTTTTTGGACCGTCTATCATGTAATAATAAATTTATAAAAATATCAATATCTGCCCTGCCGTGCCAATATGAATCTGGTAATGCCCCACTTGGAGTACACGTCTATTTAATTCATCGGTTTTCTTCATTCAGCTGCCTCTGCTCATCATTAGTCTTTACACCATTAATTGGCAACCACAAGTTCACAACCACAACCCAGCAAATAAAACGTACATGAAATATTAACAAACTAATAACCAACTAATCATCAAATCAAAGGGAGGAGAAGACCCATTTTTCTTTTACACCTCATCATCAATCAACTACCAATTTTGTGGTACGTATATACGCCTTTGCATTTATTTAGCTGGGCTATGGTCCACTGCCCATTATGGCAGCATGATCGGATGAGATACATGCCTAATAACAATATAGTTATAGTTTGGCGAGGATAGTGTGTCGCCTCTTTTCTTCGTAAATCTAATTAAGTTAGAGTTGTTTAGATTATCGCTTGCATGCGAAAAAAAAACAATAATAATATACTTCAATTTTAGTTGTGTGTGTGTTTTTATAAATTAAAAAATTAAGGGCAAAGAAAAAGCCGAGTACTGCTTCGGGCCAACCAGTACAGGAGAAGATTGCAACCGTTAGATCCAAGAACGGTTCGCAAATTGAATTAGTCAGTACAGGCCCACTTGAATTTGGGCACGGACCCTTTTACCTTGCCGGTAAGATTGGACCATTTTTCAGGCAGGCCTCATGGATTCTGCTAAGCATATTCTACTGCATTATTCTACAAGTCATCGACTGGTTTGATCTCCTCAACGGTCCAGATAGAACCGTACGCATGGGCTTTCACTGCGACTATAGAGATCCAGAAGACCCTTCTCTGTGTATCCAAAGCTCCAACTGGTCATATATCATCTGAGTTTCCGTTTCTCTGTGGAGGCAAAACGCGCAGCTATGGCGGGAGGAAGAGGAAGAGGAAGAAGAAGACCCAACAACAATGATAACAACAAAGTAACTTGGAGCAGCAGAAGAACATCATCGTTATCTTCATCAAAATCCAATGCTCGAGGAGCTCTGTTTGTGGATGGTGGTGTTTTATCTGATTGGTCATCCCCTCAAACCTCTCTTCGAGGTCCTTCCTTTATCTCTATCAATGATCATACTTTGCTAATTGATTCCCGGGAAAATAGAGGAAAGTGAGATGGAAAATGAAAGTTTTGATTCATTTTTAACCTATATTGAACTGAAGATTCTTACATCAGATAGCCAAAATTTGTTTGTTTTGATGAACTGGGTAAGAATTGATTTTATATTACCGTCCCAGATTGGAAAAAGTTCTTGGTTTTTTCATTATTCGTTTTTGTTGTTTCCAAAATTTTTCTGAGCGACCAAACAGGGATTTAAGAGATTGGACTTGTAATTGCTTCTATTTTTCCATTTGTTCTGATTCGATTTCCTCTGTGCTTCTGTTTTGGTTTTAAATTTCAGGGAAAAATCCGAGTTCGAATAACAAATCTGCCTCAAAATCGGGAGCAAAAGTAGCTTCTGGTTCTAAAAGTGAGTCTCGGAAATCTAATGTTAATGCTATAGGATATCAGTACCCTTCCGTTGAACGTCAGGTGTGTCCTATTTCTTCTTCTTTTAAACATTTCTTTTACAGTTTATCTTGTTAAATACATTTTAGCTGTCAGGATGCAACCTCAGCAATGTCAGAGAGCAAACGAGCTAAATTTATGTTTAGAGGGAGACTGTTATGAGATTGAAACTGATTTTCCTGTCTTTCATTTTTTTTTAATGGACTTGGTTTCGATATGCTTTGATGGTGAACAGGAGGGTTTGCCTCCAGGACTACACGAGGGCAATGATGTAGGTAAAAGTATGGACGAGTCCTGCCCTTTGGTTTTAGTTGATTTCAAGAATACCCAAATTGTAGCTCATGTGGACCAGACAGTAGCTTCAAGTCCCCACGAAGTGGAATTTACATATCAATACGGTTCAAGTTTTGTGTTAGGTGAAAGCTCTCATAGAGGGTTGGGGTTCTATGATGAACTTGAGGGAACTGCAAGTGGTATTGAAGCTTCGTCAAAGCAAATGGAAGAGCCGGAAGATTCATGTTTTGATTCGTTGTCTTCTGAGAAAGATATGGATGTCAATGAAGGGATGGATTGTGAAGTTGGCGATGAGATGGCTGAAGAGCTGCCAACAAACATGTCTCCTATGAAAAACTCAGGATTTTTGTCAATTGGAGGCATGAAATTATACACCCAAGATATTTCTGATGAAGAAAGTGAAGAAGATGAAAATGGAGACTCACCGTATGAAGGAAGCTCAGGCTCTTCTGAGCCAGGAGGAATACTTGGATCCTCTGAAAGTGAAGATTCTGAAGACACGTCTGATAGTGATTCAGATATAGATGATGAGGTTGCAGAAGATTATTTAGAGGGAATTGGAGGGAGTGACAGCATTTTAAGTTCCAAATGGTTGGTAGGACAGGAATTGGAGAATCCGGATAAGCATAGCTCTTTGAGGAGTGGCTTTGATGAGACTTTGCAGAAGTTGGGCGGAATTGCTCTTCAGGATGCATCTGGAGAATATGGTAGGAGGAAGGTCCATTCACGGAAGAAATACAATGTGACGGAAAGACATGCTAAGTCTTTGGCTATAGATGACCTAATGCTTGTAAAGGATCCGAGAACTGTTTTTGCAAAAAAGAAGCCCGTCGCTAGGTTTCCTCAATCTTGGCCTTCAGAAGCTCAAAGGAGTAAATTCTCAAGACATTTTCCTGGTATAAGATTGCTAAGATATGCTTATCTCTATAAGTTTTGCTTTCATATATTTAACTTGGTTAACATGCGTCTTTTCCATGAAGGGGATGTGATATGGCTCTCTTTGAGCGCCAAGTTAATATGTCTCTGACATTTGCTCTTATATTCCATAATTTCTAGCAGTCCTAGTATCCTTTTTGAGATGGAATTTGATAAAAAGTAGATAGTTAGGATCTCCATTGAATGACTGTGTGGGAAAATTTTCTCACCAACCTTGGGGTAATAAATGTCTGAGGACCTTTTGTGCATCAGAGACAGGATTCCTCTATGATATTGTAATTTTTTTGGTGGATTTTCCTTCATGCTTTTTCCTCATACTATTATTGTTCTAACTTTGCGTTCAGGTACGAAAAAGAAACATTGTAATTTTTTTGGTGGATTGTCCTTCATGCTTTCGCCTCATACTATTTATTGTTCTAACTTTCCGTTCAGGTACGAAAAAGAAACATCGTAAAGAAATGATTGCTGTGAAGCGTAGGGAGAGAATGCTACGGCGAGGTCTTGATCTTGAGCAAATCAATTTGGTAAATTTTTTATTTTTTTTTCAGTGAAGTTGTGTACCGATCAGTATACTCATGTAGTATATATGGTGTAATGCGTTTTAGTTAGATTGTGAATATAAATAGAGCTGTCCACGCCGGTTCTAAACATTTGACTCTCTGAAAGAACTTAGGTAGTGTCCGGTTAACGGGAATGAATCTTGGATGGTACCAATTACATTCATGGGTGATTTTTAACTCTCTATGTTCCTTATTTTGTTTCTATTTCATTCCTCTCAAAATTTCATTTTTGTTATTCATTCTAGCAATCACACACTATCTTACAGCTTTGTTCTTTTCTATTGTAGAAAATAGAGCAGATTGTTTTGGATGGAGTGGATATGTTTTCTTTTCAACCTATGCATTCCCGGGATTGTGGCCAGGTACATAATTTTAATTTATCTTTTAAGTTGCAATTTGTAAATCCTTGCAGTTTCAATTTTTGCACTTTTTCTCGCATGGTTCATCTAGGAATTTTATTTAGTGGAATATTGTTTCAGGTGCTTAATTTGTAACTTTTGTTGAAATTGAAATTGGTTTAACTCTCTCTCTCTCTCTCTCTCTCTCTCTCTCTCTCTCTCTCACACACACACACACACACACGCAAAACTCATGCCAAAGCATTGAAATTTAGAGATTTCTTGTAAGCTTGAAGCCTAAATTTTTGTTACCATGTCTCAGATTCTTGACCGCAATATAACAAATGAAAGTTAGGGTTTAACCTAAGTTCTGTAGCCATTTTTGAGTGTGCTTAAAAATCCCTTGAAGGAGTGTCCATCAAATTCTTTCTTTGATAGATAGTGCTTTGATATTTTAGGTGCAACGATTAGCAGCAATTTATCGCCTGAGGAGTTCCTGCCAAGGATCTGGCAAGAAGAGGTACATAATTTCCTTTTGTTTTCTACAAAAGGAAAACATGGTATTGATGTTTTTTCTTTTCCCAGATTTGTAACAGTGATGCGGACACAACACACAGGCATGCCATCAGCAAGTGATAGACTTCGTCTTGAAAAGGTTCATTAGATTTCATAGTTATAATTACGTGTTGCCTGGTCTGGCTCTTTTTTATTCATATTTTATTTGTTTCTCATTGCCTTTCTGGTTCTGCTCTGAATTGTGTCACTATATGCTTGGATCCTATATATATCTGTGCAGCAAAATTGAATGATTATTTTCTGTATTTCAGCTGATTGGAGCTGACATGGAGGATGCTGATTTTTCTGTTGTTGAGCCCCGTGGAGACAAAAGCAGGTCAAAGAAAATTGGAAAAGGAAATGATTTAAAGCCACCAGAATCTAAACATTACACTCAAAGAAAGACACCGAAGATCGCAGCCAAGCGTGGCAGTGGCAGAGCCTATGAACAGAAACTTGGTGGAAAAATGGATTCATATGCCAATCAACCGGTATCATTTGTGTCAAGTGGCGTGATGCAATCAGCGACTGAGAGCACAACTGTTGATTCAATAGACCCAAGTTCTAAAAATAAGGATGTTGTTGAAGCAGCTGAGTTTCATTCGTTTGAGGTACACACTAAGGGTTTTGGATCAAAAATGTTGGCTAAAATGGGATTTATTGAAGGTGGTGGATTAGGAAAAGATGGACAAGGTATGGCAGCGCCCATTGAAGTGATCCAACGGCCTAAATCACTTGGGTTGGGTGTGGAATTTTGCAACACCGTTGACCTTCCAGTAAATAACACCCCAGTAAAGAGTAATCCAGTGAAAAACAAAGCTCAATCTCAAAGAGTTTCTCAACCTCAGAGAGTTGGATCTTTTGAAAAACATACCAAAGGATTTGGATCAAAGATGATGGCAAAGATGGGTTTTGTTGAAGGCATGGGTTTGGGGAAAGATTCACAAGGCATCGTCAACCCTCTGGCTGCAGTCAGACTACCAAAATCGAGGGGATTAGGTGCCTCAGGTTAAGATATTATGTGTTGCTGAAATTGCTAAGCTAATTTTAATTTCAATTTCAATTTCGTTTCCTTGTAGTTTCTGCTAATTCTGCACATACATGTTTTACCATTATGTTAACTTAGTTGTCTTATACTCACACCATAGATCTGTCTGTACGTTCTACTTTTATCATTGAAAAGAAAACGTGTGCTCGGTTTCGTTCCGTCTTTATTCGTGATTTTGAAGCCTTGTTGCAATTTGCAGCAAAGTTAATAAAGGTCTTTTTAAGGCTGGTTTTCTCACATGGGCTTGTCTTGTGAGATATAAACATGGTCATGGAAGAACATGCGCTTTCTAATTTGACAAAATGTGAGGGAAGAATGTGTTAAACATTGGAAGGTGATTCAATCACAAATACAACACGAGCCTTTTAAAGAGAAAAACTTACTTGCAACTGAGATATCATTGTTTTGCTATCTCCGACCAACGGGGAAGTCTTTTGCCCTTTAAAGGCAGTTCAAAGAAAGAAATATTTTAAAGATTTTCTGCTGAACGCAAATAGAAAGTTGTTTTTAGCTCTGTCAGACTGCAATGGAAATATCACTATTTTGCTATTCTTAATAATAAGATTTTCTGCCAAACGTCTTTCGGACAGCTTTTTCTCATAAGCAGTCTCAAATAGAATTTGAACTTTTATGTATCGCATCTTACTTTCAAATTCAATTAAAAAGAAGAAAAATTATTAAACCAGCGAGCTCAAATACTTATGGAGGTTTATCATAGTCGTGAATCGTATGTTAATGTGTGATTACTGGAATCATTTAAGATATACTTACTATATTGTTCGATCTTGAGCCTTATTTGTCTTTACTTTCCATCTTGCCAGATTAAAAATAATTTGATCCATTGTCTCAAAAATTAAAAATTAAACAATGGATCGACGGCAGAGATACGCATTTTATATTGTGTAAAAGTAGTGATTGAAGAAGAATGATCAAATACTGAACTTATTTTTTATTGATTGCATATGGAAAAAAAAAAAAAAAAAAAAAAAAAAAAAAAAAAAAAAAAAGGGTAAGGTAAATCTTCCGCCGTGACTTCCTGACAGATGGTAATACTAATACATGTAATGTGTTTTAGAATTCTTCCCCCTAAGCTTCTAATTGAAATCAAAGTTTGGCAGTTTGGCATCTTGCTTTTTTTTCAAATTGATTCCAACTCACTAAAAGTTAGTCAAAAAGCATGCTTGATTAAGGAGTAAAAAGGGGATGTTATAGCATATTATGATGATAAGAGGGAAATAGATACTATCATGAATATTATAGCGACTAATAAAAGATATATACTTACGTACAATGAGTGTTATGTAAAGAAAGAAATTGCGCAGTTCCAAAAACTTATTAAATTTTATTAATATTTATGTGTAGACGATTGATCGTAGCATATTCGAAACTTATTAAATTTTATTAATATTTATGTGTAGACGATTGATCGTAGCATATTTCAAGATGATTTGATTGTATATGTTGTAGTGCTAATATTAAGCTTATGAATAACTTCACTAAACTTTTATGATACGAAAAGAAAAAGAAAAACCACAATTTATATCACACCACACAATGACGTGTTTCATCCCAAAATTTATGAAAATGGTTTTTTTCTTTGATTTTATTCTTGTACTCTTTAACCGCCGTGTTAATGACTTAACAACAACGTTCTTAAATAATTAATAAAATAAAAAGTCTGATCCAGCCTCCAGGCAGGCAATTAGGCAAAATAGCAATTCTCGGAAAAGGACACGAATCAATGAAAATGGTAAATCAAGCAAATGCGACTTGAGGCGAGATCAGATCTGGCATTTCAGACATTGTGTAGGGGCATTTAGGATCCATATAGTAAAAAGGCCAAAACAGTGGCGCTCTCTCGAAGAAAGACCAACCATATATTCATTGGCTATTTGCATTGCGCCCCAATCCTCACTCCTATTTGGCCTTTTCCTTCCTAAAATCCCAAACCCAGCAGATTTCCGGAGCTCGAAGATCTCTGCTGCTTCACTCAGAGACGTCTTCTCTGGGTTGTCCATGTCTGACACTCTGCTAAAGGTCAGTTAGATCCTCACTTCATTTGAAAGAAAAAGAAAAAGAAACAAAACAAGTTATTTTGCTATTTGTATGGTTATTGCTGGATCTTTAATGCTGTGGCTGTTATAGTCTGATTAGATTTTGTAACTGAATCTTCCTTGAATTTGAAAACCCATATAGAGACTGCTAAATTTTGGTTTAATTTTGCTCATTTTCTCTTTTGGGTCTCCCAGATCTGACACAAACCTTGAAGAATGGAATTTTCTCATCGACTTAGGACCTGGGTTCTGACCATTTTCTTGATATTTCAATCGGGATATGGGTGGTACCTTCCCGGTAGTTACCCTCACAAGTACGTTGTCGGGGACACCTTAGGGGTGAAAGTGAACTCTCTGACCTCCATTGATACAGAAATACCCTTTAGCTATTACAGTTTGCCCTTTTGTCAGCCCCATGATGGGGTTAAGGACAGTGCTGAGAATCTCGGTGAGCTCCTCATGGGAGACCGCATTGAGAACTCTCCATATCAGTTTAAGATGTACACCAATGAGTCTGAGATCTTCTTGTGTCACACGGGTCCATTGTCGGGAGATCAGTTTAATCTCTTGAAGAAGAGGATTGATGAGATGTATCAGGTCAATTTGATTCTCGATAATTTGCCTGCGATCCGGTATACCAAGAAGGAGGGCTTTGTGTTGCGGTGGACTGGGTATCCAGTAGGAATTAAGGTTAAGGATGTGTACTACGTGTTTAATCATTTGAAGTTCAAGGTACTTGTTCATAAGTACGAGGAACCCAATGTCGCACGTGTGATGGGTACTGGTGATGGGGCGGAGGTCATCCCAACAGTTGCCAAATCAGATTCAGATGTGCCCGGGTATATTATTGTAGGATTTGAGGTGATACCTTGCAGTTTCATGCATAATGCAGACTCTGTGAAGAAGTCGAAAATGTATGAAAAGTACCCTGCTCCTATTAAATGTGATCCCACCACTGTGGCAATGCCCGTTAATGAAAAGCAGCCAATTGTCTTCACATATGAGGTTGAATTTGAGGAGAGTGACATCAAGTGGCCCTCGCGGTGGGATGCTTATTTGAAGATGGAGGGTTCCAAAGTCCATTGGTTCTCTATTCTCAATTCTCTGATGGTGATCACTTTCCTTGCTGGTATTGTCCTTGTGATCTTCTTGAGGACTGTTCGGAGGGATCTTACTCGTTATGAAGAGCTTGACAAAGAGGCTCAAGCACAGATGAATGAGGAGTTGTCTGGCTGGAAGCTTGTTGTTGGAGATGTTTTCCGTGCTCCAAGCAATGCTTCCCTATTGTGTATAATGGTTGGTGATGGGGTTCAGATCCTCGGGATGGCAGTGGTGACCATATTGTTTGCTGCTCTTGGGTTCATGTCACCAGCTTCTCGAGGGACACTTATTACAGGTATGCTATTTTTCTATATGATCCTTGGTATTGCAGCTGGTTATGTTGCTGTTCGTCTTTGGAGGACAATTGGTTGTGGAGATCACAAGGGATGGGTTTCAGTCTCATGGAAGGTTGCTTGTTTCTTCCCTGGAATTGCCTTTTTGATTCTGACCACTCTGAATTTCCTATTGTGGGGTAGTCACAGCACAGGAGCCATTCCATTTTCTCTATTTGTTATTCTCCTTTTGCTCTGGTTCTGCATCTCTGTTCCCCTTACCCTCATTGGTGGATACCTTGGGGCCAAGGCACCTCACATTGAGTACCCAGTACGAACCAATCAGATTCCTAGAGAAATCCCAGCACAGAAATACCCATCCTGGCTGTTGGTTCTTGGGGCTGGCACTCTTCCGTTTGGCACCCTATTCATTGAGCTCTTCTTTATCATGTCTAGCATTTGGATGGGCCGTGTTTATTATGTGTTTGGGTTTCTCTTCATCGTATTGATCCTTCTTGTTGTGGTTTGTGCTGAGGTTTCTCTAGTTCTAACCTACATGCATCTTTGTGTGGAGGACTGGAAATGGTGGTGGAAGTCCTTCTTTGCTTCTGGTTCGGTTGCCATATACATTTTCTTGTACTCCATAAACTACCTTGTATTTGATCTTAAGAGCCTAAGTGGACCTGTCTCAGCCACGCTTTACTTGGGGTACTCGCTCTTCATGGTGGTGGCCATCATGCTTGCGACAGGCACAGTTGGATTCCTTTCGTCATTCTGGTTTGTGCACTACCTGTTCTCTTCGGTGAAGCTGGACTGAAGAACTTTAGCGACTCAAAGATTGGCACTTTAAAGAGTAGCAGTGAATGATATCATTAAGGGAAGAAAGAATGTGAACTCTACAGAAGTGCTCTGTCATGTGTTACTTTTTCATTTTGTTGTGTTAGGGAACTTGGTTAATTGTAATAACAATAATTCGTCCAGTTTTGCTAAATTCTTTAATAGATGGACATCATGGGTTATAGCTTTGATACCGAAGTTTATTTGCATTCTGGCGGATAGGAGAGTCGTATCGTTCTGTACTCGATTGGTTTATATGGTTTTTAGAATGCAAAAGCTGTTTATTATTATTTCTACATTTTGTGGCATTCTAGTGGTTTTGTTCATGTCCTGCTTCTTTTATCTGATTTTTCTTCCCTGGGCGCATATCTGCCAGGCTATTTGTATGAATTAGAGCACCAATGTCGCAGTACTGGTGGACCCTTCATGGCCAAGTTGCTGCATCATAGTGCAATTATTTATTTTTCCATTAAACATGTTCAACTATGGAGGACACAGATACAACGATAAACCAACTGAAGTTCTAACCAGTTATAGCCAATGCATGAGTAGCAAGAATAAATCGACATGAGGAAGTGTTTTTTTTTAATTAAAAAAAAATATTAGCTTAATACTATTTCATAAGAACCGATTAAACAAAATTGAAATAGAAGAAAATGAAGTGATGACCCCAAAATTCAGACTTTTTGTAGAGATACCAACAACAGCTAGCTGTTCTTTCTAATTGAAGAGAGGGCTTCCCTCGGTTACAAAGCCTCGATCTTCAACAAAAACGCAAGGCAAATAGCACAGGCCTGCCTGCCAAAAGAGAGAAAGGCCCCTATCATATAAATGGCCAGCAGGACAAAACTGTCAAAAGCCACCAAAAAGACAGCCTTTCCAATAGAGAAAACATAACTCGTGGTGTCCGTTTTTCCGTTAGCATCAGCCGCTTAAACTTGTTGGCCTGCCTTTACCCCATTGCTTAAACTTCTACCCAAAACTCTCTCTCCTCTTTCTCTCTCTGTCTTTCATACACAGTGAGAGCAGAAGAATGTTGCCCACCTCACTCTCTCCAGTTCACTCCTCCAGTTTATATTCTCCCTCTCTGTTCCCTTTTTCTCCTTTTCCCTCTTCTTCTTCTTCTTCTTCTTCTTCTTCTTCTTTTCTTCTTTTTCTTCTTCCTCTGTATCGCTTGAACCATCTTCTCATCGTCTCTGCTCTCTGCGACTCTACAACAATGCCCATTTGAGGATTACCTACAAATCCAATGTATAAGAAAAGAAAAAAAGAAACAGATATGAACCTTGTGCTTGATGTCAATTTTTTTTTTAAAATTAAACAAGAATATTAATTGTACACTTTCTGTTCTGTTTTTGACAGGGACTGAAACTCAACTGTTCTTTAAAAGAGCCTCTGAAGGTGATGATATCCGGTGCACCGGCATCAGGCAAAGGAACTCAGTGTGAATTGATTGTCCGCAAGGTAACCATTTTAATAGATATAAGTTACTTGTTCATTGTTTATGAGTTAAGTTTATATATAGAAGGGCCTGGTGTGTGTGTTTGGAATGGATAGCCCGTTTTCTATGACTGATGAGTTCTTTCTTTCTCTTGGTTCTTCAGTTTGGATTGGTACACATATCAACGGGGGACCTTCTAAGAGCTGAAGTGTCATCTGGGACAGAAATTGGAAATAAAGCCAAAGAGTTCATGAATGCTGGCCGTCTGGTCCCTGATGAAGTCGTGACTGCGGTATTCTATCAACTCATGACTCAAAATCTTACATGGTGTAATTTTCCCTTATCAAATAGTTGGTAATCGTATCGAAAACACTTGCTTTGTAGATGGTCACAGCACGATTATCACGGGAAGATGCAAAAGAAAACGGGTGGCTTCTAGATGGCTACCCCCGAAGTTTTAACCAAGCACAAAGCCTGCAAAGTTTGAAGATAATACCAGATGTTTACATTGTATTAGATGTATGTGAGTCTTGTATAGAATGGATGCGTTCTACTTCTACTGAATTCCTTATGATGTATGTTAGCTGTTTCATTTAATTCCAACTCATAATATCTTAGTTTTGACAAATACGGTTGGGTGTCTTTTGGTGAGTGACATTTGGGAAGGAAATTATAACTTTGCTGAAAAGAAGTAGTTTCATGCATGTGTATTTTTAAGAAGTTTTTCCCCTTGGTCATCTCAATTGCATCCATACAAGCTTTGTACAAACCGAATTGATCTTTACATAGTCGTTATTTCTTAATACTCAGGTTCCTGATGAAATTCTAATCGACAGATGTATTGGAAGAAGGCTAGACCCAGTTACAGGGAAGATTTACCATCTCAAAAGTTTCCCTCCAGAGACTGAGGAAATTAAAGCAAGACTTATCACCCGTCCTGATGACACCGAGGAGAAGGTATGGTTTGACATCATGAATTTCTGTCCTACATTGTTATTCCAAGTGATTTCTCATAAACGTATGTAACTTGTAAGTGATTTTCTAATATGCACATGTAACTTGATATTTTGTCCATTCGTCCTTTATATGTGATGTGGCAATACTTTGGAGCAGATAAAATCCATTAGGATGTGTATAGTATTAGTATGAAAGGATATAGGATATACTAAGTTCAGATTAGGTGAATTCCATCAAATAGGGCTTCAGAAGCTTTTGACTTCATTCCGTTATCTATTTAGGTGAAGTCACGCCTTGAAATATACAAGCAAAATGCTGATGCAATCTCAACCACTTACTCCCACATAATGAAAAAGGTGAGTGTTTAGTGATATAGTGTTATGATTTTTCCTTTTCCGGTTTCTTTATATGAATCTGTGTAGAGGACTTCATGTTTTATACTAAAGCTCTTGAAACCACAGATCGATGGGAACCATCCTAAGGAAGTAGTTTTTGAAGTAATAGACTCTATATTGTCACAAGTGCAGAAAGATAAAGAAACGAAGATGAAATTAGGTAAGTCTGTTCAGGATCTGAAGCTCATTATATGAGTTTGTCCTAACTTAAGTGATTAATACTTATATGGAGCTGAGTTTCTCTCAGAATGGTTGCAACTTTTTTCTCCATTGATTTTGTAAGAGAGTCTTAAATCTATTTTTGGTGACGCTACCTGTTCCTAAATGAGTTTTCTAAATTACTGTGCATGATGATTTTAAGAATTCTTTTTCCAGGGAAATCAAATCCGTCAACTTCAGTCCAGGTATATGTTTAGTTATAGAATCAGTCATCTTTAATCCAGATAAATAATTTGTTATAGTTCCTTTCTAATTTTTCTTTTGCAATTTTACAGGATAACTGGAGGGGAATTCCTACTAAATTGAATAACATTCCACATTCTAGAGACATCAGGAAATATTTCTATGAGGATGTGCTGCAGGCCACCCAAAGAGCAATAAATGATGGAAGAACTCGACTAAAGGTTTCTTATTGGTCATTTCTACTTATAAATTATAATGCACAGGTGATCATGGATATTAACCATTGGGCCTGGTAAGGCATGTTAAGGCAACTTCAAGTACCAAAGTGAACTGTGCTTGTTACATATACAAATCTCTGTTGATTTTGTAACCTATTTTCAAGCTGGGTTGTGAGATGCTCCTGTACATTCTCAACCATTTATCATACGGAATTATTCTTACTTTAGAAAGACGGAATTTGTCTTCCTACTTAGAACTTAGAACATATCATCTAATATAGTTTCAGAGCAGTGGACAAACTTGTAGCCTTACCATATCATCTCTTTCTTGGGAATTTTATTTCTTTTTGGCTACTGCACTGTCAGGCGAGATGCTGTAGTTCTTGGGACCCCTTGACTGACATCAAATAACCTTGGTAAACAGGGGATTACAATTATGTCAGTTAGGACTTAGGGGTCTGGTTAATCTGGAGACATCATCCACTATGTTACACAAAATCATTTTCAGTCTTATTTTACTATCATCTTCTGTTTCGATAAGTCTATTATTTATCTTAATCAGTCTTTGAAAATTGGCAGGTGGAGATTAATATTCCAGAGCTGAACCCAGAAATGGTAAGGGACATTTACCTTAGTATTCCTAAATCTGTTTGGAGTTAACCATATCTTATGATGCACAGGATGTTTATCGAATAGGTACCTTAATGGAACTTGTTCGATCTCTTGCTCTTTCATTTGCCGATGATGGGAAACATGTCAAGGTAATTTAGTCCTGGTTGCTACTGATTTAGATTAGTGGCCAACGATAATGTAAGCTCTTCCAGGAGTCATCCAAAATTTTGCTTGTCAGGTTTGTGTTCAAGGCTCTATGGGGGAAGGCGCTCTTGCTGGAATGCCATTACAGCTTGCTGGTACTCGAAAAATATTGGAGTTCATGGACTGGGGTGAATATGAGGCTATGGGGACGTTTATCAATATTGGTTCTATAGGTACAGAAATGTCATGCATTTGTCAGCTCGACAATTGATGTTCATTTTACTGCATCTCTAGATATTGGTCCTCCAAATGCCTTGAGACATTTGGAATAATGCTCCTTCCATTATGAATTCGTGATGATGTGTATAACTCATTAACACAACTCTTCTCCACATCAATGATTGGTGCATTGGAGATTCAGTCCTTGTCTTCTAGTTGCTCCACTGAACCTGAAAATTCTCCTCCTTTTTTTTCACATATGTTCTATAAAATTTCCTTCCAAAAAAATAAATAAATAAAGAAAGAAAGAAGTTCTACAGAACATGATTATGATATCCATACCCTTAGTCTCTCTTTTGGCAAGTGCAGGTGGCGAAGAGGTAGATGAGCAAGATGACCTGTTTATCTTAGTAGCTCCTCAAAATGCTGTTGGGAATTGTATTATTGATGTAAGCATCTTGATGATTGAATGTTCCACTATTATAGTTGGAGAAAGCAATTGTACTTGACATGCTTTATTTCTACCTTTCTGTTGTTATTCAGAGCCCTTTTATTAAATTTACAGGATCTAAGAGCTATGACCGATGCTGCTGGGGACCGACCAGTAATTCTTATCAATCCCAGGCTCAAGGTTTAGTTTCTATGCTACATGATTTGCAGTTATAGTTATGTGATATCCGCATGTCCAAGTAATTCTTATCCACATTTATTCTCTTTCCTCGTTACTTAAAACTTTGTAAAGGAAATCTAATTTAGAATCATGAAATTGTTTCACTTTGAAGTTATGGCTTATGAGTAGTACACTGACCGATCTAGGGTCTTTTCTGGTATCACACTATGCATTTGCAGAAAACCTTAAGCAACATTATGCAATTTCTTGTTTTTAAGTGGATATATTGATAGAGTTTTTTAAATTTCAGGATTTGCCTGCTTCAAGTGGAATCATGCAAGTAAGTCAAGAACTAGTGACTTCAATTAACTTGATAGAAACCAATCAATTTCTTGACTGTGTTTCCTTTTAAAGACCATGGGGCGCGACAAGAGATTGGAGTATGCTTCATCATTCGAAAATTGCTATTTCTTTCGGCTTCTCTATTATGCAGGAACCCAATATCCAATTATGGGTGCTCTCAGGTAAGCTTAGTGTGACTTGCTACACCACTATGCCACGCCTGAAATGTTATGAACATTGACATTTCTAAGTGTACTCAACACTTTTCACCTCATGTCTTAGGATGTCTTATCCATATCGTTACGAACTGTACAAGAGGGTGGATGACCCTTCTGGGAAAGAGAAGTATGTTATCTTGTCTACATTTCCTGAAAAGCCAAGTACCGATGAAGTGAATGATGCTTTCGAAGGAAAGCCTAGGTAAATTCTCACTAAGGATCATTTGTTTTCATGAAAACACCTGCCCTTTATCTTTGTTTCATTCCTTAAAATTGATAGACCAGCACTTCCCTCACTGAATGATTCCATCTCAATCAACTTTTGCAGAAATGAGAGTAAGAAAGCCTTGGGATTCTGGTAAGAAACCTTCAACTTACAGAAGTGTTTGTAGCCACAACGCTCTGTTATGCTATTTTAACTATTTCGTTCCTTTTCAAATTGCAGGGGATTCTTAAGTGGTATATTTTGAGTGGAAACTAAAAGAAGTATATATGTAGTCTGCATCACATGTGAGTATATTAGCCAACAAGGATGAATCCTGCACCTTTTAAAATGCTTTCTGTCAGTAAATTGGGGAGTTTGCTTCTAGGCATCATGGAAGCTTAAAGCAGGGGTATATAGAGAAGAGAAACAAAATGTAATCAAACCTTTCCAATGAAATGATCTGGTTGAGAAATTTCTGTTTATTGTTATGAATGCATTTGAGGATAAGAGAGAACCGCAGAAAAATCACACACAATTCAACCTTTCTGATTATTAATATCTAATAAATTTAATATTAAATAAATTAGTGTGACTTTGTTGTGGAATTAGTAGTTGATCCACGAAAAGACACCACCAAGGTTAGTTGGACAACAAGATAGAACACCGCAGCACGCAACCTCATATGCCTAACCTCTCTCTCATTTCTTTTCGATTCATAATCAAAATGGTAAACGTAATCACTAAACAAGAAAAAATGAGATGGTCAAATGCCTTTTTCTTTTCTTGATATTTGTTGATAAGACTGAGATGACAAATTGTACAATCATCTTGATGTTTGTAGAATCCACTCACTCAGCCTTGAATTAGTTGCTGTGACTTGTCTTTTTAAACCCTTGTTTTATTTACTTGTTTATATTGAGAAAAGATACCCTTCACATTGGGAAGTTCATCTATCCTAAGCCTAACTTTGATGCTATTGAATATGAGGAGGAAAACTTTCATAAAATAGCCCAACTTTCACTACCTTTTTGCTTTTTCTGGGACCCCATCTATCAGATTTGCCTGCAATACTAGAAAGAAAGAAGAGATATTTTGAAAAGAAGCCAAAATAGATCCCTTATTTATTTTTGAATTTTCTGAGGAATTCCTTACATTTGCATGTCTTTGGTTTGAAAGTCGAGGGATTTTTCTTTTTTTTTGGGAAATTTTTTTGTTTTTTCCAAAAGTGAAAGTTTTTTTGCGGTTAAAACCTAAATTTACTAAGAAAGAAATATTGATTGGGATATTTCCCAACAACCATTCAAGAGGCAAACTAACCAACAATCATTCAAGGGGTTCAACAGCCAGCTGCTCATCTTAAATTACAAGAATTACTAAAATCCAGAATATTAAAATAAATAAATAAGAAGATTATCTTACTAAAATCCAGCACCTTTTCTTTGCCCTTTTTGTGTGTGATCCAAAGCATCGAACTTTAGTGCTAATATAATTGCGGAGTGGCTAAAGACTTGCAAAAGTAAGACTAAGACTATACCATACATGTTGTGTCTCACTCACCCAACTCCAAACAGAGCAGACAAAATCTGAGATTCTGCTTCAAATATGAAGCCAAAAGCATGCAACAATCTGCCCAGCCCACCAAAGTGGACAGCGGAGGCTACAACTCAACATAATAGACCATCCACATTTTGACTCATCATCGTCATAAAAGTGAATTGAGACCTCTCTCTCTCTCTCTCTCTCTCTCTCTCTCTCTGTTCTAGTTTCATGATTTCATTCTGAATATTGTAGATACAGCATTAAATCACTGATTCAATTCAACACTCTCTCTTTTTATTCATGCACCACAACAGCGCTATCCACACACAAAGAAATAATAAACTCAAAATCCAAATGTAAATATTCAAGGAATTGCATTTCCTTCTGTGAAGGGATCTGTTGGTTGCTTTTTATTAATTACCATAAATGAATGTCTCATCCACTTGGGATCCGTACGGTACAATTACCATGTAAAATCAACCAAAAAAATCCAGGTTAAGGTAAGAATTAGATATGTCGACCATTGTATTAAGTTATAACATTGCAACAAAAAAAAAGGGGAGCTATTCACTCTTCCCCGCATAACTTCCGCACTCCAGTGGCATTCAACACACCACATGACAGGAGTATGACTTTACAAGGCAGTGAATATCGCTCCCGAAACAAAAAAGAAAACAAAACGACAATAAAATAGAGTTTCCTCTTTCTTTGCTCACGCACAAGATCTAAAGTATCGATGGTATTGAAAATATCGGTAATCCAAAAATACGGAAATTTCGATGAAAATATCAGGATATTATCGATATCGATAAAAATTGTATAAAAACCACAGAAATTGTAAGAAACTTGAAAAATTTTATTGAAACTTTGGAAGATGTTTATTCAGTCAATTATCTATTAGTTTATCACAAAAAATTGGGAGTAAATGCATTGCACGATGGGTTTAACTGATTTAAGTTGATTATATAGCGAGTTGACAAACATTGTGAGTGTAGAAAATATGTAGTAATTAATGAAAGAAGATTAAACACACCATAATCATTTATATATAACGATTTACTATAACATTTAACACTTTATAAATTGCATGATAAGATACATGAGTGACTTGGTACCATACATAATTCTTATGAGGTTCAAAATTTTCACTATCTTCATTATCTCTATGTGTAGAGTAAGTGTATTCTGAAAAGCAGTCATCAAATGATAAATTACCAAAATAATTTTGCATGTAATTGTTCAAAACAAACAATATAAATATACATATTTTAGCATATTATCATAGAAACATAAGCAACATAGTGGTTAAGGCATTGAAGGAGTGAAATGGCAAGGTTTGAATCCCTTTTGTGCTTTTTTTTTCTTTTTCCTTTTTTCCATTACATCAATATTTTTGATATTATAGCGATATTTTGACAAAATATTGCTGAAGTGTGACCGAAATTATCGACATCGATATTTTCCGATACTATCGATATTTATACAATATGTTCATGGATATGTTTCAAAATATCGATATTTCGTCGATATTATCGATATTTTAGACTATGCTGACGCACACATCAACATAAACAAATTTTCTTTCTTCTTTTTCTAAGCTCAACGTTGCGGGATATTACTTCTGTCCTATTCAGGGAGCCAAGTGGGGATTTAATTTCATTTCAGTCAACTGGGATTTTGATATAAAACCCCGAACCAAACGAAAGTGAGCCAGGCTCATCATATTCATTCATTTCATTTCACAAGGTTGAAAACGTTGTTTCTGTGTGTTGTACCATCAGAATCTCAGAGAAATTGGTGAAGTTTCAGAAGCAGCTCCTCTCTGTTTGGAAATGGCAGGTGGGTCTTTTGCTCCAGCCGGCGTGGCCAAGGAGAGAGCAGAGCAGTACCAAGGCAAGCTCACCGCTTATGTTATCGTTGCCTGCATTGTTGCTGCCGTTGGCGGCTCACTTTTCGGTTATGATATCGGAATTTCAGGTAACCTTTTCATTTCCTCACCGCACCCACCCACCTGATTTTTTGGCAAGCTCTTTTCCTTAGATTCTGGGCTTTTTTTTTGCTTTGATGACGTAATCTACCAAGACGTACAAGTATAGAATGATGACACGAAAGCAAAGTTAATGTTGAAAAGTTCTGCTTTTTTACCTGGTATTATAAATTCTGCATATCTGGCTGGCTAAAAAAGAGAAGGGAGAAAAATATGCATCACTTTTCCCTGGTTAAGAAATCTGGTTGAGAAACAGAGAAATACAAGTTTAACATGCAACAAATGGTGATGAGATTAATTATCATTGAAACCAGTAACAACATAATAGAAACTGAATTATATATGTACAACATGCAGTGTTTCCAGAGGCTGCTCTACCGAGATCTAGATTACAATTCCTGATTTCTGCTACTTTTTGCTCTAATATAATATAAGAATTTAGAAAGTATGAAAAATGTCATGGTTAGTCTATCAGCAGATTGATTCATGTGAATTTTACTCTACCTTTTGATGGTCATGAATGAATCAATCAGCAGAAAATGAAGCTATCACAAACTATTGGAACTTCAGCATTAATTTGTAACTGAATGCGTGTGAAATGTTGGGGGGATAGTCTTACTGAAGATTTCATTTAAAATGTTGGTTAACAATCAATAGGTGGGGTTACCTCAATGGATGGATTTCTTCATAAATTCTTCAAAACGGTGTACAAACAAAAAATGCTTGCACATGAAAACAACTACTGCAAGTACGACAACCAAGGTCTTGCAGCATTCACCTCTTCTCTGTACCTCGCCGGTTTAGTTGCATCTTTGGTGGCTTCTCCAGTTACAAGAAACTATGGACGGCGCAGAAGTATAATCTGTGGTGGAATCAGTTTCCTTGTTGGAGCAACTCTAAATGCTGCAGCTGCCAATTTGGCCATGCTTCTCTTGGGTCGGATCATGCTTGGTGTTGGTATTGGATTTGGAAATCAGGTATCACACTTTCCTTACCCTTAATCACTACCAAATGTAAATTTGTTTTCCTTTAAGGCCTACCACATGAGCCAAATGGCAGGGTGAGAAGCACGAATGTGAGAATATTAATTAAGGACTTAAATGTATCTAATTTACAGAAGAGACAATGACTTCTTTGTGGCAACAATTTATTGATCATAGACTGTAGATGAATCAGAATATAACCAACTGTATGTTAAGCACCCTCAATGTTCAAATAAAACTGATTTTTTCTGCTTCCTTCTTGCGTCTTAAAAGGTTATTCCACTATATCTATCAGAGATGGCGCCAACTCATCTTCGAGGAGGCTTAAACATGATGTTTCAGTTGGCAACTACGCTAGGAATCTTCATAGCAAACATGGTAAACTATGGAACACAAAAGCTCGAACCATGGGGTTGGAGGCTCTCTCTAGGCCTGGCTATAGTACCTGCTATAGTAATGACAGTGGGAGGAATATTTCTTCCTGAGACACCAAATAGCTTAATTGAACGAGGAAGTAAAGAAGAAGGACGAAAACTTCTGGAGAGAATCAGAGGAACCGAAAATGTCAGTGCAGAGTTTCAGGACATGTTAGATGCAAGTGAGTTTGCTAGTGCAATAAAGCACCCTTTCAGGAACATCCTGGAGAGAAGGAACAGGCCTCAACTGGTTATGGCAATCTTCATGCCAACATTCCAGATCCTCACAGGCATAAATTCAATTCTCTTCTATGCTCCAGTGTTGTTTCAAAGTATGGGGTTTGGGGGAAATGCTGCTCTCTACTCCTCGGCTTTAACTGGAGCAGTTCTTGTTTCATCTACACTGATATCTATTGCAATAGTTGACAAGCTCGGTCGAAGAGTTTTGCTCATTAGTGGTGGAATAATAATGATTATATGCCAGGTAAAATTGATCTCTCTTCATAAACACTAACAACTGATTAAAATTCCTTCTTTCCTTCGGATTTCTAGAAGGCTTTCTAAACACTTAATATTCTCTCCTCTTGAATGTGAAACAGGTCATAGTCGCCATAATCCTGGGGGTCAAGTTAGGTGAGAATCAAGAGCTATCAAAAGGATTCTCAGTATTGGTGGTGGCAGTGATCTGCTTCTTTGTGGTAGCTTTCGGATGGTCATGGGGTCCGCTCGGCTGGACAGTGCCAAGCGAGATATTCCCACTGGAAACCCGATCAGCCGGACAAAGCGTTACAGTGGCTGTGAACCTTCTGTTCACCTTCATCATAGCGCAGTCTTTTCTTGCCCTCCTATGTGCGTTAAAATTCGGGATCTTTCTCTTCTTTGCTGGGTGGATTACTGTGATGACGGTGTTCGTTTACGTGTTCCTGCCTGAAACCAAGGGAATTCCTATTGAAGAGATGATACTGATGTGGAGAAAGCACTGGTTCTGGAAGAGGATAGTGCCTAAATATCCTGAAGTTGATAGCTCTATTAGTCGTAGGCCAAACAACTCCACAGTGTGACATGTTTTAGAGTCTAGTGGATATAAATGAAGCAAGCACATGACCGCCCTTACAATTAAGTCAGCAGCAATATCAAATCAATATCTAGGCCTTTATTTACATGATCTCAGGATTCTCAGCCCCAGAGCAATCTCGTGTTGACTGCAGCATGCAAGCAAGAACGCAATCCTTCAAAAATAATAACGTCCATTTCTTATTAGGATTGAGCCTTGTGCCTTGCAGTGCTGCTGGCTTCTTGTGTGTGCCTGAGGTTTTGGTTTTAACAGATTCTTTTATTTACCAACAAGAAATGAAATTGCAGCAGCCTTGTTGTAGGGGCAGGGCACCTATATTATTCCCGAAACCATTTCCAATAAGAAAAATTTCGAATCCCATTTCCCATCATCAGCACCAGAGGCTCGGCATCAACAACAACAACGATAAGCATCCAAAGAACATTCAAACCAACGGCGGGAGAGAGAAGTTGCAAAACTTGACAAAATGATTGACAGCAACATTAAGCAGTACAAATCTAAGATTTTATTCCAACACATGTAAAACTAACACATTCTTTTGTTCTTGATGAGTTATGAGTACACTCTACTAACATTATAGTGAGAGAATAGAAGACGAAACAGACGCAGACTCAAATTACATCATTATAACTTCTACAAGCCCATTAACTCACACACATTTACTCCTACTTGAGGATATACAAAGCAAGACCCAAACTTCCTACTACTTACTCCTTTTCTTCTTCTTTCATATTAAGAAACTTAGCAACACGCTATCATTTGCTAGCACTCAATATAACTTTCCTCTTGAAAAAATAAAGGAAGCAATTGAGACAAACCGAACAATTTTCAACTCTCTCTCGTATTCATCATCTATCAATCGATTCAAACACCCCTACTGCCAGATTGCCAAGCCAGACCCTTTCCCCTGCTTTCCAGCCATCGAATGCCACCGAGTGGTCACACCGAATCGAGTCGCAGCAGCCGACGCAGATCGCTTGTCGCCGTGCCGTTCCTTCCCAAAAAAGCAGGCAAAGGCACTGAGCTCGGGGGTGGAGACGCGTAGAAGGCGCTCGATCCAGCGTAAATCGCATCCATGACCTTGAATTCTGCAACCTTAATCTGCTTCTGCACAGTCTCCGGGTCGGGGCCCAAACGGTCCGTCGATCCCAGTACCAAATCTGGAACATCTTCGCTCTTTGCCTTCGGCTTGCCGGCATCGCCGGTAACAACTCCGAGTCCTCGGTTGTTCTTCTCCGGGCTCAAGGCCTCCCCGCGCCTCAGGATCTTGACCTGGCCCATCACCAGGTTTTTGGCCGGGACCTTCGCAACCATGGCGCGATCAGAGTACCGATCTCGAGCGCGATCATGTTGATTGGATTGGAATCCCATCGGACTTCTCTTCCGGCGGCGAGATTGATGAAGATTCGCGTTAGAGCCATAGTTGGGGCTGTGATTAGGGTTCGGGTTAGAAAAATTAGGGCTTCGGCGTGATCCGGAGCGAGGGGTTAGGGTTAGGGCTTCGTGGCGAAGCCGCCCTCGAAGGCAATCCTGGGAACGAAGAATCGCCGTCCCCATTTTCCCTGAGGAGAAGAGAGAGCAGAAAGAACGAAAAAGAAAAAGAAAAAAGAAAATGATATTACTTACGACGCTTCTGGAAATTTGTTTTAGTAGAAGGAATGCCTATACTTTGCACAGCATGTGTGAGTGTGTATTTATAGAGAGGTTTCGGTAATTCACGTGACGTGGCGTGAGGTTTGGAACCGTCCAAGGCGCGTGAGTAGGCTAGGCTTTACCCGCTTGGTGAAATTTGACCAACTTGGTTCTGCATTTTTACCAATATTCAATTACCATGTTGCACTTTCTCTTTTTAAAATTACGAATTCGATTGGCTGTGTGTTGGTGCGTTTGTAAATTTGGTACGATAGATGGGCTAATGATATGTATGGTAAGAACCTTGGTTGCCGAGAAAGGGACCGACAAACCACGTGTCTTCAAGTGAATGGCTGTAGGGGTTCTTATCAACACGTGTTGCCTTTGTCAACAGACTTTCGTTGGGCGGTTTGGGCCTTCTCTTTTTTTAATTGTTTTGGCGGTTTGAGTCTGAAACCGCCTTGTTTGAGGTCCGGCCTACGAACGGATCGATTTGAACCCCGAAAGACGCTTACTACACGTGCCAACCACTTGCTCTTCTGCTATCATACACCAACCTCTTCAACGGGTGAGGTTAGGCCTTAGTGAGATCGTTGATCCATCAAAAAATTGGATCGGGCTGGCCTTAGGTGAAAATGTTTGGGGAACGTGGCCCATTTTCATCCGTTTGATCATAATTTACGGGCCCAGATTTAGAGATCACAGAGAATGATATTAACTCCATTTTTGTCGGCCTGATCGCCTTCGCCTTCTCCTCCGTCTGGGCGGGCGCTCTTTGAAGCTTTCTCAGTCCCCTAAGAAAGACTACAAGGTACTGAGCTCCTTCCCCCCCCCCTTTCCCCTTGGATTTTAACTTTTGGACGCAATTGTCTCATTCTTTTGATTTTAATTTTCCAATTCTTGGTTCATTTTCTGTTTGCTTTATCAGCCATTATATGGATTTCGTAGACAATAACTTGGTTTTATTTTCCCTGAAACTTCGTCTGAGTCTAATTAGGGCTGTTATTTTGGGGATTTAGGGTTGTCATGTTTTGGGATTCGTTGACGTCGGGTATGGGTTGTGGTGGTTGTGATTATGTATATGCTAATTTGTTTACATTAGTCCTTTTTATTTTTACTTTCAACTTTCATCTTTATTTGGTGCCTAATGGACCTGTGAGTGTTCGAAAAGTCGGCGCCTAGGCTCCTAGGCGGACACTAGGCGGGAGGACACCGCCTAGGCGGGCTCTAGGCGGGAGTACACCGCCTATGCGGGCTCTGGGCGGGAGGACACCGCCTAGGCGGGCGCTAGGCGGGTCTGGGCGGGTGGGGTTCTTTTTATAAAAAAAAATTCCTGACTTTAAAGAAAACCCTCACGCTGCCTCTCTCTCTCTCTCTCTCTCTCACGAAAGACCACCACCACCAGGCCGCGACCGGCTCGGAGGATATGGAGAGGAGGAAGAGTTAAGACCTAGCCTTTCATTTCAAGTATTTTTCTGTAGTACTATTATGCTTAACTTTTTCGTTATCCCCCCATGTTTTATATCAATTATGGTACTTTGTATTTATATATCCATTTATTTTGCATGATTTTGGTATAAATTTATAATTTATAATTCAAAATAATTATAAATAATTATCATTCAAAATAAGGTTAATAATCTTCAATTTTAACTGTGAATATAATTTATAAATTATACAACATTGTTGGAAGTTCGTTTTTTCATTGATTTAGGGTTTATAATTTGCTGGCCTTGGATTTCTGTTAATGATATTTGTGTATATGCGTGCAGTTTTAAAAAGCCAGTTGAGCTGCACAAAAGGAGAAGAGAAAGAAATGCCTCTGTATGATTGTATGCTTCTGGTGAAACCCCATGTAAGGAAGGAGGCTCTGATGGACTTGGTTGCTAGAGTAAGCAAACATGTTTACAGAAGAAATGGAGTTCTTACTGACATGAAGTCATTTGGCACTGTTCAGTTGGGCTATGGTATTAAGAAGCTTGATGGCAGATATTATCAGGTGGGTTTGTTTTTTCTGCAACCTAGTGAAATAGTTGTTATTGTAACTTAGATTCCGGGCCTCTTTTAGTTGTTTTGAATTGTTTCATTTTGCAATGTGAGAGCAAGCCTATTGTTTATTGCATTGCATTTGCGGATGTTTTCAAAGTGAACTTGTTAGATGCTATTTTGCTATAACTTTAGGGTCACGATGATGCCACTGAAGCTTCCTGCTGATATATATATAATTAATTTGTATTTCATACCTAGAAATTAGAAAGGACAATGTATCGCAAAATCATGGATGATACTTTCATAGGATTCTGTCCTTTTTCTATCTCCGTATGTTGTCTAGTTGGTATTTCTTTCTGAATGCAAACAAATTCTTATCTCATTTTGACCAGATAAAATTTTATTATAAATCAATTTGGTATATGGTATAGGGTCAACTAATGCAAATGACGATGATGGCTACACCCAACATCAACAAGGAGCTGCATTACTTGAACAAGGAAGATAGATTGCTGCGCTGGCTTTTGGTTAAACACCGAGACACGAAGTATGGACTGGAATTTCTTAGTGAAGAGGATGCAAATAGTGAAGTCAATAGGCTTCATCGGAACAGCATATATGATGATGATGAGGACGAGGACGAGGATGAGGACGAGGATGATGACGATGATGAATATGAAGTGGACCAAGGAGGAAATCCAACTGAAGGTTAATGTAATTCTATCAAGGATGGCTTGTTGGCATTTTGTTGAAATTCCGGATTTATGTTTGTCATAAGTTTTGGTAGTAGTAAGTTCTACGAACTATGTTGGATGAGAATTGGCTTATCAATGTATTAAATGTTGTGAGCTTTTAGTTTTGATCTGGTTGGTGCACCTAAATTTATTTTTTCTTAATTGGCTAGTGTACAGAACCCTTTGAAGATGAACTTGATCATCTGATGATCTGTCATTGAAAACGTCTTCAGAGAGTTGAAAAGAGCAATGTGGAAGTGACTCTACATTGACATGAAACGAAATAATGAAAAGTGTTTTAGCTTGAGTCTCTCTTGTCTCATCAGCTCTCTCTTGATGTTGAGTGGTCCTGGGAATTGGTTTGCTTGAATTAGAAGGATCCATGTTTGGAACTTCCTTGTATCTAAACTTTGCTGGATGAGGATGGATGCGCGCCTACAACTACAAGGCAAAAGGTCATGGAAAAATTATGAAGTGTAGGAATCTCACCCGCCCGAGAGGGATGGGGCAAAGCTATATTGCACGTGACTTGATCCCAATCCCTTCCATGACATGCCATGCATTAACCAAAAGAGAAAAAACGTGTCCTGCGTTAAAACAAAAAAGAATTAAAACCGTAGGAGTTATTTTTCCCATGCAGAGGCAGTAATGCCAAATCGCTACATGAAAAAACCATCTAAAAGGAAACAAGTTAGCAAGAAAATATATAATTTGTCCCTACCGTCCTTGCAAAAGAAATAGTACTTATCATCATCCATCATTAGAGGCTAGGGAAGTTCCAAATCAAAGCTCGTTGTACTTGTTTTAGAAGGTTGGTTATTAGTGCACTTTTTTATTTGGGTAAATGTATTTTAATTCCGTATTTTATTAATTACAAGGGGATACAAATATAAATACGAGCAAGTCCGTGTACTGCCAAATTCTGCATGTTGACCCCCCTCCATCAATCTGAAGTGGAGCCCACAACACCAACAACGTAAATGTACGGTCCCCACACGCCTACTAGGAGAAACGAATTACATATAAGAAGGAAGGCCACACCGATTTTCCCGCTGGTTAATTGTAAGTTGGAAAATATAGAAAGTAGAAATTCAAAGATAGCAAATACAGAATTGCAGTGGGAGAGTGATCATCATCTTCCTCCCTCTCCCTCCCTCCATGATCTCTCTCTCTCTCTTGCTCCTCTCGGACCTCCCCTGATCGTTTCCCTGAGAGAAGGATCGATCGCACAAAGCTAAGCAGCTCCCAATTAATTAATATATAGCTTCCCCTGCCTCTGCCTCCTAGTAGGCTGGGCTAGCTTTTGAGCACGATGGATGCGTTACCGTCTCCGTCGTCATCGTCGTCGCCGTCGACGTTGAAGAAGGTGGGGAGCGAACGGTCCGAGGTGAGCACGATGAGCGGATTACTGGGACTCGGCGGAGGAGGAGGAGGAGGAGGAGGAGGAGGAGAAGATCAGAGAGGGTCCTCCACATTTGAGTATTTTGGTTGGGTTTATCATTTGGGGGTCAACTCCATCGGCCACGAGTATTGTCACCTCCGCTTCCTTTTCATCCGCGGCAAGTATGTCGAGATGTACAAGCGTGACCCTCACGAGAACCCCGGCATTGTAAGCCAAATTCAATTCCTTTCTTACTTAATTAATTACCAATTCCATTTTCTTTGTAAATATATGCTCTGTGTCGGCCAGAAACCCATTCGGAGGGGCGTTGTTGGGCCCACACTTATGCTGGAGGAGGTTGGGCGTCGAAAGGTCTACTATGGGGTAAATTTATATCTACTTTTAACTTTTAAGTGATTCTATACAATGCAACCATGGAATTTATTAATTAATTTGGAGCATGTTCAAGTAGAAGCGATATTTATTGTTGCTGTGGATGCTTGTTTCTCTCTTTCTGCAGGATGTTTACGTTCTACGGTTTTTCAATCGATTGGATGAATCAAAGAAGGGAGAAGTAAGTTTTGGCGCCATATTAACTATTCATTTTTGCAGCTACTGTGCTAGAATGCGAATGTCATTGTTTCAGTTTACAAGAAATGATGCGAATATATTGTACAGAGTTACTTTTGTGAATTTTCATGTACTGAATTGGTGATCTTGGCAAGTGTTTGTTAGTTTTGAGCCATTTCTCATACTCTGTGATATTCCTAGGCTTGTTGAAATGATTCTTTTTAAGCATTACATTTGGGTTTCCTTTCTCTTATTTGATGAGATGGTTGACAATTAATTGGTTTCTGAAGATTGCTTGTGCTACGGCTGGAGAAGCCCAAAAATGGCTGGAGGCCTTTGATCAAGCCAAGCAACAGGTACGTCAAGTTTTGTGGAGAGTGTTCTTACTTTGCGAATTGAACATTTACCGTCGTCCTTGTGACAGAGCCGGTACTTTATTGCATGTTTCCAGTTCATTGTTGTGTTTAATACACTGGAACTCTGCTTCTGATTACAGGCTGAGTTCGAGCTGACAAGAGGAGGTAGTGCCAGAAACAAACTGAACATGGAGACCGAGTACGCTTATAATTCCTGGATTGGTGATACACGTGCATAGTAATTCATATTAGCCATGTTGATTAGGACCCACGTTTTTATTGTTGGATTCCATATACGATGATGGAATCTGTATGCTTGCATTCCACATTTATACCTATAACTTGATATATTCTATTATCGTGTTCTTTTTTTAATCTCTTTTGAATGTCCTACCATACAGGCTTATCATTAAGTCAATTAATTTGATTCTCTTCAATGCGCATATCATATTCTTTTTAAATGACCTTTTTTCTTGCTTTGTTAATATTGAAGGCTCAATCTCGATGTCCATCGACCTAGAGTAAGGCGCTACGCAAGTGGATTGAAAAAGCTTATAAGAATTGGGCAAGGTAAGGTGGTATGTAAATGGCTTATTTTTTAATGTTTACAATGGGACTGAGTTGGTTCAGGGTCCCAAAGTTCATTGGTCATTGGTCATTGAATTGACATATTTATTGAAATTTATGTTAGAGAAATAATTTTTTTACAATCTGGTTTAAAAAATAGTCTTTTTGGGTGCTTGGTTATATCGGTTGCTTATGTTCTTACATAAGTTCTTTTACATGTTTATTAAACGCATAATCATGAGCATCCATTTTTTTTTCCCTTCAAATTTGAGAGTTGAGACATATAATACTAGTTCTATATTAATTAAAAAAAAATTATCTTTGTATTACAGGACCAGAGACACTTTTGTGCCAGTCCTCAAGCTTGGGTGCAAATGGTAGTACAGATGGATACTTCGAAAGAGATATCAATGATGCAATTGAAGCATATGAGTGGAAATGTGTGCGAACAATTAATGGTATTCTTCTCTTACTATTCACTTGATAGACATCAGCAGGCAAAGAATAGTTATCTCTTTCTCTTACTGAATTTTTAGGACTGCAGTTTGGTGATTTCAGTGAACCATGCAATCTTCTGATTTATTTTCTTCATGCGTGTGTTATTTTTGGTTTCAGGTGTTAGAATATTTGAAGATGTTGCTAACTCTGAGGTATCTCATTGTAGATAGATACGTGCATTTTTCTATATGTGTGTGTGTGTGAGCATCTGTGTGTTTGTTTCTGCGCGCATGTAAGAGAATGCATCACATTCTCAGCATCATCTCATTCTTTATTAATTCCACTGTTGGTAGAGTGGTAAAGGTGTTATTGTCAAGGCTGTTGCTGTCATCGATGCAAGTGCAGATACTGCTTTCGAAGTGCTTTTAAACCTTGAGCGACATCAGAGATATGAGTAAGTTGTCTTACATAATAAATATATCACTATACAAATTTTCTCTGTCTAATAATTTTCGTTTCAGGTGGGATATGCTGACAGGTGACTTGGAGCTGTTAGATTCTTATGATGGGCACCTGGATGTTGTCTATGGGACATTTGATCCTAGGTATCTTACTCGGTAATGATGTTATATGTGACTAGCTCTCTCTAATCTTTGAGAAAATACCTTCGTCTTAATTCTACTGATCAAGCCCTTATTTAATGTTTTATATATAGTGGAAATTTTGCATGGCTTCTTAACATAATAAAGTCAGTCTGCAGTCTTAACATAATAAAGTCAGTCTGCATTCTGTTTATTGTTTCATCATCGTGAGGTTTTCATTTGTTATAACATGTTATACAGGTGGCATTCGAAAAGAGATTTTATATTTTCTAGGCAATGGTTTTGCGGACAAGACGGAACATATAGTAAGACGATATAAATTTCAGCATTATCAATCTGAGTATAATTTCACTTCGTGAAGTAGAGAGTAAAGCTTAACTATCGCTTGCTTCATTTTTGTCCTCAAGAAAACATGGCTTTTGCCTTCCTATTTTGCTGATATCTTTTGTTAATCTTAATGCAGCAATCTTGCATTTCCCAGCTGTTCATAAGAAGAAGCCTCCAAGATCTGGATATCGTCGTACAAAAATAAATCGTAAGAGATTTTATCTGCTTTACAGAAGAAATTGATAATTAGTGAAGCTTGCTATCACAGATTTGTACCACTTGCCGTGGTTTTATAAAACCCTTGCAAATTTTAGGATGAATTGACTGGCTTGCTAGCACAGATTTGTAGCACTTGATAACATTTTTTTCCAAATCTGATGATGCTTGTTTTTTTATTTTGTTCTCATCAATGAAGCTCAATTTCTGCTATCAGAAAGTCTCCGTTTCTTCATTAAGTTGGTGTTCTTTTTATGTTTTTAATTTGTATCGCAGCATCTACTTGGGAGGTTAGAAATTTGAACACATCCATGGGTTCAAATACTCCAAGATGTCTTGTCACTCAAATGTTAGAGATAAATTCTGCGGGCTGGTGCAGATGGAAGAAAAATCACTGCTCAAAGTTTGAAAAGAGTGTACCTTATGCATTATTGTGCCAAGTGGGAGGTTGAGACATTAATTATCTATATTTTTCTGTTTTGTTTTGAATTTATGATCCGAATGTTCTATGCTATAAAAAAAAACCTTCATGTGAGAACTGTCACTCAACCTACCCTTAAACTGGTTTCCAAAACCATATAACATGAGATATCTCAAGTATTTCGTAAAATGTTTATTGCAAAGGCAGTTATGTTTCTTTTGTTTTTGTAATTGTTCAGGTCTTAAGGAATATATTGGAGCAAATCCTGCACTCAAATTTGAATCTTCTACTACAGTTATCCAATCAAAACTATCTGAAGTTTCCGTTTCCAATGCTGAATTTGAGGAGTCAGAAGTCAAGGATGAGTTTTATGATGCAATGTCTGCGGACTCTTCATCTTCTGACGAAGAACTTGACAACAAGGTTTTCCTTTTCTGATTTTCTTCATCTTGGAATGGAACACTATTTGTGGTCCAATTGAATGCATCTCACATTTGTATTGAGGTATTATTTTGAATTCCAGATATTAATAGCCACCCTCTATACTTTGCAGGATTCAAAATTGAACTTGGCCTTGAAGCGAACCTCAGGTTTGCTCACATCTAAGTACTTTTAATTATGCATTGATCTATTATGCTACTATAAATTATTATCATCAGTTTCAAGAGTGAAGCTATCTTATGTAACCTTCCTGCGTACTAGAATGGTGTCCCTTCTTTTTGCTTTCTTTTTATAAAGCTTTTACTTATTTAAGAACCAAAAGACATGAATACATTCAAAGACTGGTTTGTCATTATTGTTTACCGTTTTTAAAAAACTATCAGTGCTTAAGTATAGGTCATTCTGGATACAGCTGCAGATGCTAATAAGGAACTGGATTCTGAAGTGGCTCCTGTCATGATTGACCCAAGCCAATTCCGTGGTTCATTGCGCAATGGGAAGGATGAGGCTGACACAAACTGTTGGACATGTCCAAGCGGTACGGGATTTATGATCAGGGGAAAGAACTACCTAAAGGACAATTCCAAGGTGGGCTGTACTCTGCCTTGAACTAATTTGACTGAGAACTTGCACTGTGTTTGTACATTTGATCCGTATGTGGTGTTTGGTTTAGTTTCCCTTTTTTTTCCTTGGAACATTCTGCACGAAATTCGATGACTTCCGGTCATCTTCTTATGCTTATTGCTGACTCGCTCTTTCAAGGTAATGGGAGGAGATCCCCTTCTCAAGCTCATAGCAGTAGATTGGTTCAAAGTTGATAAAAGCTTAGATAGGATTGCACTCCATCCACGGAGTCTTCTTCAGGTAGAGTTAGTTTTTCATGTTCGAATTGCTTTTATATTGATAAAGTAAATTGTTAATTTGAAAGTTCATTTCTGATTTCTGTCTAAGCATACCCTTCTTGATTTCAGTCACAGGCTGGAAAGAAGCTTCCATTTGTACTTGTCATTAATCTCCAGGTACGTATATGAATTCCTCCCAAACCATTCCTTTGCTAGGAAATGGGATGACTGTTTGTCATTTACAGAAGTGCAGACGGAAATGGACAAGTAGTCCCAATCTTGTCTCATATTTGATATATGTCTCATAGACCAATAAAGCTAGGTTTAGAAGATAATGAGAGATATACGTTGAACTATGTTGATAAGTGAACTGCCCTCTTACTATCTTTATGATATGTCGTTTTTCTGTTTCAGGTTCCCGCAAAACCAAACTATAGTTTGGCACTTTACTATGCTTCTGACAGACCTGCAAAGCCAGGTTCTTTGTTTGCTCAATTTGTGGATGGGAGTGACATGTTTCGTGATGCACGATTTAAGTTAATTCCTAGTATCGTTGAGGTATGTTATGCTTTAACTCTAAAGTATGCGTAGGCACGTGGGTGTTCTACGTTTGATGGAAAAGAGTGGCTAATGGTTGTCTACTGTTACAGGGATATTGGATGGTCAAGCGTGCTGTTGGAACAAAAGCTTGCCTATTGGGGAAAGCTGTGACTTGCAAATATTTCAGACAAGACAACTTTCTAGAGGTAATTTAATCATATTAGTGTGCAGTTCCCTCTATTTGAGGATCCTGATGTGTTCCTCAACTTTCAGTCAACTGTAAAATTATTTTTGAGTTTTTTCTAGTTTGAGAAGTTTAGTAACTGAACAAACTTTCAAAGAATCTATATAACTATTTGTAGCAATAACAAATCTATGAGTGGCTAGCAATTTTTCTATGATACAAGCAGAGACTTACTTGACGGTGTAGAACTAAAGCTGTTATTTCCAGCATTATTGACCTTTCTCTGATGATTGCCCTGCTATATTCTGCTTGTTTTTTTTTAATGAAATAAACTACTACAACTTTTCAGATTGATGTGGATATTGGATCATCATCTGTAGCAAGGAGTGTCATCGGACTTGTCCTAGGATATGTCACGAGCATAGTGGTTGACCTTGCCATTTTGATAGAGGTTTGTGTCTTAATGATTGTTGCACTCTTGGGTACAGTGTTCCTTATATCAACTTTTGGTCTTCTTTTGGTATGAACGTGTTCGGAACTTGTTAAAGAGAGCTAAGTATTGGTAATATATAATTTGTACTTTCACCCATAGACATGCATGTGTGTGGAGAGAGAGAGAGAGAGAGAGAGAGAGAGAGGTGTATAACCAATAGGGAGATGGATAAATAAAGAGAGCTTCTAGTAACATTGCAAAAATATATCATAAAAAACAGAGCGTAGAAAAAATATTGATGTAACCTGGTTGCATGTGATAAACACATACTTTGCTTGCAGGCAAAAGAGGAGGCGGAGTTGCCCGAGTACATTCTTGGGACTGTTCGACTAAATCGTTTGAAGCTCGACTCTGCTGTCCGTTTGGAGGTTTGATGTTGTATCAACATTCTTTAGTCATTTTTACGACCTTTGTCATGAGCTATTGCTTCAACGGGGTGGTTTTCTTTTTCCTCATTTTTTTGTAAGAGTCACCAGGGTTTTGATTTGCATTACACGGTCTACTGTAGAATAAAACATTAATTGACTGTTATCACATGAAATATGAAGTAATACAAAGATGGAAGACCATTTCTTCCACTTGTCTTCTTTATCCAAATTCCGTTCGCAGTTTCAACTTTCAAGGACCAAACTGAGTTCATACTTTGTCAGTATATAGGCTGAAACACGTACATAAAATCTCCTCTTCCTTAGCTTTCTGGGAAGTGTTATTGTCGGAGAGTTTATTATTGTTACGGAACATTACTTCTGGTGATTGAGAGTTGTATATGTGAAGGTTATACATTTACTCTGGCATTCCCTTGTCTATTTTTTAACGAAATCCTGAATGATGTTAGATCTAAGTAGGGGGATTATGCTGGTGGTGGTGATGTAACGCTTAAGACAGGTTTAAGGGTTATTACTAACAATCAAACGCACAAGTGAAAACTAGCATAATTCAAAGATGGATGAGTGTCATAGAGTTTGATCATAGATGGATGAAAAGGGCCCCTTTCTTCAATCACTTTATTAACTCCACCCACTCTATCTTTGCTTTTCTTTTCTTTTCTTTTTATGTATTATACAATACTTTATGCATGATTGATTGATTGATGCCCTTTTTTTTAGCAAAATGTTAAATCCCATTTTGCTTATTAGTTTCTGCACCACTAATATTTTGACTAAATGTTTCCCCTATTTTAATCTCTAAATTAACAGAAAAACTTTCTTGTAATGAGGATAAGATTGTTTTACTATTTTCGTCTAATAATACAATGACATGTAAAAAAGTTATCATGCGTATCATTGCATTATTGGCTGAGAATAACAAAAAATATTATCCTCGTTGTATGAAAGTCTCTCTCCCAAATGAGACCCAACTAACTTCATGTACAGCATATCTCATTTCAAAGCAAGGTGATCAGTGGGTATCTTGCACCACATATGAAGAATGGGGTAAAACAGAATTTCTGAGAAAATCTAGGTTTAACAAAAAAAAATTTAATTGTACTTCATGTATATGATTGGATGAGGAGGTATCATATCAAATATAATAAGCTGTTACACTTTTTGACTCTAATGGGAATCCAATTCGGGTAAATTACTTCCCTAAATAAAAAGATGTGATGTTCTCAGCACACGGGCAAACGCAAATCCAATTCAAATCAAAGCAGATGTTGAAACTTGAAATAGTGAAGTTTGCTTTTCAATTTCAAACCTACCCTGTCGGCTGGAAACTTCTTCGGCTAGTTTTTTCTTTATTTTGTTTTTTTATCAACATTCAACACCATTGCATCATCTTCCGGGCTAAAACACTAGATACCATGTTTTGATCACTCATTCACACCATCACTTTTACTTGGGCCAAAAAAGAACCATAGATTCTTAAAGAACGGTTGTTGCCACTTTTATCACAGAGCCACCACAAGCAAGCGGCAAAGTGAAATAGGAAGATGACAAAATGTGCAATGTCTTGCAGCAGTGTTTATATATGGCATTGTATGGCATAGCAGCAGGTTTACATTAAGAGAGTCACGAGATTTCCTGAGGGATTTAATTGTCAGGGTAGCTCTGTCTCTGTGTGTGAAGTTGGTGAACCATTGCTTGCTTGCAGGCCCCTCTGTTCTCGTGAGCCGTGATAATGGTAAACCCAAAACTTGAATTACCAATTGGCACTGTTTCCTTTGAATCAACAGAGATTTGCACGACATGTATGTTTGTAAACTTTGTACTTTGTATTTATGGCCCTAGATTTTTCCCTTTTTTTAATTAAACCAAAATAAGTGTACTGATAATAATAAGACAGGCTTTTCTGGTCCTTTTTATACACTTTTAATACATTAATTCTAAAAACTCTAATGCTTTTAGCAGTTTTACTTTCCTCTGTTCCAGTTATGTTTCCTCTATTTGCTTTTCTTATGGGCATCACACGTTTTAACCTAAAAGTAGATGTTGACCCATTTCATCACAAAGCCGCCCCATCCATAGGAGAAATACTTACATACTCCCGTTTCATTGCCCCATTCTTTCTATATTTATCATCCTTTAATAAGTGACATGGGAAGAAAGATAGGAAGACATGAAAGTTTTTCTCCACCCATAAGGATGTACATGATGTGTGCTTAAGGAAACCTATCTCAATTTTACCTCCATCATGATCCAACAACAAAGATCTGGTTTTGTTTGAAGGGTTTCGATGCCCCTAAGCTAACTAATCCATCCCCACATACTTAACAAAGGCAAAATGTTTCCACTGTAATATAACCTCCTGGGAGGCCACTGCCATAGAGGCCACAGCATACTGCTCAATAAAATCGTTCAATTTTAGAAAATGTATAGCAAAAATGTTATGAACAAAAAAGGTTCAAGAAAACACGCATGCACGCACGCACGCACTCACCCGCACGATCTCTATTCCCTGGAATTCACTGTTACGGTCAAGATTCAAGAATGGGCGAAACCCTTTTGTGAATGTCCTTCCCTCAAGGAACACAAAAGGCTCTGCTGATCATAAATCAAGAAAAAGGTGACTTCTTTTATTGAACATCAACCTTGTCTTTACTCCTTTACCTTCCCTTTCCCCCTGCACTGCACTGCTCCTCAGCACCTGCCACTGTCATTTCAAATATCTTCAATCATATTTATCAATTCTTGTACTTATTACAATCTCATTAACAAGAAGTTATTACCTTGAAGCTGATTTGGCTGCATTTTTTTTTTTTTTTTTTTTTTTTTTTTTTTTTTTTTTTTAATTGAATTGAAATTCCTCCCTCCCTAATGTATGTATTGTTCATATTTCTTCTTAAAGCTTTGAAATTATTTAGTGTGCCCACCTAAAAAAACTTACTTGTAATGGAGATAACATTATTTTGCTACATCCGGCCAATAACACAATGACATGTGAAAAAGATATCCCGAGTGTCATTGTGTTAAAGTGATATCCTTGCATGAGAGTGTTTCTTGTGCCCACCCTTGTGCTGATGTGCACCATGAACACTGTAGGTGACAGCCATTATTGAAAGGAAACAGCAAAAGGTAATAAACATGCATTATGGACCATCATTACTGAGAAGATTATCTTATAAGAATCACAATCAAAGAACAGTTGATAGTCCAAAAATAATAGATTAAACAATTAATCACGTATTATGATTTATCTATCGTTCGAATTAACTAATGAATCATCTCCTCAAGTTGCACTAGGAACCTTTTTTGAGTGAAACTTTGTACCTGAACATCACAAAGGTGTTGGTTACTTATTAGGCCTAAACAGAGTAGTCTTTTTATAATTACCAAAGAATACATATCTTGTTATAATATAATAGTGAGGAGCAATTTGCTTGAAGAAGCCATCCAGCCTAAAGAGACTGTACAGAATACACCTTTACTATTTTCGATAACACATAAACATGGATATTGATTGATTCTCTCTCCTGTTAACTTATGTCCCACGGTGCGCAAATACCAATTCAGAATTCAAGTCACTCGCTCTCTGCTCTCTTATTGGATTCTTTCCAGTGGGAAAAAGAGATACCCTGCCTTCCTGTGAGATGAAAGCTTTATTCTTAGGAGATTTTACTTTATTCTTAATGGCCAACACCATCCAAATAAACCCAAAGCAAATAGAGGTCCCCTCTCGCACCCAAAAGCAACCCAACATACAATTTAATTATATTATATTCTCGTTTCAACTAATCAAAAGTATATCAGCCAGTCACCACTCCCTTTCTTTGTTGAGCCCTCCTCCTTTCGCTAGTTCCCATGCATCTCTCGCTAAAGTCTCACCAAAACAGACGGATACCTTATAATAATCTGACACATTTTTCTTTCTTTGGGTCTCTAAAATTGTCCCTCTCTCATCTCAACTGCGAGTTCCGATGGAGATTTTCCATTGCTTCTTCGACTTAAATTTTCTGCTCGTCCCTTTGATGTTCTTTGTGGCGGTTTCAGCAGCTGATCTATACTCAGACACCCTTCTGAGCTTAAAATCTGAGCTTGTAGATGACCATGGTAGTTTGGAAGACTGGTTTGTGCCTTCCGGATATAACCCATCTGGGAAAATCTACGCATGTTCTTGGTCTGGTGTCAAATGTAACAAGAACTCCACTGTTACTGGTTTAGACCTGTCAATGAAGATGCTTGGTGGTGCAATTTCTGGAAAGCAATTTAACGTCTTCACTGAGCTTGTTGATCTCAACCTCAGTTACAACTCATTCTCTGGCCAGCTCCCTGTGGGAATTTTCAACCTCACCAGTCTAAGAAGCTTGGATATTAGCAGAAACAACTTTTCTGGTCACTTTCCTGGTGGAGCCTCAGGTCTTGGAAACTTGGTTGTGCTTGATGCCTTTAGCAACAGCTTTTCGGGGTCATTGCCTACTGAGGTTTCACAGCTTCCACATCTCAAGGTCCTCAATTTAGCTGGAAGTTATTTCAAGGGACCAATCCCATCAGAATATGGTTCTTTCAAGAGCCTGGAGTTTCTTCATCTTGCAGGGAATATGATCAGTGGAAGCATACCACCAGAACTGGGCAAGCTCAAAACAGTCACCCATGTGGAGATTGGCTACAATTTTTATCAGGGAAGCATCCCGTGGCAATTGGGCAACATGAGTGAGCTTCAGTATCTTGATATTGCTTATGCAAACCTCTCCGGCTCAATACCAAGGGAACTTGGCAATCTCGCCAAGCTTGAGTCACTTTTTCTCTTCAGAAACCAGCTCAGTGGACTTCTACCGGGGGAATTTAGCAAAATCAGGCCTCTCACAAGCTTGGATCTTTCTGATAATCTGCTTTCTGGGCCTATCCCCGAGAGCCTTTTAGAGTTGAAGAGCCTTAGACTGCTCAGTCTTTTTTACAATGACATGAGTGGCACAGTTCCTGAAGGAATTGCAGAGCTTCCGTCACTAGAGACTCTTCTTATATGGAACAATTTCTTCTCTGGGAACCTTCCACAGAGCTTGGGCAGGAACTCAAACCTCAAGTGGGTGGATGTCTCTACAAACAACTTCAATGGCAGCATTCCAGCGGATATCTGTATGCAAGGTGTGCTATTTAAGTTGATGCTCTTTTCAAACAATTTTACAGGCGGTCTTTCCACATCTCTCTCCAATTGTTCTTCTCTTGTTCGTCTTCGACTTGAAGATAACTCATTCTCAGGTGAGATCCCTTTGAAATTTAGCCGTCTTCCTGATATCACATATGTTGACTTATCTGGGAACAAGCTTACTGGTGGGATTCCAATAGATATATCACAAGCTCCCAAGCTTGAGTACTTCAATGTTTCTAATAATCCAGAATTAGGGGGTACAATTCCTGCACAAATATGGTCTTCGCCACTTCTTCAGAATTTTTCTGCATCTTCATGTGGTATCATTGGCTATCTTCCCCCATTCCAAAACTGCAAATCCATATCTGTTGTTGAACTGAACATGAACAGTTTAGAAGGAACCGTTCCAGAAAGTGTTTCTAACTGCCAGGCTCTTGAGAGGTTTGCTTTAGCTTACAATAATTTATCAGGTCATATACCTGAGGAGCTTGCAGGTGTTCCTACCCTTGGTGTCCTAGACCTGTCACATAATAGTTTCAATGGACCAATACCTGCCAAGTTTGGTTCTTCTTCGAGCTTATTACTTCTAAATGTGTCTTTCAATGATATTTCTGGAACCATTCCTTCTGCAAAGCTATTAAGAGCAATGGGAAGTAGCGCATTCATTGGAAATCCAAAGCTATGTGGAAAACCTCTGAGACCATGTCCGAGTTCAGTGGCGATATTTGGAAGCAGAGGCGCCGGGAAGCTTATATGGGTCCTGCTACTGTGTGCAGGTGTAATTATGTTCATTACTCTATCAATTCTGGGGATAATTTATATCCAAAGAGGCAGCAAAAGCCAATGGAAGATGATCTCATTTGCTGGACTTCCTCAATTCACCGCAAATGATGTATTGATGAGCTTCAGTTCTATAGAATCCATGGATGCACTGCCTCCATTGTCAGCTTCAGCATGCAAAGCAGTTCTGCCCACGGGAATCACAGTTTCAGTGAAGAAGATTGAATGGGAAGCAAATAGAATGGGAGTTATGTTGGAATTTATTACCCAAATTGGGAATGCAAGGCATAAGAATCTAGCTCGATTGCTCGGATTTTGCTACAACAAGCATCTGGCTTATCTCTTGTACGATTACGCCCCCAATGGAAATTTGGCTGAAAAGATAAGAGTGAAAAGGGAATGGGCAGCCAAGTACAAAATTGTGATCGGCATCGCAAAGGGATTATGCTTCCTTCACCATGACTGTTATCCTGCAATTGCCCATGGAGACTTGAGGTCGAGTAATATAGTGTTTGATGAAAATATGGAACCTCAGCTGTCAGAATTCGGGTTCAAGCATCTGCTCGAGTTGAACAAAGGTTCATTTGCAGCAGCAACTTCCAAAAGGGATACAGGTATGCATAACAAAATGTGTTCTTTCGTGTAGTAGAGATCATCAATTATGTGATAGTTGTCTTCAAAAAGTTTTACCCTGCCATGCCAAACATATAATTTAAGGCCTTCCATCACCAGTACCATTACCAAAGTAGAGAATATATATACCTGAGCAACCTTGAGTATTTAACCCTCTGGAACTCAGTGAAGTCCTAACAAGAAAGTTTGTGATGTGCATAAAAGTAGAGTCAGTCACCTGATACAATGAAGACTAGCAAATCTAGAAGATTTATATATATTTTTTTTGCCTGTAGAAGCTGTGAAAGAGAATTATCTGAACACCTCGATTTCTTTTGCTATTAGAATCTATCAATTCTGTCATTACTCATTTTCTTCTTTTGTTTGGACCCAAAAGCAGCTGTTGAAAACTTTGTTTGTAAATGTTTGAACAGGTGATACCAATAGTGCCACAAAAGAGGAGCTATACAGGGATGTATACAGCTTTGGGGAGATCATGCTGGAAATTTTAAGCAATGGCAGGTTGACGAATTCGGGAGCAAGCATACAGAGCAAGTCAAGGGAAGTTGTTCTGAGAGAAATTTACAATGAGAATGAAGTTGTTACGAATGTTCCAGTGCGAGAGGAGATAAAACTGGTACTTGAGGTTGCTACACTTTGCACTATGAGTAGGCCATCTGATCGGCCATCAATGGAGAATACATTGAAGCTTTTATCAGAGTGGAAAAGCAACAAGAAAAATAACCCAACTATTGAAGCAGCAGCAGCAGAATTATGATTTTAGATGCATATTACCAATTAAAAACAAAGATATATATATACAAGATGAAGTACTTAAGTGAGAGATTTGGCTGTTTCTGTTTGTAGTGAATTTGTTGTTCTCTAGCTTGTTTCTACCATAAGCATTAGAAATGTTTTTGCTGTATAATATTAATTTTAATATTAATAACGGCATATAAATATAATATATAATATAGTATAAGTTTGTTGTGTTTTTCCAATTTCCATAGCCCTTGGTATTGAGTTAACAGAAGCAGTTTGTTTCACATTAACATTACAAAATCTTTTTCCATGAGACTTTTGCTTCAAATCTAACTCAGCCTTGAAATCTCAGTGTGTAAAGCATCAACGACGCCTTGAAAGCTATCAAATTGAGAGCTCGCCAAATCAACTCTAACCCCAAGCCTGTGGGCCCCAGCCGCCGTGATGGGCCCGTGGGCCGCAACCAACATCTTGGGACACCTCTTCTTGGCAATCTCCCAATCCAGCCCAAACTCCTTGAAGCTCTTCAGTAAGCCCTCCACCTCCGCAGTGCTCGTGAACACCATCGCATCCAACGCTCCTTCCTCAATCCTCTCCACCACTTGCTTAGCGCACCCCGGCCCGGCCCACCGCGTCTCGTACGCATTAACCCTAACCGGAACCCAACGCTTGGCCTCCAAGTCTCGGAGAAAATCGGGGACCACAGGAGGCTCAACCAGTCCCACCACGACCGGGACTGGACACAACACCCTCCGATTGCGTCCGTCTCCTAGTGCTTCAACTAAGCCGCTCGGAGTCGCAGTCGGAGGGACTAAAATTCTAACCCGGTTAGGATTTGAACAGAGCTTATGGACGAAGTTGTCGTCCATGAGCTCGGCGTCCTTGCCCAACGCGGCGATAATGAATGCATCGCCGTACGGCGACAGGAGAGGGTGATTGATGTCTGCGGCGGCGGCAGAAAGGGCGGTGATTGCGGTGCGTGAAGGGAAGGCGATGGCGGAGAAGAGGTCGAGGGAAGGGGGTGGCGAGAGGTAGGGTTTGAGAGCGGAGATGGTGGATGGGGTGGGCTGGACGATGAGCGTGGGAGAGGAGATAGGGTTGAATCCTTTGAGGGCGAGGAGGTGGGCCAGCCTGGCGGCGTAGTTTGGAGGGGTGGTGAAGGCAACTGTGGGTGTGGCTGTGGGCACGCTCATGATGCTCCGGTGCTAAAGCAAAAACTTGTTTGTCTGCAAAATGTTAATCCATGGCAGCCCAAAAGCAGTAGGCACCATGGTAAATGCTAGCCCATGGAAAGCGTCACTAGTCAAAGGAAAGCCCAGACCCACGCCCAAACTAGTACCCGACCCAACTAAAGAAAAAAAAACAGAGATAATTTGCAAAGTCGTTGGAATTTGGAGCGACCATCAAGTCATTATAAATTATTCATCATGATCAAACTAGTTTTCAATTTAAAAGTATTTATCTTTTCAGGGTTATATGACTTCTTGTATTTTCACATTTTGGGAACATTAAAATGATTAAGTTCAACATCAAACGCAAAAAAAATAACCTCCGTACAATCAATGGCTAAGAAAGCGCACGGACTTCTTTCACACGTAACTTTTGGAATATATATTGTGACATGTAATATCAATCATCAATATAGATTTATAATCCATAATTATGATTAGGTGCATATGTTAAATTAACGCCTAACATGAATATATACGATGTCTTTGACAAAAAAGAAAGAGTATATACGATGTCCTTATTATTCACCCTCATTCGTGTTGGTCATGTTATCAAAATATTATGAAAGTGCATTACAAATTAATAAAAATTACGATATCAAGTTACAACTTACAATAAAACAATACCAAATACACTATCACATGAGATGGTAAATGTATGTCATGTCGTGTGTTGATTAAGTTAAGTGTGATAAATTATATATACATTATTTCTCATGTGTTGGTTGGTGTTTAGGTGATCGATATTTACAAAAGATACCTTATTTTCACTTCACATTCGTCATCTCACATGTTAACATTTTATCGTGTCACGTGCTAATTAGGTGATCATTTATTACAAACGATATATTCTTTACCTTTTATTGTACGTAAAGGAATTTCACATCACCCTTTCATGTGCTATTTAAGTTAAGTGATCAATTATTACAAAAGATACCTTACTTTCACTTGACATTCATCCTCTCATGTGTTAACATTTATCGTATTACAAAAAGATACAAAAGAATATTCTTTACCCTTATAGTATGCAAAAGAATTTCTATGCTAAGGCAAGCATTTGTTATTACAAAAAGATACATTCTTAACACTAGTAGTATGCAAAAGAATTTCTATGCTCAAGGCAAAGCATCTGTTTATAGGATTTTATCACCAACATTTTTGAAAATGCAAGAAAACCCGGGAGGAGAGGGATGCTAGTAGACTCAGCAAGTCAACCAGTCAGCTCTCTAATACAAAAAATCATAATCCAGAGTGCAGTGCTGACCCGGACCCACTCAAAGTTGTGCTTAGTCAAGGCAAACAAGAAAAGTAAAGGCAACCAAAACCAACGCCCTTCGCAAGCAGCAGCAGCAGAGGCTGCCTACGCTACGAAGTACGAACACACCGAGTCACAAGCACGCAGCGCACACGCAACCTGAGCGCAACAAGAAACAACACTCTCTCAGAGCCTCACGCTCTGCTTCGGCCAACGCTCAAGTTCAACGCCTAACTGCGAAGCCGATCCTCTCACCTCCAGTAGCATGGACGACGCTGGTTCTACTTCTTCACAGTCTGATCAGGGTGCCTCTTCTGGGGCTGATGATGTTCTGGTTGAATCGGGTGCTGGAGCTCCGAAGTCAGACAAGGACCCGAGGAAGGTCGCCAGAAAGTATGATTGGCTCCTCTCTCCATTACATTGTTAACTTGATTTTGCTTATTTTTTTTCGCTGTTCCTGCATTTCTTTCATTTATTTTTGTGCACATTACTTTTTCTCTGTTCTGCTCCTGTGAAATGTTGAGGAAAATAAAGGTGAACGTAGGAAAATGTTAGATATTGAGTTTTAGTTACGGAGAAGTAATGCTCCCATTAGACTTATCACTCGTGTTTCTGTAAGATGTGGTTTTTTGTTTTTTTTGTTGTGAGAAGTTTTCTTTACCAATGACATAAACCAAATGCTTCTTATCAGAAAGCATGAATGAAATGCTGGGGTTTATGTTTGATTTTGAACTTGAATATCAAAACGCTGTTTTCTAGGTTTATTATTATGTTTGTTTTTTTCCCCAAATGTTTTTGTTTCTAATTATAGTTCTTCTAATTTTTCATTTTAAAGGTATCAATTGGAGCTATGCAAGAGAGCTATAGAGGAGAATATAATTGTGTATCTAGGGACTGGTTGTGGGAAGACCCACATAGCGGTCTTGCTTATATACGAGTTGGGCCACTTGATACGCAAACCTGAAAAGAACAAATGCATATTTCTTGCGCCCACAGTGGCTCTGGTTCAACAGGTGATATGCTCTTCTACCCTTTCTATTCTGTACAACTCGATAATATCTTTTTCGTTGCAATATTTGGTTACCTTTAAGTTTGAGTCTTTGAGATGCAACTTGTAGCTAACTGGTGGTTAGTGGTTTACTCCGAAACAATATAGAGGTGTCCCCTGGAGACTTGACTCTTATAGCAATTGGACTAACTGGGTTTGGTTTTAACAGTCGCGTTCCGTGCTAACTCAGAAGAAGCTATTTTGTAAAGAGGTCCATGGTGTGTTTTGTCAAACTCACCATATCACTATTCAATAATACCTCGCAATGAAAAAGTTTTTTATTTTTATTATATTAGACACGCACAAAAATACTTGTGTGAGTCCTTCCAATCTAAACTGTATGTTCTTGCTATTATCTTCCCATGACTTCTTAGTGCTAATAATGCTATTTCTGTATGGTGATTCAATCAAGGTCCAGCACACATTAACAAGTTTACATTTGTATGAATCTTTTAATATACCCTTATTTTTCTTGGTAGGAATTACAATGTTAGTGAGAAAACATGTACATTTTAATTTCCATCACTACATGGTTTATTCATTTATTAAAAAATTGCAGCAAGCCAGGGTTATAGAAGATTCCCTTGATTTCAAGGTTGGGATCTATTGTGGAAGCTCTAACCAATTTAAGAATCATCGAGATTGGGAGAAAGAGATGGAACAATATGAGGTAATAATGTTAGTTGATTGATCTGAAAATTTATAATTATTTATATTTTCCTCTCACAAGGAATTTTTCACCTTCTAATAGATTTAAAGTTGATGTTGCATGTGTCTGTAATTCCACACTCACATGGCCAGCTATATGTATACTACTACATCTTTTCCTTTCAGATATTAGTGCTTTTAGATCAACTTAGAGAAGGCTAAGATGAGTGAGATATCATCCGCTTCCTATCAAGTTACCAAGTGGAATTTACTTTAAGCAATTAGAATTTTGTAAAATTTCTGCATTGTATAGAATGTATAGAATTTTCTAGCTTTGTGAAAACTATTTATAATTCTTCTTTCTACCAGTTGTGATACAGCTCTCACAATTCTCGATCAATTAGAATTACATTTTCATTTGTGTTGATTTCTTTGTGCAGGTTCTTGTTATGACCCCTGAAATACTTCTACGTAACTTATATCACTGTTTCATTAAGATGGAGTCAATTGCATTGTTGATTTTTGATGAGTGTCATCATGCTCAAGTCCAAAGCAACCATCCCTATGCAGAAATTATGAAAGTAAAGAGTTCTCAAACACTTCCACTACCTGTACAACACAAATCCTAATCTGCATCTTTATGAGACTTAGTTTGGTTTGTTGACATGAGTTACCTTAACAAATTTTGTCCACAGTTGTTCTACAAAACTGATGACACCAAACTTCCCCGTATATTTGGCATGACTGCCTCTCCAGTTGTAGGGAAAGGTAATGTTCGTTCAAAGTTATAAATGTTGTACCCTATGAACGTTTATGCCATGCTGATCAAAATGGTCAGCTCTGTCATCATATCAATTTAGAATTTATCAGGCATAAATCATTGTAACATCCTTACGTGCCTGCTACAAGTGTTCTGGTGAGATTACATGTCATTCATACCCTAACTTGTGTGGAACTGAAGTATCTTTGTCTTAAACCAGATGCCATGCCATATAGGAACTTCAAAGAGGTGGTTAGAGTCCCTTCTATCATTAAAGGAAATTGGAAACATTTTTGTATGCTTCTTTATTATAGCATGGGTTCATACAAATAAACTTCTTTTTTATTGGTTTATATACTGTTATGAAGTATTTAAATCATCTCCTGGGAAATGGTAGTACTTACATTCTTGGATGATTCAATGTGGGTATATATTCTGTAAAAATTTAATTTGTCAAGTTTATAATTTAATTTATGATAAGAATTTGATTAAATTCCTCAAGCAATGTATCCAGAGGTAAACATTACAGCTGGGAGATGATTATAAGCTAGGCAGCTGCTAAAATCTTTTGGTTTGTCCATTTCAGCCATCATTAGGATTGGGAGGGGAAGAGGTTTACTGTTGTTTTACGGTCCATTTGCTGCTTTTGTGTCCAAATATAGCTAGATATACACAAACAAATGAAGTAAAGGTTGTTGAAAGATCTAATAGAAGCTTCATCCAGGAATCTATAAGGAGATGGTATCTTATTATACCAATTTTCTTGTTCTATGGCATACCTCTTGGATTCCTGCCTTGCTGGTTGATGATTATCCTTTATGTTGTGTGTTTTCTAGTCATTGTTGATCATTTTTAGAATTTTTTTTTTTTTTTTTTTTTTTTTTTTTTTTTTTTTTTTGTCTTTTAATTTCTTAATATTTACATGCACGTTTACTCTTTCAGGTGCTTCGAGTCAAGCAAATTTATCAAAAAGCATCAACAGTCTTGAAAGTTTACTTGATGCTAAGGTGGGTTGTGGAAATTTTAAATTTGAGATACTTATGGGTTAGAATCCTTGTCTTTTATTTTCTTTGAAGTAATTCTAGAAATAGTGTCTCCAGAGTACCCATCTAGTTTATAAGGACCTGTGGAACATATGGCTGTATTCTTGTTTGACATATTTACAAGGTCTTGATTATGATCCTTGCCATGCCAAGGCTTTCCATTCAGGTTTTAAGCTCCAGTTTGTTAACAATGACTCTCTTTATAGCTTGTTGAGAGTATAGAATCCTACATCGGGAATTCTATGCCTTAAGTCACAAAATGTTAGCAATAAACATTTTGAAAACTGCTTAGCCTTTTCGAACTAAAGGTTCAAGAGAATGGAAGCAGTGGCCTGTTAATATGAAAGAATCTCTATAGCACTAAAATTTCTTAGTTAAATGTCTCTCCATCAGTACGTATTCCAATGCTTTTATAACTGAGTATCACGGATAACATAATTGACTGATCAAAATATCAAGACATGCCCTAGAAGTGGCTCATTAGTTTGGAACCAAATTCTCTTTGGGCTGGCTTTCTTCAGTGGCTGGGCATGCACTATTGCTGTTACAATTCTGGTGCTTCTGATTCTCATAGCTAATCCATAAGTTCGCCCTTATTTTGTAGGTTTATTCAGTTGAAGATAAGGAAGAATTAGATCATTTTGTCTCTTCTCCTGTTATCACGGTGTACGATTATGGTCCTGTTATAAGGAACACATCCAGTCACTATACCTCTTATTGTACTAAGCTTGAGCAGATCAAACGGCAGGTATGTTGTTTTGACATTTATTTTGGTTCTAGACTGGCTTTTACTTGTTCACAAAGTTTTTGTTCTCTATCGTGGTTCTTGCTTTGTCATTGACAGTGTATAGAAGAACTTAGTAAGAAGACGAATGACTACCAAAGTCTAAGAAGTGCAAAGAAACTGTTGAACAGAATGCATGATAGTATACTATTTTGCTTGGAAAGTCTTGGCCTTTGGGGAGCATTGAAAGTAAGGAACTTAAATATAATGTTTTTATTGGTTTCTCTAATTATTTTTTCCTTCCTGTCAGTTTTACTCACAAGAAAGGAGAATATTTATTAGTAATACTGTATTTGGTATTTTCTTAATTGATTTTTTGTATTTTTTAATATTTTAAAATTATATTCTCTTTCCTTCTTTTTTTGTTTCCCTTTCGAAGGCTAGTCATATTCTTCTGAATGGTGATCACTTTGAACGGAATGAACTAATGGAGGAGGAAGGAAATAATGGTGATGATACTGTATGTGTTAATTATCTGACTCGGGCTGACGATATCCTTGCTACTGACTGTTTGAGAGGTAATCTAGTGTGTAACCTTATACAATCGTATTGTGTGGTTCTAATTATCTGTGGATCACTACTTTCACTGAACTTCATTTTATATTTTGATGCATAATCATTAATGAAACAATGTTTGATTTGTGAAACAACAATTTTTTTTAATTTTTATAGTAATATTAACGATGAAATTTTATTTTCTTCGTTCCCATAGATGCCATTGCAGATGATCTATCTTGTGTAGAGATTTTAAAGGAACCATTTTTCTCAAGAAAGCTCTTACGTCTGATTGGAATTCTTTCATCCTTCAGGTTGGTATTTATGGGAGCATCTGTCTTCTATGACAATTATGTCATTGTGACTGTCACATGAAAGATAATGAAACATTTAAGCAGTTTCTGAGAAGCATGCAGTTGATACCAAGGTTTTGAGAATCCCAAAAAACTTAAACATGGCACCATGGAAAATCTGAATGCAGTCATCACTTTTCATCTGACCCTAAATATCATACTATTTATCATTGGTTTTGTGCTCACTAAGACATTTACTCTTATTCTTGTACTCTAATCTTCCGTTGCCTTAAATCCTTGACCATATGTGTGGTAGTTAGTAACTTTTAATTAAAAGATATTTTTTCCTTTTTTCAGGTTGCAACAAAATATGAAATGCATAATTTTTGTAAATAGGATTGTTACTGCGAGTTCCTTGTCATACATACTACAACGCCTAAAGTTTCTTGCATCTTGGAAGTGTGATTTCCTTGTAGGAGTCCACTCTAGATTGATGAGTATGTCAAGGAAGAAGATGAACATCATTCTTGATAAGTTCCGATCTGGAGAGGTAATGGTTAATATTTTTATGTTAACCATAAATTATATATACATAATATGATCCTCTGCAGACTGAGATTGGATCTAATTCCTTTAGTTTGTTGATTTGACAGTTGAATCTATTGATTGCAACTAAAGTTGGTGAAGAAGGACTAGATATTCAGACTTGCTGCCTTGTGATACGATTCGATCTTCCAGAAACTGTTGCTAGCTTTATACAATCACGAGGTCGTGCGCGGATGCCTCAATCTGAATATGCATTTTTGGTAAACAGGTGCTTTTCTAAAGCGTATGTTTTATGTTAGCCCATTCTTTTCGTTCCTTTTCCTTTATAAGTCCGAGTAACTGTTATTTTTTATGTTGCAGTGGCAACCAGAAGGAGTTAGATTTAATAGAAAAGTTCAGAAAAGATGAAGATAAAATGAACATGGAAATTGCTTTTAGAACATCCAGCGAGACATTTATTGGTTCAGAGGATAGGATTTATAAAGTCGATTCATCTGGTGCTTCCATCAGTTCTGGATATAGCATCTCGTTATTACACCAGTATTGCTCAAAGCTTCCACATGATGAGTAAGCCCTCATGCTGAATTGGCCCCTTTTATATGCTTTTGCCCATTTCCTAAATAGGCTATGACTTCATTCACTTGAAAAGCTGTGTAAAACTTGTATAATTATAAAAGCCCTCATGCTGAATTGGTCCCTTTTATATGCTTTTGCCCATTTCCTAAATAGGCTATGACTTCATTCACTTGAAAAGCTGTGTAAAACTTGTATAATTATAAATTTGAGTTGAGATGTATCTCTTGTTGCAGGTACTTTGACCCCAATCCAAAATTCTTTTTTCTTGATGATTTAGGGGGAACTGTTTGTCATATAATTTTACCTTCCAATGCTCCAATTCATCAAATTGTCAGTACACAACAATCTTCAGTGGAAGATGCCAAAAAGGATGCTTGTCTAAAAGCCATCGAAGAATTGCATAAATTGGGTGCCTTAAGTGACTATCTCTTACCACAGCAAAGCAATCCAAATGTGGAGGAGTTGATGCTAGACTCTTCTGATTCTGACAGTACCGAAGGTTGAACATCAACTCACTTTTAAGACTTTTGTTTTGTGAGAATGTGGGACATTTTCACCTTCACATTCTCACAGGTTTCTTTTATTATTATTTTTAATTCAATTCCCTTTGTCTCCATTTATGCCAGATGAGGATTCGCGAGCAGAACTGCATGAGATGCTAGTTCCTGCTGCTCTAAAAGAGCCATGGAGTAATTTGGAGGATCATGTTTCCCTCAGCTCGTATTATCTAAAATTTAACCCTGTTCCTGAAGATAGGATCTATAAAAGCTTCGGTCTATTTGTCAAGGCACCCCTCCCAGTAGAAGCTGAATCAATGGAACTTGATCTTCATCTGGCTCATGGTAGATCTGTTATGACTGAGTTAGTTCCATCTGGATTTGCAGAATTTGGCAAAGATGAGGTAGACAGTTACTTTCAGAAAAATAATATTTTTGCTTTTGTCTCTCTCTCACCATTCTGAATTTCTTTTTGCAGATATTGCTGGCACAAAATTTTCAAGAAATGTTCCTCAAGCTTGTTCTTGACCGGACAGAATTTGTTTCTGAGTTTGTTCCATTGGGAAAGCATGATTTTAGTCGATCAAGCTCATCAACATTCTACCTGTTGCTTCCTGTAACTTTGGGTAACAATTATAATATAGCAAGCATAGATTGGAGGACTATCAAAAAATGTTTATCATCTCCAGTTTTCAGGGCTCCAGGAGATGCTTTGGGCAGGAAAAGTCATCGTTCGGATATACGACTTGCATCAGGTTACAAAAGCATAAGTGATGTTAAGAATAGTTTAGTCTATGCCCCATATAAGAGTACATTTTATTTCATCACTGATGTTGTTCAAGAAAGGAATGCTTACAGCCCATATAAAGACTCAGGCACTTTAAGCTATGTGGATCATTTAATTAAAAAGTAGGTAACTGATTTTCTGTCCCCTTGAATCCATTAATGTCAGCATGAATTCATTCTTAGCAATGTTATATTACCTTGTTCCATATGTTTCTGGTTATTGGAAAGAATTTGAAGGGATATACATGAATTTTGGCATCCATCTTACGTTACTCATTTATTAATCATGGGAATTTTGCTTAAATGTTCCAAGCAGGTTTCACATTCATCTTAAATACCCTGAGCAACAGCTTCTGCACGCCAAACCACTTTTCTGTTTGCATAATTTGCTACACAACCGAAAGCAAGAAGATTCAGGTAATTTGAAATGTTGCCTTGTAGATTGCTTCATTTTTGTCATACTAATCGTACATACATACTTACATCTATACATGCATGCATATTCTCATGCGTATACATGTTATGCTTAATGATGCAGTAAAGTTGTGTTTTTTAATGTTAAAGGAGAAAAAACTATGGTTATCTATAGAACAGTAACAGAATTTCCAAAAAGAAAGAGTGGAAAGTGATTCAGTATGTAATTTATGTTGTTTGTGAAGAAATATGGCCTTTATGTGAATTGAGTATTACTAAATACTAATGTGCATCATAGAATGAAGATATTTATGTGCTTACAAGAAACCTATATATGATTATAATCTTCAACTTCAGTAGGCTGAAGTACTTTCATTCCAGCTTAGGTTCCTAATTTTATTCCTTTCCTTTTTCCTTTCCCATGAGAATATCAATTATAATGAACGGCCTTTTGTTTGACTTTGGACTCATCTGAATGTTTATTGCATTTGTTTGTGTTTGTGAGTGTTTTCCACTTAAGTAATAATATTGAAGTTTTTAATGTTATCAAAACAGGACCTCAACAACTAGATGAGTATTTTATTGACTTGCCTCCTGAGCTTTGCGAGTTGAAGGTAATAGGCTTTTCAAAAGATATCGGGAGTTCAATATCTTTGTTACCCTCAATCATGCACCGTCTAGAAAACTTGCTTGTTGCCATCGAACTGAAGCATGTATTATCTGCTTCTTTCCCGGAGGGAGCTGAGCTTACTGCTGAGAGAGTAAGGCCTTTCTCTATAATGTTATTTGGAGTTTTGGCTTTGATAAATACTTTATTGGTCTAATTTGGCCATTGCACTACCCAAATCTTCAAATGACTAATCTGAATCCTGTGGCGTTGAATCTTTATACAAGGTTCTAGAAGCACTCACAACAGAGAAGTGCCAGGAGCGATTTTCCCTTGAAAGGCTTGAAATACTTGGTGATGCTTTCCTTAAGTTTGCAGTTGGACGACACTTTTTCCTTTTGCACGATTCCCTTGATGAAGGTGGACTAACAAGGAAACGTTCTAATGTGGTAAACAATTCCAATTTATTCAAGCTAGCCACAAGAAGCAACTTGCCGGTATGATTTTATTTTAGGAAATGATTCTTATTTTCTAAATTTTGTTTATCCATGATCTTTTTAATATGCTAAATATTTTTGGTTTTGTTTGCTTCTCCCTCTGCTTGATATTCTGTAATTACTTTATACTTTAATTTCTAATTATCTTTTAGCGATTCTTTAACAATTAGTGATCTTTGAATGTTTCTATATGGGGTCTGAAATAGATTACAAATAAAATCAACCCTTTGATGCTAGTGCTCATGGTCTCTTTCCAACCGGGATGATAGGTGACAAACATGCTACTCCGAAGTGCTTAAGAAATAAATACGTGAATTAAATTGTTAGGACTATTCTGTGGAAGTAATGATCATCTGTACAAATAAAGGAGTTTGACATGGAAGTGTTTTATTTCTGCCTAATGCTGTCCTCTCTCTGGTTCAGGGACCTCCCAACTTGTTTAATTTGAAAAATCTTTGGCAAATTTGGTTCCTCTTACCTATGCTAAATGTTCTACACTCACATTGAGATCATTCAGTGAAAAACAAAGCACTTTTTTGCATTTAAGGGTTTTTTATTTTTCTGCAATTATAGTGCATTGCTCTTTTTTTCAGGTATACATACGGGATCAGTCATTTGAACCCTCTCAGTTCTTTGCTTTAGGCCGTCCTTGCCCAAGAATTTGTGGGAAGGAGACAATAGGAGCTATTGATTCTCAAGGTTTATGTAGTGTTGTAAATCACACAAATTCTAGTGAGGTCAGATGTAGTAAGGGTCACCATTGGTTGTATAAGAAAACCATTGCTGATGTTGTTGAATCCCTCATTGGAGCATTCGTAGTTGACAGTGGCTTTAAAGCTGCAACTGCATTTCTTAGATGGATTGGCATACAAGTAGACTTTGAACCATCACAAGTTACCGAAGTATGCATAGCAAGCACTAGATACATCCCACTATCTGCTTGCATGGATATTGCTGCCCTTGAAAATTCATTAGGGTATCAGTTTGTCCACAAAGGTTTGCTCTTACAGGCATTTGTACATCCTTCTTACAACAAGCATGGAGGAGGCTGCTATCAGGTGTGCCCTCTATAGTCATTTTTGCTTCAGTTGTGGTTGTGAAACATAAACATTTTCCTATCTGCTTAATAACCTTGTCATACTATCCTGCACTTGTAACAATTCATATTATGCCCACTTCAATCTGCTTTGCATTGATGGTTTTGATCAGAGATTGGAGTTTCTTGGAGATGCCGTCTTGGATTACTTGATCACCTCATACCTGTATTCAGTTTATCCAAAGTTGAAGCCTGGTCAATTGACAGATTTGAGATCAGTATCTGTGAATAATAAAGCCTTTGCTAATGTTGCAGTAGATCGGTCCTTCCACAAATTTCTAATCTGTGATTCTAGTAGCCTTTCAGAGGCTATAAAAGTTTATGTGGACTTCATCGACACCCCTGCATCAGAAAGGGGTCTTCTTGATGGGCCAAAATGTCCAAAGGTATGCATTCAGACTTCCATGTTACTAATTTTCAGAAGTAAACCCATGCCATGCCAAGTTTATGACAATAATTAAAAAGGAAAACTTCCATCCAATGCATTTTTTATTTTTAGATGATATTTCCTGTATATGCAATCAATAACATGGAGTCATAAGATGTACACCATCAACATTAAAGTTTCATGCTTGGAAAATAAATTTTTTTTTTTTTTTTTTTTTTTTTTTTTTTTTTTTCCATCCATCCTCTTCATTATAGCATGGTCTACTGACAGGAAACTTTGTAAATAAAGTTGTTTATATCCTTTCATTTTGAGTGGTGGGAAGAAGCATACCTCTGGACTTTTTTTCTCCTTTGTTTAGATGAATTGAAGCATGCCTCTGAATTAGTAATAATTCTTCATCTGAATCTTTAATGATTAAAATTAATGCTTCAGTCTCTGGGCGACTTGGTGGAGTCCTGTCTGGGTGCAATTCTTCTTGATACAGGGTTCAATTTGAACCGTGTTTGGGAGATAATGCTATCCTTTCTGAAACCAATCATGAGCTTTTCCAGCTTGCAGCTTAGTCCTATTAGGGAACTACGGGAACTTTGCCAAGCTCATACATGGGATCTTCGGTTTTTACCATCGAAGAAGGGTAAAACATATTCAATTCAGGCAACAGTGGAGGGGAATAATGTTCGTGCAACTGCTTCCTCGACTAGCTTGAACAAAAAGGATGCTATTAGAATTTGTGCAAAACTGATTTTTGCCGAGTTGAAGGTAAAACTGTATGCTTTGTGTTCTTCATGCTACACTGATTATATTGTATCTAGCCAAGAGACGGACCCAGGTGGCTCACCTAGGTTCCAGCCCACCCATGTTATGAGGGATGCCTTCTATTGGTATAGGGCCATCTGAGTTTGGGTTTGAAAATATTACCCCACTTTTGTCGTGCACATAATGAGCAAGCAGAAGTGTCACATAGCGAAATTGTTTTCATTTTATTGCACCAACGTTTTGATGTACTGCTCCATCTTTGATGGTACCTCATTATTAGTTTCCTTTTGTGATTTGGGACGCCTTTGATTTTTATTTTTATAGTGATTATCTTGTTGAGACCTGCTGTTTTGTCTCTGAAGATACTTTCTTTTGCTAGAACTGTTAAGTTCTGTGACGAAGCCATAAACATAAAGGACTGCTTCATCAATTGTCCCAATACCTTATTTGTAATATATAGTACGTTTTAAATACACATAAGTATGACCTTTTATATCAAACATTGTGACTTACGATACTAGGATAAGCAGACAATCTCCCTTTTTTGGGGGGATACGGTACTTATTTCACTTAGATTCGATGTAATTAACTTCTAATTTTGGGGCTCATTTATTGGAATTGCAGGCTCAAGGAAATATACCCAAGACAAAATCTTTGGAGGAAGTCTTAAAGTCAAGCAGTGAGATGGAAGCTAAACTTATCGGATATGACGAGACACCAATAGATGTTGTGCTTCCTGATGTGATTGGATTTGACAAATTAAATGTACAAGAACCTTGCCGAAGAAACTTTAATTCCAAAATGCATATCAAAGAAGAAAGAAATGGTGACTCCTCCTGCATTAAACCTGTACTGCAACCCCCACCTTCATTTGAAGCAGTCAAAATACAACCAAGCGAGACCAGGGGAAATCCCAGCTGTGATGCTAACTCACAAGCCAAAGGTACTGTTAATGTTTCTTGTATTAGCAGGGTATCAAGTATGGAGTATTTCTCAAATTTTCTTACTCTCAGAAAATCTTCCAGGCGGATCACACAAAGCAACAGCAAGAGCTCGTTTGTATGAAATCTGTGCTGCAAACTATTGGGAACCACCTTTGTTTGAATGCTGCAATGAAGACGGACCAAGCCACTTAAAATTGTAAGTCTATCATATTATAGCGATAATACTAAGGTGTGTGTATTTTCGGGTTTTTGTTACTGGTAGTAAGATCTTTTTTCAAGTGAAAAATTTGCAGTTGACTTCTATACTGTTTTCTTATACACTCAATTCAAACCCTTTACAGGTTCACCTTCAGGGTTGAAGTAAAGATAGAAGAAGCTCCAGATATGATATTAGAGTGTTTTGGATCACCTCATGGGAACAAGAAGGCAGCAGCAGAGCATGCAGCAGAAGGGGCACTTTGGTACTTGAGAAACGGAGGGTATATAAGTAGTAGTGACTAAAATGGTCACAATCTTTTGCCCTGGAGACTGGAACCCAGAGAACAATTTTTGTTTTTGTTGATGATTGTGAGTTGTGTGCTGAACACAAAGATAGATGCCCGATTCTACAAAAAGTGCATGTGTGCGTCTATATATGCATATGTGAAAATGTTCTTTTGCCAATCAATATGGCACGTTATGTTGTCAAATTGTCAATCTTAATCATTAATTGTGCAATTAATGATTAAGATTGACAATTTGACAACATAACGAGCCACAATGTTTGGCAAGAGAACATTTTCATACATATATAGCGAGAACATTTTCATACATATACCACATTTTCATATACATAGAACGTTTACATACACGACAAGAGAATATTTGTACAAACAGATATTCATATCTACATGCATACACGTATGCTAATTATGAGTGATTATTACCAGAGACTCATTTTGTGTGGAAGGCAAAGGACTCCTATAAATATCCCAGCTGAACCAATGTACAAGATAATTACTGCCTAATCAAGCTCATAATTAGATTGGCATTTATTTATTTATTCAATTTTTGTGAACAATACAACAATACAAATATGTAGCAAAACTTAATTGGAACGTATTACACGAAGGAAAATGCTAGAGGCACCAACTTTGGGCACCAAGTTGGGCACCAACTCTCTAATAGAGCGTGGGACCCGGTGTATTCGCGGGCTCCACCTCTATTAGAGAGTTGGTGCCCAACTTGGTGCCCAAAGTTGGTGCCTCTAGCACCACCCTTACACGAATTACGAATCATAGAACTACATCACGTTATTTTAACTTCGCCAAAATATTACACCCATTAATTGCTGTCAACAGTCATTTTAACAGTCACATATCTTGATCCGACGGGTATTATAAAGGGAGTTTCACTAAAACACCCAAAATGAGGACTGAAATTATAAAAAAAACCCAACATTCAAAACACTTTATAAACACACCCAAAACCCATTATTACACACATTCAAAACTAATTTATAAACACATCCAAAAAATATATAATTGTTGGTTTTGGGTGTGTTTCTATGTTTAAATAGTGTTTGGGTTTTTTTTATAAATACATGTCTAGGATTGAGTTTATTTATAAATTTATATATTATAAAAGTCACGTGCTACTGCCAACTCACCCCACCACAAATTTCCCGCCAATCCTTCCCGCCAAAAAGATACTCCATCCCTCCATTGCCCTAAAGGCGATGCATATTGCATTTAGAGAGAGAAAGTGGTAGTTTACATTGTTGAGAGCGAGAAAGAAGAGCAGAGTTATGTCAGGGTGGGACGAAGGAGCGATCTACTACAGCGACCAAGCGCAGTCGCTCGGCGGCGACAGCGGAGACCCCGGAAGCAACGCGGCAGCCGCCACCCGCCACTCGGCTCTGCAGAAATTCAAGGAATTCATACGAAGCTTCGAGACCCAGAAGAATGTATTTTCGTACAGAGAGAGCCTCCTCCACAACCCTAAATACCTGCTTGTCGACATTGAAGACCTCGACGCCTTCGATGCCGACCTCGTTGCAAAGCTCCGCAATTCCCCCGCTGATTACTTGCCTCTGGTTACCAAACCGAACCAATCTCAGCTGATTAGCCCCTTTTTTGTTTTATTTATTTTTGTTTCGTTTTTTTCAATTTCCTTTTTTTTTTCCTTTCGTGTGATTTTGTAGTTTGAGAACGCAGCGGGTCAGGTTTTGGCGAATTTGAAGACGAAAGTGCCCGGAAACGAAGGGCAATTGGAGGAACGGGTGCCTGAGGATGTTCAGATTTTGCTGACCTCCAAAGAAGACCCAGCTTCAATGCGCCGGCTTGGGGTTTGAATTTTCTTCCTTCTTGTTTGATTGGCTTTTTGTGTTTTCTGTTTGGTTGATGAGAAAGTTTGGGAAGACTAGGGAAAATGAAGGTTTAGAACTAATCAATCCTTGTTTAATCAGAATGTTGAAGAGAAAAACTTATTTTCTTTCAACTACAGGGAATGAGAATTTGAGCTTTTGTAGGGATTTATTGAGGTTAGGTGATGATTTCTCCCATTTTTCTTTAACCATTGATGATGTGCAGGCACAATGTATATCGAAACTTGTCAAGGTTGCGGGGATCACTATAGCTGCTTCAAGGGTCAAGGCAAAGGCGACTTATGTGATTGTGATGTGTAAAAACTGTAAAAATGTGCAGAGAGTACCTTGTCGGCCAGGCCTTGGCGGGGCAATTGTCCCCCGCTCTTGTAACCATATTCCTCAGGTTTATTATCCTTGTTTATTTGTTCCTGCTTTTCTGGTTTTTTTTGTTTGTTTTTTGTTTTGCATTGTTTTCTTTTCTAGTTTGAAATTTAATAAAAGGGTTGGAATTTTCTTAGCCTGGAGAAGAACCTTGTCCCCTTGATCCATGGGTTGTGGTTCCTGACAAGAGCAAGTATGTTGATCAGCAAACCTTAAAATTGCAAGAGAACCCAGAGGTAATGATCTTAATTTAATGAGCAAAAGATGTTTAAATTGAATTGCGGGGTCTTAATTTAATTAATGATTTTTTTTTCTTGGTTACTGAAGGATGTACCTACTGGAGAGCTTCCGAGAAATATACTTCTGTCTGTGGACCGCCATCTTGTTCAGACAATTGTGCCTGGGACAAGATTAACCATCATGGGCATTTATAGCATCTATCAAGCTTCCAATTCTTCCACTTCGTGAGAATTGTTATAATTTGAGATGAATATTTCAGTGTCTTTGTATAGTACTCTTCACTGCTGATTTTTAATGCTCAATTTATTTGGTTCTATATAGCCACAAAGGAGCAGTTGCTGTTAGGCAGCCTTACATCAGAGTGGTAGGAATAGAAGAAGCAAATGATGCCCACTCTCGAGGTCCCGCTTCTTTTACACAAGAAGAGGTATTGGTCGAACTCATTGTGATGTTTGAAGAGCACAATGTCCCTGATAAATGAAGGATTTGATTCCATGGCATGGTTTTTGTCTTTCCATTTTTCATATGTTTTCAGATAGAAGAATTCAAAAAGTTTGCTGCAGAACCTGATGTCTATACAAGTATATGCTCAAAGATTGCTCCCTCTATATTTGGTCATGATGACGTAAAGAAGGCCGTGGCTTGTCTTATGTTTGGGGGATCTAGAAAGGTATATCCTGAATTTTGGTCTTTGAGTACTTGTGTGATTTACCAATGGTAACAACCAACCGACGAATTTGTCTGTAAACAGAATTTGCCTGATGGTGTGAAGCTAAGAGGTGATATCAATGTCTTACTTTTGGGGGATCCATCTACTGCTAAATCACAGGTTGGTTCTGTTAAATTTATTTTATTTTTCCACAAGCTAAGTGGAAATATACAAGTCCTAGAGAACACTGTGAACTTTGTGATCTTCTCTTATCCTTCATTTTAGTGGAAAAGTATCTCCAGCTAATTTGAGACCTGTTTTTCCTAGCCACATGAAAATTTAATGAAGATAGTTTATGCTCTTCTTCCATTGCCCCAAAAGACACATGCTGATTTGATTTCAACTCATTTGTGAAGTTTCTCAAGTTTGTCGAGAAGACAGCTCCTATAGCTGTGTATACTTCAGGAAAAGGGTCATCAGCTGCTGGTCTTACAGCTTCGGTGATCAGGGATAGCAGTTCTGTAAGTTTCGATCTTCTTTGGGTTGTACATATAAGTGCCATTGTTATCTTATTGATTAGGCAGTTGTCCTTTTTCCTTTGGTATGAAAACTTCTCTAATTTCAATTTATCTGTGCAACCCAGCGTGAGTTCTATCTTGAAGGAGGAGCCATGGTTTTGGCAGATGGGGGTGTTGTCTGCATTGATGAGTTTGACAAAATGAGATCGGAGGATAGGTATTGCAGACTAGATATAGATCTTGATTTGCTTCACTTTTTATTTATTTATGGAATTCTAAGAGCTTACATTAATGTGGCTTAGGGTTGCTATTCATGAAGCCATGGAGCAGCAAACCATATCCATTGCCAAAGCAGGAATAACAACTGTTCTTAATTCTAGAACCTCTGTGCTTGCAGCTGCTAACCCTCCTTCTGGGCGTTATGATGATCTTAAGGTCCATTATCATCCTGGTTTATCTCTTTTAAGAGTTTAAAATGCTACTTGTGACTTCCTATTGAGAATTAATTAACACATTTGCCTTCTTTCAGACTGCACAGGATAACATAGATTTGCAGACAACGATTCTTTCTAGATTTGACTTGATCTTTATTGTTAAAGATATCAGGATGTACAGTCAGGATAAGGTATTTATAATGATCTTGCTAGGTTAAAGTGTTTTAATGTTGAAGCATTTTTTCTCCAGAAAGGGAATGCAATTGTTTTTTCTTTGTGGCATGTCAACACCTAACATGTTCTTTTATCTTTGAATGTCTTAGTACAAACTATAAATTATGGTTGAATACGATAATGATCGGTTGCTTGGACCTGGCAATGGTTAGTCCAAAGTTTGTGTTGAAGGTTCAGGTTTGGTGACATACAACTTAACTGCAAGCCAAAGGCATATTTTAATATTCTTGTTTGGCCTTCAAATGCCCATGGAGTTGGATGGTGAGAAGGGAAAGGTTTTGTTGAGAAGGCAAATATTTTGTGGAGACGCAGTGTGCTGGTGATGTTTTGGTTGGAAAATAATAACATAATTATCAAAGGCAAGGCTGGGGAGTCTTGTGTGTGTATATGGGACAAGGCTAGATTTTGGTCCTCACTTTGCGCTTTGGTTTCATCTGCATTTAGTAACTGCCCTTTCTTTCTCCTTGCAGTGTCTTAGTTTGATTGCAGTTTGGGTGGACCCTTTCTCTTTGATGTTGGGTTGAGTGTGTTTTGTCAGTTATTGTGCTATATGTTTTCTGCTTATTGTGCTATATGTTTTCTGCTTATTGTAGGTAGAGGGTTGTATAGTCCACTTTGATTGTACGGTCTTTTCATCAATATAAATAGAGTTTCCTATTAAAAATTGCTCATTTAGTAGGTGCATCAACTTGATTCTGCTTTTCAATGACAGATTATAGCAAGTCATATCATAAAGGTTCATGCGTCTGCTGGGGCAGCTCTGGGTGACAATAGGGTAGTATCTAAAGAAGAGAATTGGCTGAAGAGGTATATAGTGTTAAGCAAATGGTCGTACATTCTTTGCACAATGATGCAATTGAAATATTGACAAGATGCTGAATCTTTTTCATTGTAACATGTGCAGATACATACAATATTGTCGTACTGAATGTCACCCCCGTTTATCGGAACCTGCATCCAAGAAGCTGCAGGATAATTATGTGAAAATCAGACAGGTACTCTTGCTGTTAGCTTATACTATTGAGGCAATTGGCATTCAAAATTCTTGAGCAGATGGCATACCAGAAATGCTCATATGGTGCTCAAAGAAATGCATATAGCTAAAAGATTTTTGGGAATCCCATCATCTTCGTGAATTTTCTTATAGGACATGAGACAGCAAGCAAATGAAACCGGGGAGGCTACTGCAATACCAATCACTGTAAGGCAGCTGGAAGCTATTGTGAGATTGAGTGAGGCCCTTGCAAAAATGAAACTGTAAGTATTTAGTGATATTGATTGGTGCTTAGAATTTCTAGTTTGGAATGTTTAATAACAGGAAAATGGGGACTGGAGCTGTAATAATAAAAACACTACTATGTCAAATTTAGAAGGGTACTGCATCTGTTTTTATTATTGAACCGCCTCTGTTTCTGTAATTATGGTTCAGGTGCCATGTTGCTACTGAGGATAATGTTAAGGAAGCAATAAGACTATTTACCGTGTCCACAATGGATGCAGCAAAGTCTGGAATAAATCAACAAATCAATCTTACTGCTGAGATGGCAAACGAAATTAAGGTTAGTAGAAACTGTGTCACTGCCATCAATCCTAGAACAAAATAATAAAATAACTAATAAGAGATTGTCATTCGCTCTATTATCTTTCTCTTTCTCTTTTCCATGCGTGCGTAATATTTTTTATCTCCCTTAAACAGCAAGCTGAAACTCAGATAAGGAGAAGAGTAGGCATTGGGAACCACATATCAGAGAGAAAGCTGATTGATGAGCTCACAAGAATGGGGATGAATGAATCTATTGTAAGTAGTCATTTAATTAAATATCCATTACAGTTGCGTCCGTACACGAACAACAAATTTGGAAAATCTGATTCTTTAGAACAAGTGACTTTCTAGAAAATGATTTTTGTACCCAATAATGTCTCTACCGTTTATCCTTAACGTTTGGTGCTTTTCAATTTGAATTATTTCTTCGAATAAAATTAATGATAATGTTGTGATAGTGGAACAAGAAACAATGGACACCGGAAGAACCACTGTTTTAACAGAACAGACTATTATTAAGAAACTAATGGGCAGAAGCAATCGTATGGGTGTCCATTTGCTTCAAACCGCATCTTTTCGTATAATCGAATCATAAAGCCTGTATTGGTGCATTCATTGATATCATTGTTATTATGGCAGGTGAGAAGAGCTCTTATAATTATGCACCAGAGGGATGAAGTTGAATACAAGCGAGAAAGACGTCTTATTTTACGTAAAGCATAAAAGTATTTGTAATATTTTTCTAACCTTTTTCATAAACAGTGAGCTATTACGGGACAATTATCTATTGCTTGTGTAATTTTAATGAGAAATGGGGCCTTAACTTAGCTGTGCACTAGTGTCGTCAACTTATATGATGTGTAATGACAGGAGCAACTTGGACTATTTTCTAGTGCTATACAAATTTGAAATTTTGGGTGCCTCCAAAATCCGAATTCTGACATTCATCTTCTAAACAGTTTACATTATCACAAGCATTGGGAGCACCCAGTCAAATGCGTGAGCCATGTTTCCTCCAATTGAAACTTCAATTTCGTTAAACTTGTTGGGTTATACGTTGACTTTTCAATATTAGCACACCAAAAAACAGCATTGACTCCTGTTGATTTGCATTGAAATAGTTCAGTTTAGTTCCACCCACCGCCAAAGGTGGTGTGTGTTTCGTAATGAGAAAATGGACAGAAAAAAAAGCCCCAAAAAAAGGAAAGAAAAAGAAAAAAAAAAAAAAAAAAAAAAAAAAAAAAAAGAATAGAAAGGGTAAGCTGCGCGCAGTAATAGCAGGCGTAACGGAGGAAGTGGACACCATTCGAAATCCAAAGGAACCGAGTATTAGAGGAATTGGAGGAGGGAGGATGGGTCATGGTGTACACAGTACCAGAGGAACCACTTTACCATTTTCTTGTTATTCTTGTTCAGTTCGGTCCTCCTCGTCGGTTTCTCTGACTCAGCGGCAGCGTCCTCCGAGTCTTGGCCCGAGTTATGTGAGGTACGCGGTGCTTGGTGCTGGCTTCGCCGGCCTCTCAGTTGCGTGGCACTTGTTAAAGCAGAGTCCCAAAGACTCGCGTATACGCATTGATATTTACGATGAAGTTGGAATCGGAGGAGGTGCATCGGGCGTTTCAGGAGGCCTTCTTCACCCTTATTCCCCTAAAGCCAAGCTTCTATGGCGTGCTGCCGACTGCTGGAATGAATCTTTAAACCTTTTGAGCGTTGCCGAAGCAGCAGCAGCAGCAGCTTCTGCTGCTCAAAATCCTAATGAAGACGACCTATTGCCAATTGTTAGAAGAAGGTTTGCTTTTTTCTTCATTCCATTTCAAACCCTGAACACAATATTCATGTTTGTTATGTTGACATTGGGTCTCAAATTTCCATTGAATTTTTGTCCATTACGAAAAGGAATATTTGTAAATTGAATTGAATTATGGAAACTTTGAAAGTAAAGTTGAAATCTTTGGTTGTGTTCTACTTGCAGCATTTGTGGGGTTGGGGGGAGAGACTTATGCATTTTAGTCTGTCTAACATCTTGAAAGGTTTTCTTTCACTCTTTATCTTTGCATTAGTTTAGCTAATAGGCATGTCTTGTATTTGTTCTCTTCAGGGGCATCTTGAGACCAGCCCTGAGCATGAAGAACTTGATGTTGTTGAAAGATGTAATTCTCCCTCATCATTCTATTAGCACAACAGCTTCAACACTTGATTTTCGACCTCTTTATGATCCTAGTACATTTTGTTTTATGTCATTAGAATGCCCAGAATTGCCTTGCCAGTTGCAGAATAGAAACCATTGACAACGATGCTGCCCAAAATCTTCTACCCAGTATATGTGTACCTTTCAACACCTCATTTTATATGCCTGAAGCTGTTAATATTCATCCTCAACGCTATTTACAGGTCTGGATATTTATGCCCCCGACCCCTCTCCCCTCCTATCTTTTTAGTAACTTCTGTTTTCTTTTTGTTTGTGTTAATTTCTTGTTCTCATGGTTATTTTTCCAGGCACTCTTCTTAGCATGTCAAAATTTGGTGAAGGAACTATATTCTGATGGCTTCGGAGTAAAAGAATTACATTTGCACAAGAGTTCTGTCCACAAACTCCTAGACCTAGAAGGTAATGACCCTACCATTATTTCAATCTTTAATTAGGCTCATGTTGTTAGTGTCTTAAAACACTAACTTTTTATTTAGTAACTTTGATTGTTCATTAATTTCTGAGCAGTTATCTTTTCATGTTTAGTTAGAGTCTGATTACAGTTGATGTTAGGGGAATACCAGGCAGTAATAGTATGTCTAGGTGCGAAAGCAGACTTGCTTCCTGAGCTTTGTGGGAGGCTTCCTTTGAGGACATGCAGAGGTGTCGTTGCACATCTTCAGCTTCCTGATCATTTAAGGTGAAGTTCTTCTCTGCATTATATTTGTATAAAACAGGCTTTAGTAAAGAGGATAAAATTTCATCGCTCATTTGACATTTCTGTTTTTTCTTTTGTCCTTTATAGTTTGGTATCTGAATGACCTAATTCTATATCTATGAACTCATATTGTAAAGTTCTGTGTTTGAAGAGAGGAGTATCCAAGTCTTGGCCCCTCGATATTGTCAGATGCTTGGCTTGCTGTGCAAGGTCCTCGAAATTTATATATGGGCTCAACATGGGAATGGAAATCAAGAAACTCATCACCAAATGTATGTGCAGATGAAGCCACGGAAGCCCTTAACGAGCTTCTGCCAAAGGCATGTGCCATTTTTCCTGCTCTAAAGGATTGGAGCTTTGCTGGAGCCAGGGCTGGCCTGAGGGCAATGCCACCACTCACTCCTCATGGCTCACTTCCCCTTTTGGGTTGTGTCAATGACATTGTAGGCGAAAACCGAACCTCCAACTACTGGTTATTTGGAGGGCTTGGTTCAAGGGGATTGTTGTACCATGGTTGGCTTGGGAAGTTGATGGCACAAGCTGTGCTTTCATGTAGTGAAGAATTAATCCCAGATGAATTAACCTCCTGGAAGAAAAGAAGACAATAATTAATACATGACTCTTTGTTCATTTATGTTAGCTCTTTGAGTTAAGGTTCCAGCTTTTTATCAATGCTGAACCTTTTCTTAACAAAGGGAATGCCCTCCTACAAGAAAAATAAAAAAAGCAAAATTCATATGCCGCAAAATTGGGTGACTGTTTTCGTATTTTATATATTATGTGTGTTAGTTTGATATATTATCGCCTCCCTCAATAGGAAAAGTTCTAATAAGAGCAATACTGAACTCCCCGACACCCTAGCGGATATATATTTTTCTTCTGTGGATTCATTTTTCCCTTATCCGTTGGTATTTTAGTCTGCTTTGCCTTTATCCTTAGAAACAAAGAGTATGTTGTCCAGCTTGCACATGGAGGGGTTGTCTCGTTCGGAGCAGTAGGGGTACACAGAATATAAATTCTGTGTTCATATTGGAGTAATCCTTAAAAAAAAACCATATCTAGGTGTGTTATACCAAGTGAAAATCCAACAAGGATCAGGAGCAATTATGGGGGAAAGACCAGGAGGATCAATTCGAGATCACGGTCAAGATCCACCACCTCCAGTGCTTCATCCTGTAACTAAGGTTTTTGATAAGAATGATGATGAGGATCTCTGGATCCGTATTTCGTTGTAGGAGATAACATGTATGCTCTATCCTCCTCCAGGTTTGGGATGGTTACAAAGGTCTCCTTCGATTCTAGCATGTATTCTATAAGCAAACCCTTGACACTAGAGGGTTTGAAATACTAGGAAGAGTATTATACGTCATATAGAGAATATGCATATTGCAGAGAGTGTATGGTTTCATTCGGGGAACTTGGATTTTTGTCTTGTCCAGACTGCCGTTGACTACCAATGTCGTGACGATCACCACTTTCCGAATTGTTGATGAAGGAGAAGGAAGCTGCATCATCAAGACCTTGCATTCAACTTCTACATCGGTTTCAGCTTCTCTGCGTAAGTTCCTTCCTTGAATTCATGTTTCTCTTTAATTTCTTCTTCTTCCCCTTGTACTAAATTCAATCTACTTAGTTGTTGTTTATATGATTTTATAACTCAGAGATTGTCAGGATAACGAACCTAAAGGAGGAGGAGGAGAAGAAGAAGAAGAAACAACGTGCCAGGTAGGTAACTTTACCATCTTTCATTGCCCCTAATCAAGTTGCTTTAGAATTATTAATTATTAAAGAAAATGAGTGGAAAAGAAGAGGAACACTTGTCTTTGTTGATTCCTTCACTAAATATAAGCGAATCATGCTGCAGCTTTGCTTGATATTTTTCCCTAGTCTAAAAACAAAGGTGATTTATGTGAAATCTTTTTATTTATTAATGCCAAACCATGAATCAAGTTCTGCATGTCTTTTAAAGTAGTTTTTGTTAGTCTTTGTGGTTTCTGATGATGTATAGCCTACGGGTGTGTTTCACAACAGGGACTAGTGGAAAAGAGAGGCAACGGGAAGCGCCGGACCAAAAAAAAAGCCCCCCAAGTCATTTAAATCCTTGGGCATCTGTTTGAAGAGACGCTTCATTTTGGGCAAACCCTCAAGTTGAATTGAATTGAATTGGAATTTGGCAATCACACTCTTCATGCTCTCTCTCGTGAAGTTGGGTTTGTTGTGACGCTATTAGATGGAAGACTCAGGATTAGAGAAGTGGGTTTTTACTGTTAACTCTTTTACTGCCTTGCCTGCCGCCATCCGATTGAGAGAGAGTTTTCATCAGCTGCTTAATTACTTTCACCCATCATTCTGGACTTGTAATCTGCATAATGTTACTTGTTATTAGTAAATTTGTGCTCTAAAGATTGGTGATGTATTATTTTAGTAAATCAAGAATATTAATATTGATATTAAGAGTAGTTTGCGCCACTCAAACACAGGCACCCGAGTTCAAATCCCCTCCTCATAATTTAGATTAGATTAAAGTATAATATTTTTAGTAATAAAAAAAAAAGTATTTGCACACTATTTGAGAGGTTTATTGGTTTCATTTGTGCTGCCGTTTGCAATGGAAAATTGCCTTTATAAACATAATTGCAAGGATAGAAACATGCTTGAATGATGCTTAGAAGTTCCAATCCAACCCAATTCGCGCCCCTAACAAAATCTACCCCTTGCCTTCATACACCTTCGTATATTTGAACTTGGCATACTCGTATGTAACAATTCTCATCGAGGTTCATTTCAAGAAATATAAACTCAACTCAACCATACAACCATAGTATTCCATTCAGTTACGGCACAATATGGTTTTAATTAACATAGATACAATCCTTATATACATTCTTATGTGAAATAGATTCAAAGTTGGAAGCTAACAAAATATCCATCCAGATATAGGCAGGCCATCTATACATTTATCAAAATGGTTTTTCCATCATGAAATCTTGGCCCCTCTGATCTTTCCATAAGGAGTTATTTACCTGTACACAGAGCTATCCAAGCAGATAGCAAGGCTATTTACATAGTATCTTCTCTTGCAAACCATCCAACCCATCTATACTGGCCGAAAGCTGACCAGATTAGGCAGGGCAGCAGACTGAAGCTTCCTGATTTCAGATGCAGTCACCTTGCAAGACTCCAAGGTTAGCGAACGTAAATTCTTCAATGGCTTTAAATACTGCAACCCCTCGTTTGTAATGCGAGAATTTGAAACATTCAATGACACCAAAGCAGTCAATCCTGCATTTTCACAGATAAGAAAAAGGTTAGACGATGAATCAAAAATAGAATGTTAAGTTTGATCGTAGACAAAATCTTCTTTGAGTCATAAGGGAGGCTCTGAGGGGCTGAATCTGGTTAGAGTTGCGACAAAAGATCCTTGACGCAATGCACCAAATGCTCTAGGAGAAGAAAATCAAACTTAGGACGACTTAATGATACCGTTTCTATATGACAACAGCTCTAGGAAAAGAAAACCAGAAAAGAGAAGCCAAAAATACCAGAAATCAATTCCAAGGATTTATCCGTCAACTTGCAGTTCTGTGACAAATTTAGCCATGTCAGACCGACAAGATCTTTGATATTCTTTACACCAGCATCAGTCAGTCCTCCACCACATATTTCAAGAGATTGAAGATTCTTGAAGTCTGTTTTCACAAAAGAAAGAAAAGAAAAAGAAAACACAGAGAAAGGTATGAACTATAGAATGAGAAAATTACTGCTAAGTTGCAGAAGTTAAAATGTAAAATCAAATTCCTCATTCTATTCCACAGTCCATCTCATGATGGGGGAAAGCATGTAATGAATGAAACGAAAATATTTCTTTTCTTTTTTTCTAAAAAGGAGCAAATGTCATGCATGTACTATAACGTGAAAAATCTAAAAGTGTAATCAAAATGATTACTTCCTCAAGCGTGTAATACCCACATAGGAAGCTCAGGCTTCTCAAATGCCCTCAAGTGTTGGAGAGTAATCCAGAGAAAAGTTAGTTTACTAGACCAAGGAATGAGTACAGTTTCATTATATAAATAAATGAAGATCATACTGCAAATCTTATAGCATACATTTTAAACAGTTTGCTCCAGAATCCGAAATGTGTGCACCGAAAAGGTCGAGGTGTGTCAATCCCGTAAGACCTGTATCAGCATCGCATGGGACAAAAGGGTTCAGGCATCAACAAACTCACATGAAGGGAGAGAAGCTAAAACATGTGATTACAAATGTATGAGAAATGTCTATAAAGTTTTTTCTTTAGAAGAATATTGATATGAGTGGAACTCAATGCTTCAATCATAAGCTAGGGCTAAAAGATGAATGATACAAAAGGAATGTGCATCGCCTCCCTTGAAGCATAAGCCTATCCCACATGAATATACAAAGTAGACCTCATGACATCTTGGCTTAAATTTAGCGATTGCGAGTGCAGAGTAGTGCATAGCCAAACCAACTACAGAAAAGTTTAGCATTCAAAGGAATAGTACAACTAAAATACACAAAAATCCTTACTTGTAATAACTGCAAGTCCAGCATCAGTAATCTGCCGAGCGTCCAGATTAATTGATTTGAGAGATGTCAGCCCAGATAACTTTTTCAAGCCACTGTCCGTTACTTGGGTGAATGACAAGTTCAAATTTTGGAGATTTCTCAAACCTGGAAGTGACAACAACCAACCAACTCAACTAATGCATTAAAAACACAGTAATGAGGAACATGCACCAAATAAACTGCAGAACAATAAATAGACAACAAAGTATTCTAAACTGGATAAACTGCGAAAAATGACAATCCTCCCAAATAAAAATCATTTAAATTAAATGACCAATACATATGTTAGAAGCTATAGACGGGATGATGGGTTATCAATATAACAATGGGACCTTGTGTAACTTTGAACATTAATGGGACCTTGTGTAAATATATAACATTCAAATAATAAAAACAGCCAACTGTAGGCAGGGTCCTCACCTGAGAGATGACGAAGCCCATTGCTTCCAACTTCAGTATCAGATAGCTCCAAGTTCTTCAAGAGTGTCAGACCTTCATATAAAAAGAACACCATAAAATCAGATAGGTTCTATTGCAAATAAATCAAAGTCATTCACAAACTTCCCAACAAAACTTGTATTCCAAATCCTGATCTTTGAACTGATTATCCAGTTAGATTATTTCAAAAATCAGGACCACAGTTTAAAGTAACCCAAATTGGAAATATGAACACATTATTGCAATCATTTTAGCTGCTTAGTTAAATATAGGGTTGGGAATCTAATGAACACATTGAACTACACCCTGGATATTAACCTTTCACAAGCAGCCCTACTGCGAATTCAGAAAAGAGAACAGAGTCAAAATGAACTTGCATGCGAAATTATCAATTTAAACTAAGAAAAGAGGGCACGCTCAGATTTGTTAAATGCATGCAATTGCAAATAGTTAGGGTAACAATCTTCCATCCTCGTACATTTTTTGCGCTTGTGAAAATGCATATGCTAGTTATGAATGAAGCACCATGTCCCACTTCCATACCACTTAAAAATATTGGAAAAGAACCCAGCCCATGCAAACCATATTACTGCAACCCAAAACAAAAAATGGTAGAATCAGAAATGCAAACCTGCCAAATTAGCAAGCCCCTCGTCACCTATCTTACAGGAATCCAAGTTCAAGCTCTCCAAATTCGTTAAACCTGATAGAAGCGTTGGCAGTTATAAGTCAAATTTATGACTAGTACTACTACTATCAGAAAGTTGAAAACAAATGTATCTCTTGCATTCAGGTCAGCTGCGACCAGAAAATACAATATACAGAACAGTTCAGTGAAATATGTACAAGAGTATGATCTTACATAGAGGAACTTGCAACTATTGATCTAATCCAACAAAACTATAGCACAATATGGTAGTCTCCCGATCATAACAAAAATTATACACTGCTAATAAGCTCTAACTTCCACAATATAGTTTTAAGGTGAATCTTAAACTCTAAACAAAATACCCTTTTGTTTTCTAAGGTTACTATTCTAGCTGCACAGGTCAGAATACCCCTTTTCACCTAAGCGGAAAAAGTGGAAAGAACACCAGGAAAAATTGATATAAACTTTCCCAGAATGCAAACTAATATCCTTGTGTCTTGCAAAGGAAAATAAGATGGAGAGAGAGAGAGAGAGAGAGAGAGAGAGAGAGAGAGAACCTTTTAGATGCATCAAGCATGCATCTGTGATATTGTTGAATCCCAAGCTCAAAACCTTCAAGTTCGTAAGTCCTGTAGAAACATAGTTAATGCGGCAAAGTCAAGGTTACCAACTATTCAACCACATAAAAATTACAAAAATTGAGTAAATCTGTTAATCAAATATGGTTAGTGTGGCAAAGTCAAGATTACCAACTACTCAGCCAGTTAAAAATATAAAAAATTGAGCTACTTGTTAAACAAATAACCAGATCCATGTGGTCACAAATCCTATTGTCACTCACCCAAAAGCTTATCACATCCTTCATCAGATAGTTCGCATCTGTTGAGATTTAAGTAAGTCAGGGCAACAAGAGCTGCACCAGAAACAAATAATTTTAACAAAACATAGGAAGCTCGTATTCTCCTAAAATAACAGTACAAAAATTGTGCCATACAGACCTTTAAGAAGTTTGTTCACATGTATGTAATACCCACAGTTGTGCACGCTTTTTTAGAAATATTAAAGTGAATCTTTTGTTTCGAAAGCTATAGCAGTCTTAAGGACAACTATCAATGTTGTTAACACAATCATTAGAAAACACAAAACAACAAAGAGAAAGCAAACCTGAAATAGACTCCAGGCATGAGGCAGTAACAACATTGCATCCCTCTAAATTCAGCATACTAAGCTTGTGCAAGCCTGCCATGCACAAACGAAGACCAATCAACTAAGCTTCACAAACTACTGATAAACAAGCAATATGGCGGATAAACCCAAATAGTCTAGAAAATTGATAGACTAAATAAAAGCATAAATCAGTATGAAAATGTCAAATGGGATTGCCAGTCTCTCATTGGCTGATCTCCTTGCCCTCTCATAGCAACATTCCTTTCTATATAAGATTTTTTCCTTTCTTGGTTTCTTAGCACAAACCTAATAATAAAGGACAAATAATCTTAAAAGAAGCAGGAATTGTTGCTGCAGCTGTATAGCGTCAGCTCAGATGGTAGTGATTCATCAAAGTTGGATTTCCTCTCTATCATAGTTATGATGTAGGTAGTTGTCACCATCCTATTCTTCGAATTATATATAAGGTATTTTTTGAGGTATGTGTGTGCATCTACCACAAACACACAAATAAGAAACACAAAATTAAGGAGAGAGCAGCAGAATTTATTGGTGCATCAACATGACACCAACTATAAAATACCTTTCAAATAAGAAACACCAGTATCAGTAATGTTACAGTTGGATAACTGCAACTCATTCAGGTCAGTAAGCCCTGAGAAATACGAAAATAAGAGTGTCAAGATGTGCTGATCCAAACTGATATTATGCAATTAAGCAAGAAAACAAAATTAATCCCAAACAAAATTCAATCTACAAGGAAAATCCTTGAAAATGAAACAGCTTTTGCAGCTTCCTCTTTCCAAACAATCAATCTGAACCTTATTGGGAACATTGAACAAGAATTGGATATAGCAGGACATTAGACAATACGATCAGTAACATGATCAGTCAATGTTAGGTTCCTTCAAGTGTACATCAAACATTAAGTGTCAAGGATACTCTGAGGAGATTCTAGAGGACTACATTTCTGTCATTAAAAAAAACCATATTTTAGTTATATCACGAAAGAGTACAATGATTTTGAGATAAAATACCTGAGATGGTCTTCAAATCAGAATCCGTGATGCAATTACAACATCTAACATTAAGAGACTTTAGCTTCATCAAATCTGCAAAAAATATTACTCTAATGTGTTACACCCGAAATCAATGAGTCACTAATTTCATATAGCTACCATTAACCACTTAAATTGTAAATTCATAACAATGAAAAAGAAGGCCATAACCTCAATTAGTTAGTTTACCCTACTCCTTATTCTCATACCCATAAAAGAGATAGCCAAAAATCATCAAGGAGTTTTTGAAGCTTCCCAGCAATAGAAAAATATATGAACAGCAATGCCATGTCACTTAGCTTCATGCCTTGATGATTGAGACTAAGATGACAAGTTCCATCTAATTAGACAACATAATTCATTTTTAAGCAGGGTACCTTTAAGATGAACAAATCCACCATGAATTTCTGGACACCTCTCCAGGTCCAACTTTTCCAAGTTAACTAAGCCAGAGAAAGCACGCATCCCTTCAGCACTTATTGCATTGCTCCTTTTAAAACTCAAAGATTTCAGGTTCGACAGACCTGCGGAGCAAGGTCAGAACAAGCATTTACATCATCCAATTAAAAAGCTAATTTGGAAAGTTTAACTGATACAAAAGACTATTCAAGTGAAATTAGTTCAAAATAGAGAAGAAAGGCATGAATACAGAACTGCATGAGATTCCAGTATACTATAAACTAAGAGCCTTGAATTAACAATCAGATCATCAAAGACAACAAAAAAGTTGGACCATAAGATCAAATTAAATAACTTATAATCTCCAGAAACAAACCATATCATTAATGGGAAAATAAAGCACATTATAAACAACAACAGTGAACAATGGTTGAGTGCAAAAATAGCCAAGATAAAACAAATAAAAAACAGAGATTTTACCACTTAGGTGTTTAAGTCCACGTTCTGACACATGGTCACAGTAATTATAAGTTAATGCTTGGAGGTTTGAGCAGTCTTTGAGAAGAGCCAATCCAGAATCTGTCACCTCAGAACTAGAAAGATCAACAGAAAGTAATGATGAACCTTGTGAAGAGATGACATCCATCCAACTGTCTTTCACATCAGGGAATTCACCCAAACCAATATCCTGCAATTACAAAAGAAAAATCTAGATAAAGACAAAGCCTTTCCAAATTTCCAAATTTCAACCACCCACTAGCACATTACCTCAAGAGCGCAATCCCTAAAAGCTTCAAGAGAAACTTCAGTAAGAGAATGGGAGGAGACCAATGCGTTGAAGATCTGTTGGCTAACATCCCTTGGTAGCATTGAGAACGAACTGTATTTGTCAATGTCCTGTAACAGAGATGCATATGTAACAGCAGGCATAAATAAACGAGGACCTTCCCACACGTGATACACACAAGCTCAAGCTTACATGTGCCATAAAAAGCAAGTACCTGGCATATTTTACAAATGCATAATTCCAAGAGAGATGGGCAAATGCCTGCTCCTCCTGAAGACTGTTCTACAGTAGGCCGCAAAGATGAAGGTCCCAGCCATTTTGAACTGCCACTTCTTCTTCCAGACACGGCTCTACAGATGCCATCTTCGATGACTGGTTGGTTTCTCTTCCTCGAACAAATTCCCCCCATCATCTAATTTGTACTGAATTGATCACATAATCTCATGAAATACGCAACAAAATAATATTATTGCGGCCCATTCCATAATAGAGGTTCATGGGCATGAACTCTACTCGGTCCTGGAAGGAAAAAAAACAAACAAACAACATTATTTGTATGTTAAACAATAGATGCATATCATATGTGGAACACGCTAAATAGCAGCCAAACGAAAGAAGCAATATCTAGCAAACTGTTGAGCATAGCGATTCATTTTCCCACATTGGAAATTAACGTTTATACTTGTCATACCAAAACAAACAAACAAAAACAAACCCTGAACTGAACATAAGATGTTGGGAAAATCACAAGAGCTCTTCGTGGCATGGTCAAATAGCTATGGGGATGAACTATCCAGTCCAGCCAGAGCCAGTGGTAACAGAAAAATAAATACTTTTCAGTATAACAGAAAAAGAAATACTTTTCAGTATACTTTTTCATTAATAAAAAGAAGAAGAAGAAGAAGAAGAAAAAAAGGAAAATTACCCACATCATAAATCAACTTTAGGAACAAATATAAGCAAATAAGTATGATGATAATTCAAAATTTTACTCTTGGTTTGTTTCAGGTTCGTAGTTAACACAATAAGTCATATTTCTCGGATAACAAATAGAAACAGAGAGTGTAATAGTATCAGCTAAACTGTAGCGATCACTTATTGATAATCAATACAACTTACAAGGGAAAAGAAACACAAGTCTCACCCAATAATTCAACGATCAAGGAGAAGAGCGAGAGAGGGATTGAAACTGAAATAGCAATAAAGTGGAGGTCAGGAATTACGACTTGGAAGGACAAGGAAGGGAGAATAGAAGGAGAGAGAGAGTGAGGTGAGGTTGAGAACTTGAGAGAGACGAACCCCCATCTGATCTTCGCCACGTGGCTTTTCGCGCGGCATAGTCAGACTCTTCCCTACTCGCGAGTAGCTTTAGGCTTTTAGCCTTGAATGAAAAATGAATGAATAAGAAAATGAGACGTAATAAGTTAACAGGGATAGAGAGACTGACACGCCATGCGGTCATGGGCGGCTACTGTGGGTCCCGCTCCGACGTTCCGACCCCACTTGATAGTGTTCTTTTCTTCTTCTTCTTTTCACCGGCGGGAAAAGCAAGGTATTGCCGCGTGGAAGAATTAATAATTAATTAGTGAAAGGACCAATTGAAAAGGAACTTTAATCAAGAGGCCGCCGTCTCGGTTTAGTCTTTTGCATCAGTGTGCTTTGGGAATAAAATCAAGTTAGTTTGGTTTCATGCATACTCCACCTCCCTGGTGGGGGCCTGCCACTTTAACCTTTATTTCTCTTTCAACTTATGCCACTTATCCTTGTTTTGAAAGTTGTTTGTTATTGCAAAACACTCACTACCAGTGTAGTGGTTTGGAGCAATTGTTTCTTAAAGAAATATTATGAATTTGAGTCGTAACATTCGTGTAGTGTGTGTAAATTTAGTATGTTATCGGCACTCTCAATAAAAAAAGTCTTTGAAAAAAAGTTATTGGTTTGTATTATATTTACTTTTATTATATTGACAAGGGAATGATGGATTTTGATGTTGGTGGTTGAATATTATAGGATAGGAGGGCCTCAACATAAATGATGACGAAGAAATTAAGATTTTATCTTGCAAGAAACAATTGGAAGAATTATAGAAATAATAATGATGGTTGTAACAATAAAAAAGCTTGCAGGAAAGAAACAAGTTGCGGAATTATATAATTAACTTCTAGTTTTAGATTGGCGATGTGAGTATTTGGTCGGTGGAATAGTGCGGTTGGGGAGATGCATTTGATTTGAGTATTATTATTTTACATTAATTAATTTCAAGGTGGGTTAGTTGAAAGCCTCCTGTTTTCATAGCACTACCTTCTTCAGTCAGTCAGGTATCAATCAAGGGTCGAGACTCAAGTCAAGACAAAGATAAAGAAGCCTCATCATGTGTACTTATGCCCTTGCAAAAAGAAAAAAATGAGTGCATGACGACTCTTGGGAGTAATAATATCAAGATCTGAATAAAATACGAATCATGATTTATAACAGCAGTGTTGTGTTGATTATAATAGCCAAAGTAAACAAATAGAGCTCTCTTTTAATTCACCAACCAACATCTTAAAAGTATGACGCACTCAATATTCACAAGGCAAATGAGGTTAATCAAGTCAATCTTACAGGCTACAGCTAAAATAGCATAACTCATGGAAAGGATCATTTTAAACAAATTTCTTGCAACTTATAAGGAGGAGCGACAATCAATCAAATTACAAAAAGCTGAAGTACAAGTATGATTATAATACACAACGCATCTTCAGCTACACTAGGGCCATAAAATTTAATTTACTATCAAGAAGCTACAACAGATCGGGCAGTGTTCCGTCCAAGGCCAAGACCTAAGCCTAACGGAACGTTATCACTTTTTGTTTTCCCATGGTTATTATGGCTGCACTGGGCAGAATGAGCATGACCATGATGTGATGTTGAATTTGAATTTACATTGATTGCAACCTGACTATTGCCATTTGCGTGGTGAGAATAGGCATCACCATTTTGCACGTTTGAGTTCTTCAGCATATGCCTCATTCCAATCCCCTCCTCCTCATCACGAGCTGATTCTTCAATGTATTCCACATCTTCGTTGTAACCTTTGATCAAGAAATCCGAACAGTTCTTCCTGATCCCGTGATCATATGGATTTCTGAACCGACCACCTGGGCCTCTAAGGTAGTTATAGCGCATCGCGTTTGCCATTTCATTAGTTGTAACATTCCGTGATATCTGTAACACGTGAAAGATTATGGATCTAATAACAAAATCCAATGTCACAAAATACAAACTAAATTTTTACAAAACCCTTGTAGATTAAAAAATATATATGCACATATTTTGTTAACATAGGATTGCAGAGGCTGAAAGGTAGCACCAGTTCCCAACACAAAACTTGAAGGAAGAAAATATGGAAAAATATTAAAGTCAGGTTTGATGAAATAGTCTATCTCAAAAATTCATCAGGAAACTTCATTTTCATTACAAATGAATGGAAAGTTTCCATCAATAGAATTATTGCCTGAATAACTATGGTGCTAAGGCACTCTTTACATAGAGCATGAAGTACGTAACTTCTTTCATTGTTTTTGGGAGATATTTACTTTGCTGATCATAACGGTTTTTTCTATTATTTAATCCCTTATTTTATTGAGCAAATCAATAAAAGAAAAGACTTACCTGAGAAGCTTGTACAACAGTCAAAACTGCCACACCAAAAAAGAGGAAGAAATCCATGATAAAAAATGAAAGAGCACCAACATGACTAATGGCGACATAATTAATCCATGCTCCAAAAGTAGATGGACTGACTGGATCACTCAAAACTCCTGCAAGAATAAATTATTTTCTTTTAGCAGGTTAAAACACACGTGCACACACACACACGAACTTATGGCCCAGGAAACTCTAAAAAATAGAATCAGAAACTTGGAACATACTCGTAAGAGTAACCCCTCCAGTGAATACCATTGCCAAAACTTCCAGAACAAGGAAAGCAAAGAAATCCCATTTGTTTTTCTGTATAACATGAAAAGAAAAGAAAAAGATTAAACTAATCAGAACATGAAAAGTTGGGTGATATTGAAAAACTAAAGTCAGAACTCCACAACTTATCAATGTCAATGTACCTTGCCAATGCAATTGGATACCCAAGGGCAATGGTGGTCAAATTGTTCAACACAACGATCACAAGTGGAACAGTGCTTTGCACGAAGAGGCCTGACAATCTGATGTCAATGCCAGCAAGTCAAGTTAGACAGATGCGTTCGATAACTAAATATGAGGGTCATATATGTGTTACTAAAGTCAGCAGTCAATGGCACCTTGCACGTTGCACAGAGCTGAGACCAATTACCAGCTAGCAAGGCAGGGTTATTTATCTCAATCTTCAATAGAGGTTCCTGGTAAAACATGGCAAATAAAATATTAACATGTTAACATAACTTTTAGAAATTTTTAGTCAGGAGCACATTATGATTCTCATCTTCTATATGAGAGTTATAACAGTAAGCCTTAACTTGAAAAAAAATCAAAAGGGGCACGGCCAAAGATGCACTATATCATTAATTAAAAACAATAATATGTGGAAAGAGTTTGGGCAAAAGGAGAAGAAAAAGAAAAGAATGGTACGAACATCATCTTTCATATTTTGTGAATCATGGATATTCATTCGGATGTAACCTGGATCCTTGCTGCAATAAGAACAATTTTAAAAAGTCAATGAAACATTTAATTAATTGACATTGCTTTAGACTGTACCATAAAACCTATGTATGCATTCATGAAACAACATGTGCATGCACAAAACAAAACATGACTTATTTAAAACAAAAATTATTTTCCATTATGTTGGCTATATCTAATTTAGTAGGTGTATGTTAGTCTACAGCCAGCTTAATCATCATAAACATCACATTTCCACAAGTCTGATTATTTGAGAGTGCTGAACAGTTCTAGGATGTTAAGCCAATAACATATAAGGAGCCAAAAAGTGGCAACAATATTGGATCATATACCAATCTGATTTTAAGTTGTCTTTATCGGAGTGAAAATATATCAATGTTAGAAGAACTATAAATACCGCCAGTTCATAGGATACAAGAAAAAAGGAGAAAATGAGACATGCAGCCCACCAAATACAGGCTTAGACCAAACCACACCGATAATCATATATAAGAAAGATACAGATCACATATTGGAATACGAACTCTATTTATAAACTAAATACGATATACTTCACAATATAGTGAACCAGCTGCATTCTAAGAAAGCTAATTATTTCCAACATGATGGCCAGTCCAGCTGATAAAGTTGGCAATTAACATCAAAGAACTCACAAATACTCAAAGTCATACCTGCTACACCTATAGAACATTACAAGCCCAGAAGTTGCAAAGAAAACTCCGAGCCATGCAACAAAAACTGATCCAGCTGTTAACTTTGGAAGATTTGGTGCTGCAACCAAATTGGACAGGGGAGGAGGAGGCATTGTAAGTATTGTATAGTCATGACATTAAGGACACATAAGGAAGTTTCAAATAGAGCTCGGGGTAGATACCCATGATCACAGAATGAGTATAGGTCACCAGGAGCACAAATATTATGCACCAAAGTACTGGTGCAAGTCCTAGTTTTGAAACTTGTCCAAGATGACCGTTCCCGTCACAACGTTTGTCAAGCAGCCTTCTAGCATTCCCCTACAAAATCACGTTATCAGAGCATGGTCAGTTCTTTCCATTCTTTCATTTATGAGTTCTATTATATAAATTTTATATGTAAGGCTCAAACCTGAAACAAGCACCAAACTAGGAAAAAAGTTATTCTAGGGACTTCCAGGTAAGTCTATAAACAGAAATGCTATATTGTGAAAAAAGGAAGCAACAAAACTGATAGTATCCACTTGTTAGATATTACCAAGGCATTCTTTCAAAACATAAGAGGAATAGAAAAGAATCAATTGAAACAAAAAGGACTTATCACATCACATCATTAAACAGCACGACAACTAATGTCCTCAAATTCAATGAGCAAACAAATAAGTAACATTACTAACCAATGTTAAAAGTGTTTTGGTTATGGAACACCTACAAGGAAAAAAGCAACTTGTCTGTGATTCTTATCAGCAGCAAGTTGTGCGGGTGTAAGGCCGGTGTTATCTGTAACCATTAAGTCCTCCTTCTTCCCAGCCTGTACCAACACTGTGCATGCCTCCAAGTTACCCCTGATAGCAGCCCAATGCAAAGGAGTGCAACCTGAAATCACACAAAATGAAGAATAAATTAATAATCATGCATAATAAGTGAAAGATTTTGGAATCCGTACAGTCATATGATAATGGAAGACAGATGGTACTTACCCTCTTTATCTTGCCGTCCTTTATATGCATCCAGAAATAAAAGCAGACGTATACAATCCGCAAAACCTTTATAAGCAGCCCTAAACACAAAAGCAAAACAAAAAAAAGTCGAATCAAATATACATATTATAAGCCAAAATATAGTACATGTTATTTGTGTAGAAAAATAGAGCTTATCGTTGGAAAAGAGTAGGAAAGTAGATGAAAAAGGCTGAACCAGCTTTTGCCTATAGGAACAGAGGAAGGTAAACAGAGCAAACAGCACAAGTCTTTAACTAAATAACCATGACCAATGGACATACATACAAAATTTCACACTAAAACATTCCCATAATATAATCTACCACACAAAACTGTAGCAAGAAACATCGATGTATGTCCCATTGCAGAAGTGGACATTTCAAATTAAATAAATGTCATCAATTGTGTTCGACAGTGAGGGTTTTAAGAGAACAGCTTGGTGTCGGTCAATAAGTGTCACAATTATATTGAAAATGGCCATATAGAGACCCCAAAAATAGTTAAACCAAGCTATGTGATCAGTAAAAACTAGACCATAAGTAATATATCAGAAAAAACTAGATTTACTTTCACACAACGAAAACAAGATTATGAAAACCATGCTTTGGCTAGAAAAGGGTGAAAAATTCAACAGTCACTCTCAAACCATAGGAAAGAAATTTGGTATACAAACGAATATTACTAATAACAAACAATACAAAGATAATATTCTCACTTACCAATGTAAAGGGCTTCTCCCATCATTATCAGGCACATCAGGGTCAGCATTCCATTTTGAAACAGTATGGTACAGGAAAGCAGTCTGACCATATTGAGCTGCAACATGTGTAGTCTGTGGTCATATCAAATTAGATCAGTACAATACATATGCTTCAGGCTCTTTCAGCCAAATAATCAGCCAAAATGGGGTAAAAAGCTCTTACTAAACCATGAGCCTATAATTTAAAACAAGTACTGTCAGTATATACCTTTCAGTAACCATACTCGAAGGAAATCATTAATTACTGATTGCTAATGTTTGATTTGACTTAAAATATTCAAATTAAACCTGGCCTCAAAATCTTTAGTTTAAGGAATAATGGCATGAAAGTCCATTTAGCAATGCAGATATTGTAACTTAAATAGCTTATACAAACATGGAGATATGAAGACAGATGGTTATGCACAAATTTTGCATCCCAATTTTTTCTCCCAATATCTGTAGTCAACAAAACCATAACATTCCCTTAAGCAGGGTCGGTTAGAATTGTGAAGGTGACCTAAAAGTAAAACTGACCTGATAGCCATACATATCGGCTGCATTTACCCGAGCACCCTCTTGGAGTAATAGCTCTGCAACCTGGATTGCACCCCGCACTGCACTCCAATGTAATGCTGTTTGCCCCGTATGATCTGTGGCATTCACATCTCCTCCGTGCTGGCATTTAACAAAACCAAATAACAAACTAGTTATACAAAGACACTTATCCTGGATTAAAATTTGTCTTAAGGAGAACAACAACAATCATTAATGGCATTAACAAAAACCAATAGCAAAATGCTTAATGCTAATTCAGCATTTCTCGTTATCTTTTTCCTTTTTCTTTTAAAGAAGAGAAGCAGTCTGAGCATAAGTTAGCATTTTCAGTTAACTAAGTAACACAAAGTTTAACTGTAATGCCACTAATCAATAATAAATCTCAAATTTTGATATGCAATTTAAGCACAATTCACAAACGCATCAAACAAAGCAAACCCTTTTCACCGTGCTCCATGGGAAGAAAAAAGGTGTAGAATAAATAAAGAACCTCAATAATATACTGTGCAGCGGCAGTGCGGTTGTTCAGAGCGGCCCACTGGAGGGCATAGTAGCCGAGCCCATCGGTCTCGGAAACAGAGCAACCTTCACACTCCACCAATCTCTGGAGCTTCTCCAAATCCCCGTACGCAGCGGCCGTGTACACGTCGTTTCGCAGACTCTCTTCCCCAATCCCATTGGCGTCGCCATTGTTCGTTGACTTGGCTGAGGCGGCACCCACAGATTCGTGATCACGGGTTTGGACCTCATCTTCGACGACCTCGATCTCCGACGACATTTCTACGACGGCAATCACACGAAAAAATCGAGCAACACGACCGGCGGAGCTGGCGTTATTCTTCTTTTCTTTTTCTGTACGTGATTAATACATTGGGGGTTTTGGTTCGTTGACCTGTAATCTAGAATTAATAAATAAATTGACGGTTGGAAATTTATATGTGGTTCTAGGGTTTTTCTGCGTAGCCGGCCGTGTTGACTGGTGTGGTGGGAGAGAGAGGGGAGAGAAGAAGCCAAAGAATTTGCCTATGGATTGTCAGTAGGCAAATTCTAATATTTCTTAAGGCTTTGTTTGGCATTTCCTTTTTTTAGTACAAACGAGACAAAACAACAAGAAGAGTGGAGATTCTAACTTTAATCTGAAATCACTTACCAAAATGAAGAGCACCACATTCTCTCTTTGGTACTGGCCCCCACGTTCTTATCTCCACGTTCTTATCTTCATTTTCACAATTGTACACTATACTATACGCACGTATGTTAGGACTCGAACGCATTAAATGAGCAATTATTCCAAACCATTATACAATACGCTTATTTTCACATTTTAAAATCGATATTGTGATTATTTTTCTGGATCTTATTTTATGCCCATAAACTTGTAAAATAATGGTTGGGTACATCAACCAAAAATCTCAGTGAATGTGAGTTTAGACTTTGATTTGATACCCAAAAAAATAATAAAAGGGATAAAAATTAAAAAAGTTTTTGGACCTAATAAAAAAATAAGTTTTGAAAATTTTGAAACCTAGCTTCATATTCTAAAATTTAAATAATCTCTCCATTACAAATCAGACCTTAATTTATTTTTCATCCAGATCCAAGCACACAACTTGTAATTTTTTAGTAAGGAACCTAAAATGAAATGAAAGCATCACAAGTCATGAATGAATTAATGCTGCTCTGCTGGGCTGGCAAAATTCATGGAGAAAGACATCCAGAATATTATATTATATTAGAATAAATAAAGAAAAATAGAGATTGACCATATTCTTATTCCAAGTATCTCAACAGATACAAAAAAAAAAAAAAAAAAAAAAAAAAAAAAAAAAACTATATCCATTCACCCATTGATGACCATTCTAAACATATATTGATAGAAGGCATATTAAACAACAAAAAGCAATAACAGCGAGTTGATTCATCCAAAAGCAATGCTGATATTTATATCAAGGATGCTGATTGTAGCAGCTATATTGTTGATGACATTTCGGTAAGGCTTTGGAACTCCGTTGACACACTTGATGCCGGTCTCGATAGTCTGTTCGCAGCACTGTCCATTAGAGCATCCACTTCCAGATGCATAATTATAAGATTCCCGACAATCTCCACCACCTCCACTGCTAGGAGGTTGTTTGGCCACTGGGGGTGAGCGTGGCGGGGTTTGTTTGGCTGCAGGAGGAGAGGGTGGTGGCTTAGGTTAGCATGCAGCAGGTGGAGAAGGCAATGGGTTGGGTTTGGCAACAGGTGCACCATGATCATCAGTACAAGTATGGTTTAAGACTTTGTTAAACGGAGTCGGTGTCGGGGTAGAACAATCCACGCCACTGTAAGTGACAGTGGTGCAGCAAAAATAGCGCCTAATGCCTCTAGATTCATAAGCTTCTCTGTCATATGAACAATAATCATCTGTTACGCGTCTTTCCCAGCAATTTTTATGTTCCGGATATGATGGATACTGAGGCCTATTGGGGTGCTGCTGGGGGAGTACAAAGTGGAGGGCCTAAGACCCTTTCCACATGGAGGAAGTGGTGGAAGCTGAATGTCAGGAATTTGAATTGGAGGAATTTGAATGTCAGGAAACTGGTAATCTTGAACATTAACAACTGCTTAAGCTTTCGCGTACCGTACCCTAGAACACACACAGCACTAAAATGAAAAATATGGGAGCCCTCATTTTGGCTCTCTCTCTCACTTTCTTCTCTCACAAGACAAAACAATCGATGTGATGATGGATGATTTCAAGTCATCGATGGGGCTTGCGCATATATAGACTCCTCAAACTACGCACGTACCCATGTAATGTAATTATAGAGGTTTGCATGGATTGTTCTACCATAAAAGATAGAGAACTTTTATTATTAGGCCAAATATTCATCATTATCTAACTTAAAAGACAGAGCCCTTGAATTCATTGCATCATCAATATTTATTTGATAATGCATATTTTTTAATCGTTATCCAACGACTAAGAGATATGACATCATTTAAATGACAAGATTATTTTAATGGACTCGCACAAACTACGTACAAAGTAAAGACGTCCCCACGAGAGAGTTTCGTTTCATGCACTTCTTATTTTGTACATTTGGTGGAAGATAGCTTCATCTACATTACATGTTGGGCGGATGACATGAATGAATGGACTAGCTCGATTGTTATATTTTCTGTTGGGCTGATAGTAACACAATGAAACCCAACTCTGAGAATGGGCCTACGTCCACATAATTCTGCACAATAACAGATCCAAGCCCGTTATTAAATCTTTGCAAATTTGGAACATATTTATGTAGGGTTTTTTTTAATGCCAGAGAAAATATTTATGTAGTTGGACCTATTAAAGTAATAGGTGTCCTAAAAAGTAATAAAATCAAACAATTTACCACCTTTTATAGAAAGTAATCTCAACTAATTATATAAATAAATTCATAGTTAGCCAGCGAGGTTGGTTTAGTTTGTAAGGTCTTTGCACTGTGTGTGGTCCCATCAGTATTCAAGTTCCGTTGTCATCAATTCTCGTTAGTGCCCAAACTGTAATTTCTTACATAAATTCTTATCGGTGGCAGTTGGTAATTGAGTGTCATGCGTAATGAGTCTACCTTTGCGTTGGTAATGAGAGTAGTCAATCTTCCTCTAAATTTTTTTTATTAAAAAATTAAATTAAATTCATAGTTGGAATAATTTTATTATTATTAGTTGTAATATTCCCTTGAGCTAGCTTCTCTAAATAAATAAAAAACTTCTAGAAATTTAAATAAATCTCAAAGAAACACTCTTCTTGTCGATTAGTTTTCTTCATTGGAAGAAAGACTAGGGATTTATAAAAGCAATTTTTGAATTTGAATTGGACCAATGACATTTGGTCCGAGAAGCAGCGAATCCTGCTTTTGGCCAATGACATTTGGTCTCTGACACTAGATCCAGAGAGAAAGCTTTCCAATTACTTCAAAACTTAAAAGTCAAATCGAGAAAGAAAGAAAAAAAAAGAGACGCACAAAAGTACTATAACCACAACAGTTTTCACTACTTCCACGACCTTCACAGTACCGAACGAGTCAACATAATATCCTAATTAGCAATTATTCAACATAAATATATTATCCGCCGTGGAAGCAAAGAGTTTAATGTGGCAGTAGCAAATCCAGTGACAAAAACCCTAACCGGACCAAACTCCAGTGGATTCATTCATCCTAACTGGACCAAACCTTTTTCACCAAACCCTTTCCTTCACTGTCCCTCACACAGGCACACACTCTCTTTCTCTTTGTGCAATTTTTGCTCTGATTTTTTGTGTATTTTGAGCTTCTTTTTGCAGCAACGAAGATGGACTTGTACGCCTCGGAGAAAAGGAGCATGTGGGAAGGATCTCTTTTGGAAGCAATGCTGGTCAACACTGTTCTTGTTGCTCACAATTCTCTTGCTCTGCTGCTTTTGGCGGTATATAGCATCTCTCTTTCTCACTCTCTCTCCTCTCAGTGTGTCAAATTTAGTTTGGGTGGCAAATTGTGACATCGATTGAAGTTTTAAAGTTTCATGCTTTTGTTGTGTTTTTGGAGTTTGAAATCTTAATAGCGTGCATCTCTTTATTACTGAACTTATGTTTCGGAAGTTGGCCTTTGTCTTACTATTTGTAGTTTGAAAAATTAATTTTTGATAAGTTGAATGACTGAAATTTGACAGTTGTGTGAATTAGGTTGTTTGGGGAGAGAAATGCTTGCTTTGGTTAAGACGTTAATTGTGAGAGTTTGTAGAATGTGAAGTACTGACCTTTTCTGTTAACTGTTTTTTCTTTCATTGCTTGTGAACTAGAACTTGTTGGAATTTTTTAGGTTTCTAATTTGATTTGTGACCATTTTCATAATTTTAATATTTGTTTGTGCGGCATGCAGTATTGTTTTTTCTGAAACCTGTACTTACTTGTACAGGTGCTAGGAAATATTGGTTTTCTTGTGAATCCTTTTTTTTTTATTCTTGCATAAATGTAACATCGTATTAAAGTGGCTTTGGTTTCTTCTTGCTTGTTTAAAAACCTGTGTAGATACTATACTCAAATGCTTTGATGTACAACTGAGGTTACAAATTTCTTGAAGTTTTCTTTAGAGCTCGTAATGCTCTTGGTTTATAGTTTTTTAAGCACACAATATCTTTTCCATGTGCCCTGGTTTCTTTAAGTTCATAAACTATGCAATTTTCTGTGGTTGCATTAATACGTTGAGTGGCCATAATTCCTTTTCCTTCTTTTAATCTTAGAGCTGTAGGTAACAAAAGGACATAATAGAACCCTGCATGAGAACAGAAGATTGCAGCAAAGAAATTTGCGCAGACATTGCAGATATGGTGTTGCCATTTCTGCTTCTAAGATAACAAATGAGCACTCTCCATCGTTCATATCATGTAAAATGTAATTGTGGGTGGGCTGTAGCATCGGATTTTGCATTGACAGAATATTTGGTAGTTTTAGTACTGAGCATGTGGCTAAAGTTTGTTTCATTTATCACTTTATTGAGTGATGTAGGCCTTGTGTTGGGGGGTTTTAATTTTGTTGTCGACCAGATTTGGTATTGTTGATAAGTTATAATGTGTATTTTGAGAATTTGTTTTGCGTTGCTGCCCGTTGCCTGCAGCATTATCGGCTGTATGTTAAATGCCCTTTTGGATTCCATTTTCATCGACAGGGCTATGTATGGTATATATTGTTGAGAGCAACTAATGAAATTTTACTTTATACTCTGTGTATCCCTAACTGAAATAGCCTCTCTTGTTAGGATTGGGTCTCTATTGGATTAAAATGAAAAGGAATAAATTGTCTTATTTGCTACGTTGTCTCTTTGTATACTCTATTCACCAACACTAGTTAACGTTGTTTCAGACTGGATCGGTGATAAATGATGTCAATATGGCATCAAAATTGACTGCTGTCACTGGAAGGTAATAAAGTTCTAATTGTGCTCATCCAGTACTTGCACTATTGATTTTTTAGGGTACATTCAATTAAGTGGGCGAGTATTGCTTCTGTCTGCAGGTTTCCTTTTGAAGAACTTCTCAAATTGAAAAAACCTTGTGCGGAAAACAAAGATGCTAGCGATACAGAGGATGATGAAGACGACAACGAAGATGATGATGAAGTGAATGACCAGGATGATGAGGAGGGAGGAGATGAGGACTTCTCAGGTGAAGAAGGGGAAGATGAAGGAGGGGATCCTGAGGATGATCCTGAAGCCAATGGCAATGAAGGAAGTGATGATGAGGATGAGGATGACGACGACGAAGATGACGATGGTGATGATGATGAAGATGAGGATGGAGAGGAAGAAGATGAGGATGAAGAGGAAGAGGTTCCACAGCCACCTGCTAAAAGGCGGAAGTGAGAATAGGAGTCCTTATCCTTTGCCCTTGTGTTCCGATTTCGTGCAGGAGTGTTATGGGCAGAATTTAGCTTGTCAGTTTGGTCAGGGTAGAATTTACAATCATCGTTCTGAATGAACCTCTAGTGTTATTGATTATCTATGGTACACGTGTTTGATGTAGTATTGAGAGAGTCTTCGTATGTTGTGTTAAACAGCTATTTTTCTAATGGGATGTTCACATGGACGGATCAATTTATATGAAGTTGGGAATCTTCAAGTTTAATTTGATATGATGCCTAGAACCCAACTGTTTTGGTTCTTCTTGTGTCATCTCGGAAAGAACTACACGGTACATGGTTGGGAGCTTGGTAAGATAAGAACACACGGGCGCGATTTCAATTTAAAGATGGTTAAGATCATGGATGTGAATGTGTTGGGTGATCTCGCCCTCGTGTTTTCCGACCATACCTTTCTAGTTATGAACTAATCCCACATCTGTTTGTACCCATTTTCCTTTTCGTTGAAACCGTGCCCATGATATCAACAAAAAAACAAAAGCGTTGAGTTGAGGCATGGGGCCTCACATTTTCAATGAACAAACAGAAGCACTTTCAGTCATATGGTAAAATATAATATGACATTATTGCGATTCATTACAAACAACGGGAATTAAAGAGATTAACGGAGTTTAAAAAGAATAAAATGAGAAACTACGAAGCTTGGATTGGAGCAGAAGAAGAAATCACTGGTCTCGAGGGGTTCTGACTTTCATCCTTGCTTCCTTCATCACAGCATTTCTCCCACTTGGTAAAGGCTCCAATTGTGCTCCTTCAACAACCATATAGTACGGTAAGGTAATATGGAATTATTGCTTTTCATTTCAACAAGAATTTGCATTCAACCATCAAATTTTTAAGCTTAAAAGAGGCAGAACATGGTTGCAATGCCATGAATGAGAAACACATCATAATAATGACAATGGCAACAAAATCTGTTGATTACATATATTTGAGGATGCCAAAAACTGCACACTGACCAACCGACAATTGCAGTCTGGCCACCAAATGACAAAAGTGGATCTACTGAGGAGGAACTAAACACATAAAACCAAAGAAGGTTAACCGAGCTATAAATGAAATGAATGATGCCTCGTGAATCAAACTGAGAAACTTAAACAAATGGCTATAAACCAGAAGGAAAAAAAAAACTTATTTGGATCAAGTAAACTACAATGACCAAAGGTGGTGAAGATTTTAATGACAATTATAGAATCAATAACTGGGTTCAAGGGTGCAAACGAAGACTTGGCAAAGGCCTGACTGATGAAGAAACTAGGAAACGTATAAGTATAAAACAGGTAACACGGTCAGCTCTCTTCTTGTTTGAAGTAATCTTAAAAACTCAACATTAAAGGATCATTCTTGATGTAAAACTGAAAACAAGGAAAAAGCCAGAATATATGAAATCTTCTCACAAGGCCATAGCAGCATTTTAAAGAGCTGCTGAAAGTATGCTTATTCAGTCATATGGGATATACTACTAGGAAAATCGGCAACGGACCTCAAAACTTTTTCATCATAAATGCAACTATATCAATTCTAAACCAATCTGACAATGAAACAAGCAAACGAAAAAAACCAAATCCTTCAAAGAAAACACTGCAACATAACCCAAAGTAACAGAGTTCACTCAACAAGAATAAAATCAAAAGCGAAGGCAATCCAAATTCTCTTATGCCCAGCATTCTCAAATCACTTGAAAAAAACATTCCATGACAACAATAAAACATCCAAACACATAATTCCACCACGAAGTCAATAAAAAAACAGAAACTGAATTTTGATGCCATCAAAATCCTAAAAAACCCTCGTTGTATGATCACATAAACAAACATTCCATAGAGACATAATCCAAACACTCTTATCACAAAACTTACCACATTCACTCACTAAGGGGCAGCTTGCCAGCCCGAAAAATCGCAAACTTTGATGTTTCCGAGTAGGAATACTGAACCCCATTTTCCTTCAAGAAGCCCTCAAGCACCTCCTTGACCCCTTCAGGGTCTGCACTCTCACACTCAATCTCATAACAAGTACCAAACTCATACTTTGTCTCATCCACCTCTAATTTCAAGCCTTTCCAATCATACACATCCCTCACATTCCTGAACCCTCCCAACCCCACAAACCCCAAAACCCCAAATTCCTCTCTCACCCTACTAAAAACCCTAGACTCCGCCGACATCAGCTTATCCGGCTGGTCAGCGCAGGCTCGACCGATCGAGTGGTCAAGCTCCTCCTCGTCCTCCTCGACTCGGCTGACGCCGTCGACCAATACGGCTCGCGCCTTGAGGGTCACGGCGCACAGAGGGGCTCGGTCCGAGAAGCGAAGGCGGAGGGCTGCTCGGCGAGCCGAGAGCTCGGCTTTGGAGCCGTCGAAGAAGAGATTCTCTTGCCGGTGTGTGCTGACGTGGAACGGCGCGAGTAGGGTGGTGACTTGGCGGTGGGCGGCGGCGTCTGGGAGCCTAAGCTTGACCTCAACCTCCATTAGAGGTTTGAGAATGTGAGACATAAAACGGCGGGTGTATGGAGTTATGTTTTGGTGTTTGGGGTGCGTAACTTTCAATTAGAAGGGAGGCCGATGCGGTGCGTTTTGGAGGAGGGGTCTTTAGGGCGGTCGAGGTGGTGGAGGAGAGCAGTGGCAGCCGTGGTAGCGGAGGTGGAAGTGGCGGCGGAGCGCTTGCGAGCTTCTTCGAGTTCCTCTTTGTCTTCGATTTTGAGTTGGATCTTGGTAGGTTTTCGTCTCAGCATTTCGGCAATTTCAACAGTTCAGATGTCCACTGGACGAACGCATCTTATACGTTTTGAGTGTGACTTGTGAGTCAATGGGTCTTATAGCCCATCAATCATGCTTTGGGTTGGGCCTGGTGTCTGCCTTTGGGGCTTGGACTCGGTTGACTCTACTCCATATGGGCTGGGCCTGAGGATGCCAAGCCAATGAACTTGGCTGGCTGAGAGAGCAACATTCAGAAAAGAATGTTGCTAAACTTCATTGGGTTTCCAGTTAATTCCCTCCATTGCTCAACAAGAACATGCAGTGGCACTATTGCAGCTGGAAAGAGAGTTGGCATATAATCAAGAAATTCTTAATAATGATCTATTTTCTAAACTATACTAATCTTTTATTTGTTCTTTCCTTTACTCAGACGATCGAACCAGCTTCGGATTAGGCCACTTTATGCTGTGTGGCATATGCATTCGTAATCACTTGCTTCATAACATTGATAAGGTATATAATATTCCACTTTCAAAACAGAACATGCATCATGCATGAAAGACAAGCATTTGGACTGATCATACATTTAGAAGGTGGTGTTCGTCATGATCAACCTAATCACATGTTAAAACAACCCATATTGTTTTTGGACCCCCATTTTGTCTTGCCTAATGATTTTAGCCTGCAGTGATAAGGACCTTTTCCTTACAGAGGCTTTTGATGATATTCTCTTTCCTTAATGAGTTCAAGGAAAGAAAAAGAGAGAGAGAGAGAGAGCATTATATTATTGCATTCGTGAACCTGATAGGGACTTGAGATAACTCAAATGATGGTCCTCATCGTTAACTCACTGTTACACAAAACTTTTCTCTTCTGTCAAGGAAATAATGATTCGCCGAAAATAAAAGAGAGGTTTGCTTAATCACATCAAGTTTACAAAATAATAATATGATCTGATCTTTTGCTTAATCTAAAAACAATCCAATATGGAATGGCAGTGATGATGTAGACTAGTTGTCAGCAGATGAAAGATTCAATTCCAAATAAGAAAGAAAGGGAATAATGTTAAAAAAAGTCGACAAAATCTTATCTAATCCAATGGATTAGGTTTGGTGGTTCTGTTTTCGGTGAAGAAACTCACCTGATCGCATTGACATTAACGAAAATAGGGTAAGAAAGGAAGAATATGCTTATTAATTAATTAACATGTTAAAATAAATACAACAAATATGAATGTGGGAGTGGGAGCAAGCAAGCAACTATAGCAAGAGTCTTATTTTACACTCAATGAACAAACATATGGTTGAACTTGGACCATCTCATGCACATGGATATTGACACTCTGATTTGATTGACTCAACAAACTCTTTGGTACTTGGTAGCCTGTAACATCTTGGATTTTCATGTTTTGCTTACCCAACAAAATACCTTACCTCATTTTCATCAATGGGTAGGTAAAAATATATATATTTTGAAGAATTCTCAAATAATTTTATTTAAAAGACACCGCCTTATATATAATTTTTGTGTTGTTGTCGTAATTCAATGCTGCGATTTGGTAATTGGTTCCTTTCAAGAACACTATCAGAGCATGAAGATGAGGTATTTGATTGAAAAACATAAGGAGCAAAAGGGAAAAAAAGATTAAAGTTAAAGGGGTGAGAGATTAAATAATCATAAATCGTATTTTAATACAACTCGCCCTGATATTGCGCAAGGTACCATAATTGTTGTCAATCTTTTCATAAAATTGTGCACAGTGTTTTTTTCCTTTTCCTTTTTTGGTATAAATAACTGTATATTTTTTTTCCCAAGACAGACATTCAGACATGCATACGATACTACGTTGTCAGTCTACATTTTTACGACAGTTGATAAAACATGTCTCGCTATCTGCTCGTCAAAATCATTTTACAAGGTAGAAGTCGTATTTATCCCGAGCGGAGTGCACGTTAAGATTCCAAAACCAAGAGACCAAGTGGGTGGCTGTCAAACAGTAAAACCTGGCAATCTTTTTCTGATTTATCCGACAGACAGGCCAGCCAATCTTTGTTTGCACTTGCCAGTTTGGAAAGCAAACCCACGGCCCACTTGCAAGTTGCAATTCCATGCTTTATTTTTATGCTTTATCTAAAACAAAAATTAATAATGGATTAGATGATAATAATAATGTTATAATAGCTCCATAGGCAGAGGCCATGGTCAAATAGGAAAGGACCATGGTCCCTGTCCTTGGTTGATTTCTGACGTCCAAGTATCACGTGTGTGTGTGTTTTTTTTTCTTTCTTTATTATGTAGTCTCTGTTTGTTTGTACACATACATAATTATAGCAAATAAATTTCTCTTTAACTGTTGTTTGATTGATCTCATTCACTTGTTATTATTATTATTATTACTTACAACACCTCCCCACACCCATTCTGGCCATTTGCCGTCCAAAGGCCAAACAGAAACTCTGCAGTAGTCTCAGCTCTTCACTTTTCATGGGTTCCTCACCCATTTATATATAGATACAAACACAGAGAGAGAGAGAGAGAGAGAGAGAGAGAGAGAGAGAGAGAGAGAGAGACTGAGATCTTGCACATTAATCCTTTTGTGTATGAACTGGTTGATTCCGGAAAATGGGTTCTCATTTCTGGCAAATGGGGTTGTGTTTCTGGGTCTGTTTCTCGGCTTTCAGCTTCATGCATTCTGTAAATTCACAGGGCTTCGGAGGTGGAAGTATTGAAGGCACTGTCCACGTTAATGGCAAAGATGCCATTGGTAAAATTGATGATGATTTTATTTGTGCAACTTTGGATTGGTGGCCTCCTGAGAAATGTGACTATGGGACATGCAGCTGGGGTCGTGCTTCTTTCCTCAATCTGGTATACATATATACATTAATGTTTCTCTCTACAATCTGACATACGTACATTTGTTCTTTCTATTTTCCTTTTCCACTCGCATATGCTTATATGTTTTTGAGATTTGTAATTGGTGTGTTTCCCAGTTGCAAATAATCTGAAATCAAAATTATGTTCTTGAGATTTGTACTCTCTCTCTCTTTCTTTTTCTCAGTACTGTTGTATTGAAATAAATTGATACTTTCTTTGTAGAAAATGCTTTCTGATGTTTATTTGATCATTATTGTGCAGAATCTAGGCAGCAGTATCTTATTAAATGCCGTGAAGGGTAAGAATTCCTTCCTTGATATCTGATTGTTTCAATACATGTGTAAAAAATAAGAGCTTAAAACTTACTTGTGCTGATTTTGCAGCTTTCTCACCCTTGAAACTTAGATTGGGGGGTACCTTGCAAGATAAGGTCATATATGCTACACCAGACAATAAGCAACGCTGTGTTCCTTTTCAAAAAAGCACCACAGAGATGTTTGGTTTTACTCCGGGGTGCTTACCAATGAACAGATGGGATGAATTAAACTCCTTTTTTCAGAAATCTGGGTAAATATAGTCTCTTCTTTTTTCTTCTTCATTTAACTTTTAGATTTTCTTCAGAATGAAGAGCGCCTAACATTATCACACGTACGCTCTCTCCAGGGCCAAGATTATCTTTGGATTAAATGCTCTCACTGGACGAACAATACATTCTAATGGTACTGCAACTGGAGCTTGGGACTACAAAAATTCTGAGTCTTTCATCCGTTACAGTGTTAAAAAGAACTACACAGTACATGGTTGGGAGCTTGGTAAGATAAGAACACTGAAAATTTTACTGTCTTTATAAATTTTGACCCTGCTTATCTAGACAAATTGAATGTATTTCAATGGTGTTCAGGGAATGAATTGTGTGGACATGGAATTGGAACAACAATCGGAGCGAGTCAATACGTCTCTGATACAGCTTCTCTGCAAAAGATAATACACGATATATACAAGGGTATTGAACCAAAGCCACTAATCCTATCACCTGGAGGATTCTTTGATGCAAAGTGGTTCAAAGACTATACAGATAAAACAACCACATCCTTGGACGTGGTCACCCACCATATATATAATCTAGGGCCAGGTATCATTGGTTGAACAAACAGATTTTGAAAGTTTCTACTTATTCCTTTTGAATTCGCAACTTCATACTGATAAAAGAAATCTTCATTCTGTGTTCTCAGGGGTTGATGAACACCTTATTGAAAAGATTCTTGATCCGTCCTATCTTGACGGTATTGCTAGCACATTTAGCAACCTCCATAACATCCTAAAGAGTTCTGCAACTTCAGCAGCTGCATGGGTTGGGGAAGCAGGAGGTGCTTACAACAGCGGCCGTCATCTTGTCAGCAATTCATTTGTATTTAGTTTCTGGTAACTTGGCTATGACGACTCATGAGCATCTTCTTTGGTCCTCTCCTCTCTTCTTCAATTTCTAACAAGAATCATATCTTGGATGTTACAAACAGGTATTTAGATCAGCTTGCTATGTCAGCAGCTTATGATACCAAAACGTACTGCAGACAGACATTGATTGGTGGAAACTATGGTTTACTCAACACTACTACCTACGAACCCAATCCAGACTACTACAGGTAGGTCACTACATACATACCGATCATACTTACCTTAGAAGCTAAATTCTCAAATATTAGACAGTATTTTAACACTTCTGCTGCTTTATCCTGGCTTTCTCCATACCAGTGCTCTTCTTTGGCACCAATTGATGGGAAGAAATGTACTGGCAACCAGCTTTTCTGGACCGAAAAAGATACGTGCTTATGCACACTGTGCAAAACAATCCGTAAGTCTATTTATGCCACAACTTGAATATAAAGAAAGACAACATTCAAACATTCTTCGTTTACTGAGCTGATCACAATTTTGTGCTGCAGAAAGGGATTACAGTACTACTGATCAACCTACAAAACACGACGACGGTGGAGGCAAGAGTTGCCTTCAACACTTCCTGGACTTTGCGACATAAACACAAATCTCACAGGTCTCATAGAGCACAGCTGAAGTTCCATCAGGGTTTGAGAAGTGGAACAGTAAGAGAAGAATACCATCTAACAGCAAAGGATGGAAATTTACAAAGCCAAACCATGCTGCTAAATGGAAACGCTTTGACCTTAAATTCATCTGGGATTATACCTAACTTAGACCCTGTATATGTAAATTCATCAGAACCAATTTTGGTTGGTCCATCTTCAATTGTATTTGCTCACATACCATATGTTGTTCTGCCTGCTTGCAGGTAGGCAGTGCTATATGTGCTCTAACTGGTATCATATAGTGCTTGATTGCTTAAATAAGAGATAGAAGAGAGTACAATTCAATTTCATCATAAACCTTTTATTTTATTTCTTTTTTCCAAATGAGGACAGAACTACTCAGGAATTCAGCAAAGAATACTTGCCTGCATTCTTTCTACTCGTGAGGAAACTTAAAGCTTGAAAACTTTAAATAAGGTTGAAAATGCCAAATTCTCTCTACCCTTCAGTGCGCTACAGATCCATCAAGGGACAGCCCAGAAAGACTAGAAAGAATGCTCAGAAAAACTATCCCGAGTACACTTTTGGAGAGGGAGAGTTCAGGATACTTCTAGGAAAAAAATGTACAAATGGTATTATGGGTATGACAAACTTTTGACCTTTCGAAACATATTATACAATGTGAAGTTGTGACACCTTAAACGGCTGTACAATATGATTAAAAAAAAAAAATTGTATTACGAGGGGAGATACATACATATACATTATAACCTTTCCTTGACGCACAGAATGAACCAAATGGTGAATACTAAGTTAATTTCCTCCCACAGATGAAACTAGTGATACATTGAATGAAGATTCCCTCAATTTGGAAGCTTCATTCAAGAGAGAAGAAAAGAAAAAAGAAGAAGACCAAACTACAAAAGGTCAGTCTGTCTTTGAAAAGGTTTGAGGCTTACTGCTGGCAAACACCAACCAAATAACTGTACCAGTCAGGTAGAAAAATATCGATGGAATGAACAATGAAATCTGCATAACGCGGAAGTGAATTAAGACATAAATATCATGAAGGTAAACAAATGAAGGATGTAAGCTATGGATAGTGACAAAGAGTAAACAAGTAATGATAGAGGCTACTTACACTCCACGAATGAGTTGAATCAAGAAGATAGCCAGTGAGGGCAACACCTATTATTCCAGGTACGGCCCCAACAGTGTTGGTAATACCCTGTGTGGAAAATATGAAGAATTGAATTTTAAGAAATACGGGTACGTTTAGTTTGATTTTCAAGAAAATGTCTACACATAGTTTTTAATGACATCCCATATATCCCAAGTCTAAAAGTAGATGCATTGTATACAGCTTTTAGTTCAAGACTCACGAGTAAATTTTACGATGAAAAAGACAAACTTCCACCACCCACCTTTCACACTAAAATGAAAATGAGTCAGACCACTGAACGCAACCATGCATGTCTAAGATGAAAAAAATACAAACTTGCACCACCCACTTTTCACACCAAAATGAAGATGCGCATCTCTACTAATCCTAAAATAAAGATATTTTTGAAAAATATCTATCATGCCTACTTCGGAAAATAGGATGTTTCGTAGCATCTTCCAGCATGCAAATAAAAACTTAAGTGCTTGTAGATTTACATACCAGAAGTATACTTGCATATTCGGGTGACATGTCTTGATGGGTACAATACAATCCTGCACGTTTGATGATTGTATTAAGAGTATAAACTGTAGGAGACTAAAATGATTCTAATCACCCTCCTCCAGAATCAAGCCTCAGTTTCGATTGTTCTGTACCTGACAAGGCAAAGCTTGAGAGGGCTAAACCACCAGTTATAATCCCCACAACTTCCCAATGGGGCAATCCTAGATCAAGAGAGGAAAGAGTCATGCAAGCTGCAGGAGATAAAAAGGCAATTGTTTGGCAAATTTTTCGGACCTACATGTAGAAAACAAGGTCATCAGAAACATTAAGAATGAAACTCAGTACAAACATTATCTTGAATAAAATTTCAGTTAATAGCAAGTCATGGCATGATAATGGAAGCAGTAAGCTTCTCATGTATTTCACATGTAAAATAGCAATTAAATAAACAACCAAAATAAAACACATCCACTTACTTCTCTCTGTTGAGGGATTTTTGTCTTTAGTAAAAACCTAAAAATTTTCTACTAAATTGGACTTTTTCTGATACCATCATATACAACAAAGTAGCGGTTTATAATATCATTGTACCGTAGTAGTTTGAACTCCACTAGAAATCAAGTTATCAGCAAATTGCGAGGCAATGCTCGTCACAAAGATTGAAGCCAATGGAGGAAGGATAGAGACCTGAAACAAACATAAAGCCCTTGCTATCATACAACTGAATCTTGGTGCGCCTTCAGTCACAGAGAGGTAGATGATATTTCTAAATAGATAATACCTTATGATGTATATACTAATGATTGTCATTCCCATTGTCTTTTCTTTCTAATAATTGCATTTTCATGATTTTTTCTATTTTACAACAGTGGATAGAATTCTCAAGTTACCATGCTAAAACAAACACCCAAGTGAATAAACTATGGAAATTTACTGGCTAATAGATTGAGCTGACACTTCTTATAAGCGAAATAGACATGTATGAAACAATATGGGAAGCATTACTAATTTTTTCTTGAGTTGCTACGAATCAAAAAGTGGTGTACTTTTTAGACTTACCCACGCAGCTTCTGTCAAATTCAGGTTCAGCTCCTCACTGCATAGCAAGTTAATTGAAATTTTAGCTTTTTCGTACACAAAATTTAAATCTGTATACCTTGTACATATGAAAGTTACAGTTCACTGAAAGAAAAAAAAAAAAAAAAAAAGAGAGAGAGTTACGACGCAGCTACAAAATAGTTTTCAATTCTCCCAAATAATCGCAAAGGTCTAGAATATTAAAGAGTTAAATTCATGAAAAAGGAAAATCATACCTATAACTATTTGAACACAGTTAAACGTCTGCACAAATTACCTAAAATAGGTGGGAAGCCATGCTAGGCAAGTATAATGACCCCAACTTCCACAAAAATGAGCATATATCATTGCCCATACAGCTTGATTTCGGAAGAATTCCTTCCATGGTACATCCTATTAAATGAAAGCAAGTAAGAAACCAATGTCCCATACAGTAATAGCTATATGTTAGGAATAAGACATAAAGCAATGATGTGAATTCAAAGATTTCTGTTGTTTTCTGAATAAGTCTATCAACAACAATATGTTAAATTCAAAATTCATCACTTCATACATTTTTGTTTTCACCAAAGAATAATTTATATGCTCATTAATAACAAGCTTGACCTGGCATTCCACTAATGCAAGCAGGCATTGGCTACAAGAAATATTAGCAGCAAAACAACCCAAGCTCAGCACAAACGGTCAAGATCATACACAGCACATGAAAGTTACCTAGATAGTACAACAGAACCCTGACTTCTAACAGTGAGAAGGTTAAACATGCACAGCATTAGTGCCAGGCACTCTAAACACTGAATAATATTCAGCTTAAACCCATCAATATTTTGACTACATTTTCGTACTCGGAACCTTGCCTGACTAACTGGGTCACTAGCATTGCCCTATTCACACATAAACAACACAAAAAGATTCATACCTTCAATGAGTCACCGAATTCTTTAGTACTCCATGTTTTTTTCATATCTGTTGACTGGGACCCTATCAAGGGTTTTTAAGAGAATAAAGAATCATGACTATGCAAGAGATTTAGTATGTGAAAAATAAGGCACAAACATATGTTTGGAAAATTGATGATCTTGCCAACAATATTTGGTAAAGGGTACTAGTTACCACTCTATCCATGGTTTGAAGCATTGACAAATCAATATCAACATCTAGGACAAAATTTCTTGTGAAGTATGCATTTTATGAATAGAAACAAAGTCTTGTCAGAGTCAACTGTACTGGGATGCATTGGGAAAAAAATATGTGCACGACATAGGAATACACAGTGATAGAATGGTGCATAGATCTTGGGAAATGGTAGTGATCATGGTAATTGTGATTGCTCACACACTAGCAAAATAATACTAGCATCAGAGCAACAGACAATTAAGTGGCAGAAGTACGACGGGAGAGAAATGGTATGGTGGTGGAGGCAGAAGCAATAGTGGTGCCTTTATTAAGTATCAAAGGTTCATTAAGCAGTAAAATAATGAGTATTATGAAGATTTCTCATAATTCCCAAAACAAGAAACAGACCCTTAATACTAAATTGAGTTCTTATAATCTAGTCAACTTTGTGTTCGGATGAGTAATTATTAACTAGTCAACTGCACATGTTTTACATGAGAAAAAAGTAACAAGGATGATGAAGAAAGGGATAAATGCTCACGTGGAATTGATTCACCCACCCATGAGGCTTGTCCTTCAAGAAACTGAAACCCCACATACCTTCAAGATTAATATTGGGAAGAACATAAGCATAAAGTCAGACTTCAAGTGCTTCACAGTAACATATTATATATATATATATATATATATTTTAAAACTAAAATATAAGAGGTACCCATGTTGAATTGGCCAAGTAAGTTCTTTTATAATTAATTACGAAGGATGATTGATACTTGGCAGAAAACCCGAAAAAGAAAATGGAATATTGTATTCTTTCTTTTTCAGCAGGCAGCAAAAGCAAGTTCTTTTTTTTTTTTTTTTTTTTTTTTTTGGGGGGGGGAGAAATGAACCAATTTCTTGGCATATTGATATTGTACAAATAATTAATTTCTCACAATCTACTAGAAGTTAATGGAATTAATTCTTCATAAAAAAGAATAGGCATTAATCCTGAGAATTTAAAACAGCTACTTACCAACCAATCCCCAAAAGGGAAAATATGTAAAATACAGATTCCCAGCCAAGATTTTGGATAAGGGGCGGAGCCAGAAGTAGCCTGCAAGAAGTCCAAAATTGGAAATGGCTTTCAATAGGATGACACCAAAAATTAAAAAATCCTTCATGTTGTATTCAGATTTGAATTTTCCCTTTTCATATTTGAAAAAATAAAAATCTTTGGAAAACATTAAAAAAATAGGGCCTCTGCAATCAAGTAATGAAACTTAAGAAAATCAAAAAGTTCTCATTGCTATAACTTTCCAATCACACATCAATGTAAGTTATTACTTTCAAATAAATATTCTAGAATATGTTAGGAAAATCTCATCCGGTACTTTTTAAATTTCAATTGATTTTTTGTTATTTCAATATAAAAAAGCCTCCCAATCTACTTAAAGTTATATTCAACATACCCTGCAACACTTCCTACACTCAAACCACCAAAGACAAAAGCTACAGCCCGTGAGCGCTCTTCCAAAGGTATTGACCTGCATGAGGTAAAAGATTATTTAAACCATAAGGTTCTCAAACTCTAAGAAATAGGATCCACTAGATAAAACTGAAATCGAAGTAAAGAATGATTAATTAACAACAACAACAATGAATCTATGATGGACCAAACTAAACACAACATGAAAAGTCTCCAGAAACTGGAAAGGAAAGTTGTATTAAATACAAAGAAAGACTCCATTTCAATAGTATTTAACATCAAATGTTAAAAGGCTGCCACACACATTTAACTTTGGAGAGACTGAGTCTTAATCTTAGACCAGGAATTAATAGTTTTTATAATCTAGCTTCCAACAACCAACCAATACAGTAATAGTTCTATAATAGTCAAGCATAAAAAAGGAATAAAAATCTGGTTATTAGCCATCATAGCCAGTAAATTCAAGAATTATTTGAAAAACTACATCACTAACGAGAATAAAATGCCCATAGAAAGCACAAAATTTAAGCCAAATTACCTATATAAGAAAACATAGTAGAACAAGCAGAATACTAATATACCAATTAAATCATACAATATAGTGTATCAAGATTGTGTGCACCCTGATTGTAACATATGAATGTCATACATGCCTGGCAATAAGGTCAGTTGCAGCAGATGGGGAAACGCCTTCTCCAATTCCTACCTTTACTTGAAAGAAAAGATCATAGTAAGTAAGAGGAACATTTGACACAATATCAAACACATTACAGATAACAAAGAGTTCCAAAATTAAAACAAAAACAAAACGCTTAAAAATGCTGAAGCATAACTAGAATTGGCAGTAGGTTAGCATACCAAAATTCTAGAAACAACTAAACCAGGTGTAAATCCAGCAACAAGAGGGACAAGTGCTGTAGCCAATGACCAAGTTAATACTCCAATCTCAAGAACTTTCTGCATGAAAAAAAAAAAAAAAAAAAAAAAAAAAAAAAAAAAAACACTAGATGTGTGCCATGTCTGTCCAAGCCAAAAGATCAATGAACATGCATTTCTTAAAATTCTTCTAAAATTCTAGTCGTAGTAGGAAAAATTGTGCATGATTGACCCATGCTGCAAAATTGTAAGTACAGATAAATAAGAAACATGCTAAAAACGACTATTGAAGCTTTAATAAACAAACCTCCCACCAAATATCTTGGCAAGCCAACCCCCAGGCAACTGACTCAACGCATAGCCCCAAAAGAACGAAGATTGAACCAATCCAGCCTCGGACGAACTCCAACCCAACTGATGCGACATTGGAATTATAGCAATACTCAAGTTCACCTGCAAATTAAATAAACAAATAAACAAACTTAATCAATCCTACTTGGAAAAGGAACAAAACTCAGAGCTCCTTTTAGTATGAGAAAACGATATTGAAGGAATTGGAGGGTTACACGCCAAAATAAGCCGTTTGAAACCAGAATGCATAAATTTGCAGTAAACCACAACCCAAAAACTGGGTCCACTTGTAACTTTGCAGAAAAATCCTCATCAACCATAAGGGCATCAAAGTTTAAGCTGAAAATTCAAGACCAGTACTTGTTCGTTGAATATGGGTCAGCGAGAGAAATAGTAACAAAGCTAGGAGCAGAGCCAGTACTACCTTATCCATGTTACAGATAACGAAGGCAAGTGAAGTGGTGCCGATGAGTTTGTATCTGCGAGGTATGTTCTTCCACGGAGGCCAATCCCAATCAAAACCCACTTCCCCAGACCCACTTTCCAGACCCGAATCACCCTCAGAATCCGAACCCGCCCGTTGGACCTTATCGACGGGGACTCCATTCACTCTCTTAGCTTCTTTGATGCTTTCTTTCTCTTTAATGCTGCAGAAGACTCTGAATTCCAAGTTATGCTTCGGAGGGAAGCAAAGCAAACGACGTCGTCGGAATGAGGAGACGAAGGATGAGGGCTGCGACTGTGAGCTTGTGGTGGGTGAAAATAAGCACGAGCTCTCAGCTCTGAGTGTGAGTTTCGCCATTTTTGTGTACGTACCTGTGTGTTCCGTAACTGTAACTAAAAAGTGAACAAGGAAAGTGGAAATTGATTTTGTTCTGAAAATTTGGTGGTTAATGTTGTGGAGTCGGAGAAGAGAAGTAAGGAAAGGAGCTACTGCTTCTTCCTATTAGGGGCATTTTTGCGCCACGAAACAAATTGGGTTTGTGGCTCAGAATTATAGTTTGAATTGAATTTTGATATTTTTGTAATATTTTAGCGGGACCCACCCACATCATTGGGTCCCAGTTCCCATGACTTTGGGACGTAAAGAGCAGAGAAGTTTGAAAGGTCCAGCAATACTGAAACTCAGCCCAGCCCAGCTTGAACTTGAGCCTGATCAATCCACCTGAGCCCAGCTAGTCGTAGTGGGGTCATGACTCATGAGGGCCTGCAGTAACTGGTGTGTTCAGTTGACTTTTTTTATTTATTATTTATTTATGAACTGTGGGGTAAAACAGCAACTACTCACTACAGACTAACCGAGTCCTAGTGACTCCAAGCAGATCATCAACAAGGCTAGCGCCAATCCAGCTCGGAGCCATATCAAGAAAACAAACACCTAAGTCCATATTTCTTTCTCTATATTGAAGAGCACATGTATCATTTCTCATAAACTCCCAGCAACTGAATGTAAACCAAGAGTAGTAGAATTCTTCACCAACTTAACAGCCACTGCAAAATCCATTTCCACCAACAGATTACGAATACCTCTACCCTCAGCAAGCTTTAACCCAAAAAACAAGCCCCACATTTCAGTACTATATTGGTCCGTGTACCGGTATAGACGACATCGGTATAGGGATGTTACAATTTACTTCAGGTACATAGGTAACTGCTCTTAACCACTCGAGTTACATGTCTTTAGCATTCATTTGATTAATTTATTGACGATATGATGTGAATATGTACGCTAATTGTTATGTTTATGGTTTATAGGACTAGGTCACTTGAGTTGGGTGTCCTACAAGAAGTAAAAAATGAATGATTTGGGCTGGGGTAATGATGATGCTATTATCTTTTGGGGAAGTATATAGTATATACACTCACTTTTCCTATTTTATGATTTTTATTTTTCTAAGTTTATGCAAAGTTAGAAATAAAATACAAGAGCGTTCACATATTTACTTCCTGCAAAGTTGTCAAACTGAGGATTTGTTTTAGACTTTAGAGCTTGACAATGATACATTTGATATTTCAATTTCATAAAGCTATATAAATATGAGGGATTTGCTTAGTTGTTGTTTGCTGTGACAATGCATAGTTAATTATATATTGTCGTGACCTCCCCATGGAAAATGTGGTGAATAAAATATGCAATGAGGAGCCCAAGTTGCTGGAATTGTTCGTCTTTCTCCTCCAAGTCACCTAAAAAACAGGGAAGTAAATCGTTCTGCCGTTGGAGAGGGGACCAAATAAATTAAATATTTACATTTGTCATGGCCCCTAATGCAATGCATCAATGTTGTGGAAGAAATTCTGGTTTAGAAAAAGCTTATATATGCAGCACAAGCTCACCGGATTTATTATCAGAGAGACAAGATGGCCGCCATGAGTGTCCAAGAAATGTCCATCAATGGTGATCAACCACCGCCTGAATATATTGTCAAAGAAAGCAGTTTTGGATGTATAGAGTCTTCCCCACCATTAGCTGATCAAATTCCCATCATTGATATCAGTCTCTTCTCCCCATCATCACTTGAATATTCTGAACAAGCAGAGAATCATGAGCTACAGAAACTCAGAACAGCTCTCAGCTCAGCAGGATGCTTCCAGGTAAAGAATTGTTGAATCTGTTTTAGTTTTTAGTTGAAAATATTGTTTGGAATTGGAACTACTACATGTATATAATGTTGGGTTATTGAATTCCAGGCAATAGGTCATGGGATATCAGATTCATTTCTTGACAAGGTACGTGAAGCTGCAAAACATTTCTTTGCACTTCCAGTAGAACAGAAGCAAAAATACTCCCGAGCACTCGATGGCGGCTCCGAAGGATATGGGAATGATGTCATAGTGTCGGAGAAGCAAGTTCTCGATTGGTCCTACCGTCTCACTCTCAGAGTCTTCCCACAAGACCAAAGAAGGCTTCATCTTTGGCCACAAAATCCAAATGATTTTGGGTAAACCTTGATATATAATGCATTCATTAATCTGTAATAAATTAGATTTTGCTTTTACTAGCTAGTTAGTTAGTTAGTTAAATCATTGGATTAATGAATAAGCAAATCTCTATGTGTAGAGAGATGTTACATGAATATGCAACGAAGATAAAGTTGATGATGGGGGTTGTGTTCAAGGCCATGGCAAAGTCGATGGATTTGGAAGAGGATAGCTTTGCAAAGCAGCTGTTTGGAGACCAATCCCTGCTGCAAGCAAGATTCAACTTCTATCCACCGTGCTCGAGATCCGATCTGGTTCTCGGTGTCAAGCCTCATACAGATAGGTCTGGCATGACAGTTCTCTTGCAAGACAAAGATGTGGAAGGTCTTCAAGTTTTGATAGATGGTAAATGGGTTAGAGTCCCCATTGTTCCTCATGCTCTTGTTCTTAACCTTGGTGATCAGATGCAGGTACAAGTTTAATCAACCAGACTAATTAATTTACTTTCTTTTTCATTAAAATAAAATAAAATGAATGAATTGATGCAGATTATGAGTAATGGTATATACAAGAGCCCAATGCACAGGGTGGTGACAAATACAGAGAAGATGAGGTTGTCTGTTGCTTTGTTTAATGAACCAGATCCTGAAACTGAGATTGGTCCTGTGGAACACTTGATAGACGACGAAACAAGGCCAAGGTTATACAAAAGTGTCAAGAATTATGGTCGTATCAACTATGAATGCTATCAGAGAGGGGAGATTGCACTTGAAACAGTCAAAATCTAATTGTTCTTCACTCTGTATCTTTCTTTTACCTGAAGCTAATAAATAGTTACCTTTTGATGAAAAAGAAGAACAAGAAACAGACTGGAAAAGTATGTTAGAGAAACTCTATCCTTATTTCCTTAAAGCCATTTCAAACATTTTTGCAGATACGGGCAGCCAGCCAGATATCCATAGACATAAAGTTTATTTTTATTTTTTGATGTGAACATCAATGTTATGTGCTGGATAGAGGAACAATAAAGGAGAATTACATTTTCACTGCATCAAGAGCTACCAATCCTTTCTGATAACAATGATAGTTAAAAGCACCATAATTCTTCACATTCTGATAGAGTCTTGGTCTTCTCTCATCCACCAAGTCATCCACTGGACCAATCTCTTGTTCAGCTGCTGGCTCAATAAGCATGGCCACAGATGCCCTCATCCTTTCTGTGTTTGTTGTGACTCTGTGCAGTGGGCTCTTGAATATTCCATTACTCATTATCTGCAAAAGAAAAAAAAATAAAAATAAAAAAAAACCAAACATACTAAAACTTGTTGAAGAAGTAATTAAACAAAGATCAAATTTTGATAGGCTAGTGGAAAAGGGCCTTGACTTGCAGATCATTATCTCTAGAGGTCTCAAGTTCGAACCCTCACGACATCATAGTTGTATGTGTGAGAAATCCCCCACCCTCCTGTAGTTTAAACTATCGCTTGTACTATAAAAAACACAAAGATCAAATTTTGATAGGCTACAGTAAGTACCTCCATTTGATCACCTAGATTGACAATAAGAGCCTGGGGTATTATAGGAACTCTGAACCATGTACCATCTTTGAAAAGCTGAAGGCCTTCAACTTGTTGATCCTGCAAGAGGATAGTGACCCCTGATTTATCTGAATGAGATTTGAGGCCAAGAACCAAATCTGATCTAGGACAAGGTGGGTAGAAGTTATATCTTGCTTGCACCACAGCTTGGTCTCCAAAATGCTTCAGGAAGATGTCCTCTTCCAGTTGCAGTGACTTTGCCATGGCCTTAAAGCAGAGATCCATTAAAGACCTTATCTTTGTAGCATATTCAATCAAGATCTCTCTGCAACAGAATAATGAATCAAAGCTCAGTAAATAACTAGATCATATATATGATCATATGAAAAGGAAGAACTGAGAGAAAATACTTAGATTTACCCAAAATCATTTGGTATTTCTGGCCAAAGATTGAGCCTTCTTTGATTTTCCGGAAATACCATTAGAAAGAGGCGATTGGACCAGTCGAGAATTTGCTTATCGGAAACTATCAAGTCACTCCCATATCCTTCAGCTTCCTTAACTGCTCGAAAACACTTGTGCTTCTCTTCCATTGGAAGTGAGAAGAAGTGTTTTGCTGCTTCGCGCACCTTGTCTAGGAATGAGCTTGAAATCCCATGTCCCATTGCCTGTCAAAATTCATTGATCAAAGAAGCATGTATTTGATATGCTATGCTTGGAATTTGAGCTGAGAGTGAGAGCATTATTTAGTTACCCACCTGGAAGCATCCCCATGAGCTGAGAGCGTTCTTTAGCTTCTCCAGTTCATCTTGTGAGCTGAAGACCAGACTGATATCAACGATGGGAATCTGAACAAATGGAGGAGAAGACCCCACAGGGCCAAAAGCACTTTCTTTCACAATGAATTGTGATAGTGGGGGCTCTTCAATTAGCATTTGTTGGAGCTCATTGGGGACTGATGACGATGACGCTGCCTCAGCAGGAAGAAGAAAGCCAGCCATACTGAGTTGTGAATTGGGAACTTTGGAAAAATGGGTATCTATCTATCTCCCCAACTCCCAGCTCTCATCGAATAATTATAGTGTCTTTTTGCTTTGGACGGCAAAATCCAATTTCAGTGTCTCATTGCCTGGTTTCCACGTAATTCAAAAACCCAATTGATTGATGATCTCATCACCTTTGGAATCGTAGTAAAAAGACAATCTGTTGGATTTGACCTTCTTTCTCATCTTGTTAGACCATCTCCAACCATGAGGGTCAAACCCAAATTTTAGGATTATAGCCCCAAAAACCTTCTCCAACCATGTATAATGAGGGGTGGTAATTTGGGTCAGACTGAAATCTTGGGTGGAATTTGGCCCAACTTTCCAGTCCGGGTGGAATTTCTGTGGGCCCCAAGTCGAAGCCAACTTGTGCAGCATGTGAAGGAATGACAAGACAGAGCAAATTTGCTGGACACGTGGAAGGCTCACATCAAAGGGACGTTGGAATCCAACAGCTCCCTTTGAAAACCAATTATGCATCTACTTGTTCTTTTTTAATTCTTTATATAATCTTTTGGAGCCTTTAAAAGCTGGCCACGTGTAAAGCAATGGGAACCAACTTTTTGTCATTTTTCAAGCTTTCTCAAATAGATATAAACAGCCCATATTTTTTTCAACTTGATTTTTAACGAGAAAAAGAAGATCCAATTATCAAAATTAAAATCAAATGGTTAAAATAATATTTGTAATTTATCTAAATGAGATCCCACTCTCAAACTATACAATCATTCTCATTTTAATTTCAAGCCAAAAAAAATGTTATGTTCATGGAATTTTAATTTTTTTAGATTAAAATGTTTAGAAAATTAATTCACGAATGTTGAAACAAAATTAATGTCAAGAAAAATTAATGACAAAAAAAATTTAAGCGTTAATCATTCTTAAACAATTTAATAAAGTTGCGGACTCAAATTATGAGTCCGCAAGGTTGGAGGAAAAAACAGTTTGAGTCCTAAAAATACATGAATAGTTGTATTTTGGAGGGTGAAAATTTGAGTTTAGCCCTAACATGGTTGGAGATGGTCTTAGCTCTGTTTACTAAAAGAACCAAAATGAGGCCCAAATATTTCAAGGGAGTTTCACTAAAACACCCAAAATGGAGGTTGAAATTATAAAAAAACCCAACACCCAAAACACTTTATAAACACACCCAAAACCCATCATTACACACACTCAAAACCCATTTATAAACACACCCAAAAAGTTGACTTTGGGGTTGATTTTGGGTGTGTTTCTATGTTTAAATAGTGCTTGGGTTTTTTTATAAATACATGTGTAGGATTGGGTTTATTTATAAATTTGTAATATTTCAAACGGCCGCCCATAAATAAATATATACCTTTTTTTTTCAAGGAACTAAATAAATATATACTTAGATCGGATTTTCCGCTATGGATATGGAATGGAAACGCCACGTAAGACAGAATTAAAATACCACCGCAGCCATATGGTACCTCCAAGCACACCTAAATGCAAGACTGCCCCAAAAATTCCATGTCATATGCCAATTGAATTGATATGAGCTACAGGATCCGAGCCGCTACATTTACATATGGAATCCCCAAACCTAATCATGCTTCACCTTAAGTTTCAGATTTTATCCAAATAAAAAGATTCTTTGTTAATATTTTTATTTTTCTAGTTTGTATATGATTCAAATAAAGAGACTGGTGCCTTCCCTTCTAATATATAGAATCAACCTTCACAAATACTTGAATGGGTCCAATATCTATCATAGATCATATTTCCCCTGCCCCAAAAATTCAGGCTCACTATGCTCCATCTGAGAATCAGGAATACCACTTACCAACCACTGGGATGGGAGGTGTCCCCCGTGAGCTCTAAGCGCACAGAGAGCTACTCACCTCTTTTTAACCAGCGCCAAAAGCAATTCCTTCAAATTTGTTTTCTCGGCAAACAAGACTGGCACTGGCCATGAATTCCATTTCAATATTTGTCCTCTTTTTTTTCTTTTTTCTTCCCATCTTTTGTCTCAAGCAGCAAAATTTCATCACTACTCTCACCAGCGTATCATGCAGGACCCCGTTTCTCGCTTGCCTTGTAAAATAGCATTTTCTGTACATAAAACATCATGTAGCCTTGTGCTGCCCTCACAATATTCTCATTAACTTGTGTGATCCAAGCATCGTCGCACTTGTACCATTGATTACTTAATCGCAAGTAAGTTACATAATGGCCTGCATCTAGCTTGCCCGTGTGAGTGATCACAGCAAACAATTCAAACTCTGAGCATAATTCGTTTGAAGCATCTGGGTCATTCCCTCCAAATGGCAAAATCCTATTTCCAAATCTACTCCTCAAGATGGAAGATGACAGATAAGGTGCCATGTCTAGTGAAAATGGGAACTGCAAATAACGGTCAACCTTCCTTGACATCTTCCTCACTGAAGAATGCTCAAATCGTTTTATATGGAAGCATGAAACCAAAGGAAGCTTTCTTATTGACATTTGCTTGAGAGACTCCTGCCTCACCTGACACTGCTGGCAAAAAAATTTCTGGTCAGAGCCCAATCTCTCAGGTCGTGTAAAACGGTCCAAGCATCCCATAAGGGTAGATACCCCACAGTTTTGGCTGGAATTCATGCAATCTGCCTCGCCGTTGCAAGAATAACTTGACTTCGTGGACATTGTCTTTGCAGAACCTCCTTGGTTAGGTTCCAAATCCAGTGAGATGTCCACACATGGGTCATATGTTGTAGATGTAAAACCACAGGCCATGCACATAACATCAGATCGCAAGATACCAGAAAAAACCCTATGAGCAACACAACAATCTCCATTGCCTGCACTACAAAAGAAATGAAGATTTATCAGAACGATATTTTAATTTTAATTTGATATATATATATATATATATATATATATATAAAATAGGCATAGTATAAGTGTATGCAGATACAGGTGAAGACACATATCAAGCAATCTCCGATGTCTGGAAACACTTTTGTTGAATATTTTCATGCTAATTAGGAATCTATCTCTATCAGACAAACATTAATATAACATTAACACTCAGCCTCTATACTATATACGTCCCAGATAACACTCAACTACATGCATGTACTGCAGTGGAATCCTAGGTACATAATACCATCTCGTAGAACCCCTTCTTACTGCCTAAAGGTTGCAAATGAAAAACTATATTAGGAAACTACCTGAGTCACAGCAAGAAATTAGCATGCCAAAAGACTGAGACAAGTCGAAAGACAAAAGCAACAAAACAGTTGCCAAGATGAAAGAAAGGATAGATGACACCAGATAATAACCTATGCCAATAAACAGGTAGATCAAGTTCAACCTTTCGGCCTAAACAACAAGATGGCTGAAAGAATTCTGATGTAAATAATTGGAGTGACCAGAGGATTGATGAGAAAAATTAGGCTGGCAGTGAACCTAAGAGAATATTTGGATTTTCTGGTTTGGGGTCCTTTTTGTAATTAGACCCTAAACATGGCAAAAAGGTGAGTTAAATGAAACTTACGAAAAGAGAGAACACCCTAGATAAACCCAAGAAAGCTAGGTGAAAGTTGACTTACTGGGTGAAGCGGATAACGCCATCAAGCCAGCAGGTAGAGGTTGAAAATTAGCCCTAAATCTGTGAGCACTTGTCAACTCCTAGGGCAAAAACCAGATACCTAGACCCACCCTGCATTTAGATGTTAAAGTCACCTTTAATCTTCAACAGTATTTGGAATCATCTTAATTTAAAAGAAATGACAAAAATACAGAAGTTGGGGAGTTAACTACTCATTAGGAACTCTTAAGTTACTTGTCTTGCAGAATTGACCTAGCACCAACTTTTGTCGTGCTTCATCTTGTAAAGATCCATTAGCTCATTTTCTGATATAATAGAAAAGTATGACATAAAGTGCTCTTAAGCCATTGAGGGGTTTGCACTACTTGTTTACCGCAATGTTGAAACTTAGACAATTCCCAAGCTGGCTAACAAAGAGTGAATACGACTTCTAAGAAGTACCAAATTAGAGCTAACAATTTCTTAGGATTACAGTATCTCTGAGGAGCTACAGGGAGTGATCCAATAGTAAAACTAGATCATCCAATAAAATCTTTTTGCCCCCAAAAAGGCATTACACTAATCTAATGTATACAAAATAACTACCTCAAAATCTTACCATTAGCTCAACTTCAAAAACTCTTAGCAAACAATCAACTCCAACAAAAATCCAACGTGAATTCAACTAGAGATGCTTCCAGGGAGACTTATAGACACCCTATTAATTCACATTCCATATGTGTATATGCAGAACTCAAAGCTACATGTCCTTGCACATAGTAGAAAATCAATAGTTAACCAGACAAGTCACTCTCTAAAGACAAGAGATGAGCACAATAATACTCATGAAATGCAAGAATATCGCACATAGTTCGTAATCACATTAACCACTAATTGCATCACCCAAGAATTCGAAGTAGCATATGCACATAAAACATTGCATGAAAATTATTAAGATCAGGCCGGGTTTGGTGCCTAGGAGAACAGTTTCAGATTAAGAAAGAATTAACCTTGGCTCTCAGGTTTCCGCTGATCCTTATCCACCTTCTCATGAATCCCATCAAGCATAGAAATGAAGAACTCATGCGCATCCTGCTGTTCATAACTTGCCAAATTCGCCGCGTACTGCCACCAACTACAGTATTACCACAATAGCAAATCAGTAAAAATAACGAAAAAGAGAAGCCAATAGCAAAACAAAACTGAAGGTGAGAAAAAGTAATAATTATATCCAAAACAGGGAAAAAAACATGAAATCCCCACATTGCTTGCTAGTACCCACATTGTCACAAAAAATGAGATTTGTACAGATTACAAACCTGTACAAGAACTTTGCAGGGCTATAGGGTGTCCGATCCCCTGAAAACACAGCCGAGAATGCGGCGTCCATGTCGCAAGCCAAGCACATGCGCGCAGCACTCTTGTTCCCGCCACTTTCATTATTATTGGCGGCAGTTTTCTTACTGGTATTATCGGCATTGCTCTTCTTCTGGCAAAAGTAGCGGTTGTGCCGATCGCTGAGGAAGTAGTTCCGCAACGGCGGCGTATGGAGCAATGCCTGAAGAACCGAGTTCATAAAACACGTGTTCCCCAAATTGTTGAGCCCGCGCAATCCCCAAGGCAAATCCGAGACGTTGCCGTTCAAGGGACTCGAATTCTTCCCCACCAAGTATTTCTCTCTCAGATCCGGAATCCACGGCTTGTAATCGATACGGCGTCGTTTCCGGAGATTCTCCGGCGCGTACTGTTGGATCGCTGACGTGTCCGAGGAGGTCAGGGTCGACGCAGCGGTCTGAGCCAGGACAACTGCTGCGTCGAAGTCGCGGTCATAGACTTGGTCCCTGCAGGCGCAGCAGAAGAGCTCGGCTCGATCCACGTCGACGGCGATCTCGTGACCCGGAGGCATCAAATAGGCGTGAGCAGCCGCATGGGAGGGTCCGGAAGGCACGTGACAGTGCACAGCGGCGCACGTGATGCAGGCGTAGAGCCTCGGACACGCGGACTCGCCGCAAGCGCCGCAGCGGGGTAACTCCTTGGGATCGCGGCGGATGGAAGCTCGGCCACCCGGCGGCTTGACTCGGAGACAGTCCTGTAATGCTCGGAAGGGCTTGGAGCCGTTCTTGGCCCGGAACTCGGCCAGGTGGGGACAGGGGTGGGGCAAAATATGGCCGTTGATCTGTTGACTAGTACGAGTGATCTTGGCCATCGACGACATGGACGGCGATGATGGTGGTGGTGGCGGAGATTGGGGTGAGATTGATGGTGGAAACCCTAGGCTTAAAGGACATAAGGGTCATGGATGGGAGAGATCAACGGCCGAGATTAAAGGAAATGGGAGTGAGAGACCATGGAGTGATGAGGGGGACTGGCTCTGTTGTAGTATGTTCAGCTTCTTGGCTTTGATTACGAGTAGAAGAAAAAGAAAAAATAATGTAAATTAGTTTTCAAAAATAAACAAGAATTTTTAATATTTTTAGTTGATTTTTTTTCTTTTTTGTTTGATCGAAAAAAGAGGGAAGAAATTCAGGAAAAATGGAGAGAAACCGAAAGCAAGCAAAAGCAATTACTTTTTCTTTATTGCCTTGTATTTTTATTTTATTTTAGGTCAAATTTGGAATGGTTTTTATGGATGTTGAAGAGCGATAGTGAGAGCTGGGGGAGTTATATATCATACAGGCTCTGCATCTGCCTTTTTTCTTTTATTTTTTGTTTCTTATCTGCGGTTGGTACAGTTAAAAAGGCAAAAGCGGATTTTTTTTTCAATTTATAAAAAAGCATTAATCTAACTCCAAAAAAAAGAAAAAGGAAAAGCATTAAATCATGTTATCTCTTTATCTCTTTAGCCCGGTGGTTTGGTTTGCTTAAAATGCAGAAAAGGTGGTGAGATGAGAGATACATCTCAATCATTCATATATAATCTGACCTTCGATGCCCGCCGGATGTTACACATCGTGCATGGTTGGCATGGCGGACACAGACAGAATAGGACACTTCCCATCAACATATGGACAAATTAGAGGACGGAAAGCTTTATTAATTGTGTGTGTCTTAATTTGTTGATAAATCAACCACATTTAAACTTAATCAATATATTAATTAATGCTTCATATGTAAACTGAACTGAATCAATACATGCTCATTACTTACTTCCCAGCAAAATCAAGTTTCCTGCTGCTGCAAGCAATTACAGGAACACACACATCCAAGCACTTCACTTTGCTTAACATTAACATTACGTCTGAATCTTTGATAGAAAACGAAAAAAGGAGGAGAAAGGAGGAATCATTTCATATTTCGTAAAGAAGGACAGAATTTTTTTATACACAAGCAACCATGGTGATGGTCTTGGTCTTATGCTGTTGTGTTATTATGTGCAGAATGATTAACAATTTGCAAATTATTCCGGTGGCTCAATATCACTAGACTACTGATCGGAAAATCCAGTTTACAGCAATTCATGATCATGATGGAAGAATGATGTTCATAAACTTCCTTTTGGCAAATGCCAGCCACCACTTATTAGGCGTCCCGTTAGGTCTATAGGCAACACTTAATAATCTCCCACTTGCTTCCTCCCTTATCTGCTTCAAATAATTCCTCAGCAATTCTGCATTCAATATTTTCAAACACATGAGAAGATGATATCATTAAAGGTCTGAAGCTGTCAGTATATCATATGGAAGAACAAAACCCAAATTTTAACTCAACAATCCTATAAAGATGCTAACTCAGTAAGAATTATGTCAACTTAGCAAAGCGATTTCTGTGCAGAGAAACTGAATAGACAATAAATTCAAGGAGAACTGATAGTATCGCACTGAGTTTAAAAAAATAAAAAAGGCATGGAATTGAGGGATGTCATGACGAAGAGAAAAACTAAAGACCTAACCATAATCTCAACAATTTTAATAAGATGCTCTCTCAAAAGAGAACACACGTTAATCATTAAAAGTTCCCCACATCAGTGTGAAAAGATGTGAAATTTCTAACCAAAGCATTCCCCGTGGAGGGTCTAGTCCATGATTTATGTGGAATTGATAGTCTAGCACCAATTTAGACAGTCAAGAACATCTGTGGAAGAAATAAAGGCATACTCCATGACCTGGGCAGCATTATGCCAAGAAATATAAAGACATGTGTCGAGGTCAAATGCTCAGAAACTCAAACACCTGTCATCTCTCAATGACTGAAAGCAAGCAACGATAGCGCTTGTTTGAAATGTTAACAGCTGGAACATTCTAAAATCAAGTTGACTTTGATGTTCAACAATATCCATGAAGCGGAACTGTCAAAGGGGACGTCAAGAGTAACTTTATCACAAACCTGGGGAACTTTAATTTTTGAGTAATTCTCTTCACCAGCTTTTGAGTAAAAATCTAACAGCAAAAACTAGTTCAGTTATTATACAGATAAGAAAGAGCTTCACCTGCTTCCTGCGGGGATTGAGGAAGAGGAAACAGGCCTGGGAAAGGGAAACTTGGCTCTCCAGGCACAGGAACTTTTTCCAGGCCCAAATTAATAATGGCCTTGGTTCCTTCAGCCAAAGTTCTACAACCCCCAAGTCTCTTCAAAGCCACATTAATGTAGAATGTCAGATAAATGAGCAGCTTATCGGCCGAGCTCTTAACATCAAAGTTTCTAAAGAAAACATTAGCGCGGAAGAATGTAATTGCTTCATCAACAATATCAGTCCTATCTGCAAAGAGTAATATTCCTCGTATCAAAAAGAATTTAACAAGAATGGAACAATTTCAAAACAGCTAGTATTACAAGCTACTAAAAGTGTAAATGTGCACATATAAAACCTTGGTCTGAAACTGGAGCAGGACCCTTTATATGGCTTTTCAAAGGCAATAGAGGGCACCCACAAGCTTTAGTAATTCCTTCCTCGTCCACAAAACTAGAGTGATAAACCTGTCACCATACTTGTCAAGTAGTTGTTTTGACCAACACCTTTCACTAACATTTAATTCTCTCTCCTCAGTCGTATTATTAAAGTAGTAAGCATACAATAAAAGCCAAAAATTTGACGATTAGCAGCCAATGTTCCTCAACAATATATCAAAAAGATGAGCATAAAAGATAAAATTACGAAAAGCTTGAAGCTTTACCATCTTTCTACGTCAAACGACGACCTATCTCGACAACTGCAAGCTCCAAACGAATACTTGTTTCCAACAAACCAACTGGGTCTCTGCAGAGGGAGGCCATGGAAACAACGTTAAAAAATGGATGAAAAATATTGACTAAAAATACCAACTTAGTAAACCCATATCCGAATTCAAGCAATCAAGCCAATTACATAAAGCTTAGGTGAACACATCATGAAAAATCGAAGAACAACCAAATAAGAAAGCATATGATGCGACTGCAATTGAAAGAGAGCGAATTACCAGGAAAATGAAAATCAAAGATTATATCAAAGGAATAAATATTGGGTTGTAAAGTCAGTACCTGATCCAACAATCCTTCGTAATACAAGCCAAGGTTTGGAAATGTCGTAGCTTTCAGAGATGAGAGGAAGTTCAGAGAATAGCCATGGTGGTCTGGTGGGTGGAAGGAGTTGGATCCTCTAAGGTGATACCTCGCTTGCGAGAGTAAGCTTAACTCCCATCTTAACCGTCAAAGCACATCAAACTCGCTCCCTGATTTTCTATTTTTATTTATTTGTTTAATTCAATTTTCACGTACATTAAAAAGCCCATTTGTTCTGGGGATTTTTTGTTTGACCCAAACAAAAGCCCATTTATTCACTTTTAAATCAAGTGGCCCAGATATAGACTCTGAAAAAATAGCATCTGCATCTGCTCTGTTGTGAACTTGTGATCTAATCAGCTCTCTGTTGTTGTGTCATTGTTTGCCTAGAAAAATTTCTATGTTGTCCCTGTTTTGAAAGTCTTTGTTTTAGCATATATCTTATGTATCATTTGATTTTATTTTTTTTAATATTGTTATATAATCCTGCAAAGACTTGTCCTCCTTGAAAATTGTATAAAATAATATCTGATGGTGATTATGGTGTCCACTATGATTTTAGTCAAACTAAAAAAGAGATGAATGATCCAACATTTTCTCGTTTTCATATCATATCTACCCGTCAACCAAAAGAAGACAACATAGATGAGATGGATGATCAAATGTTGGAGCTGGAGGTGGACCAGGGCAAGCCACCCAGTTTAATTATGTATGCCAAACTTCAAAACAACGACTCTCAAATCACTATAATATCGTGTTGACGACGACTAATTATTTATGCGTGCTATTTGCTACATGGGTTGCAACTTGCAACAGACTTTGTTTCAAAGTGTCAAATGGTTAAAAGCCAAGGGAAAGTTACATGGACAAGTTTGCTTACAAGGCAGATGAGTTTTGGCATGTGTCTTTGTCTTTGAACTATTGTTTGCTTTGAAGCAAAAGAAAAATCATAACATTGCAACGAGACTTTACAACGTCGTCAACTTTGGCATGGTCATCCTATGGATATCTACTTCCAATAATCTAAAACAAAACAAAAACAAACCTTCGAAACACCAGAGCTTGTCTACAATGATTTTTACAACCATTTGCGGGCTACAAGCCTCTGAGGCCAAAGAATGATAATATTATAACTATTTCGAACCTGTACATGGAATTCTAGTGGGAATACCCCAGTAATTAATAGAGGAAGACAGAGGTACGTTATTCATTTAGATTAAACTTGTAAACGACGATGTCAGCATGTAAGGGATGTTTGCAAGAGGACCGCGTTGGCAGGCAAGATCATGGATGTCCTTAACAATGTCGAAAACAGCCTCGGGTTGTGCCAGTTTAAGTGCATTCTCAGACATCATTTTGAGTTCATCTGTTTTGGTGCTGAACCATTCAGCCACAATCCTGGCTGTTTCCTTGGAACTTCTGGTGAACACACCAGCCCCATTGTCTACCACATAAGGCACATTGCCCTTTTCCTGGGGTTGCCAAATGAAGTGGAAAGGTTAATGGAAAAGTTGAAAATGGTTACATGTAATCAAATTGAAGAGTGAAAAAGAAATTGGTCACTAACTTGTCCTGGAATGTAGTCATTGAGGATGATAGGAAGCCCCCTGATCAATGCCTCTGCTATTGTGCCAGGTCCAGCCTTTGTTATGATGCAATCACAAGCTCCCATCCATTTTTCCATTTGGGTCTCAAACCCTCTAACCTGCAAATTGGAAAAGGCAAAACATGTTAACAGATGTTTCAAAAGAAAACTGTATTTGCCCCCAATGTAAAGTGTCAAAATTTTACCTTTACTGGAATCTTCCATTCATCCGTCTGGAGTGTAGAGGCGAGGTTTTTATTACGCCCACATATGATGATCAACTGCCCAATTGGTTTTCCAAGTTCTTTATCAAAGAGTGTTTCTCCCAGAGCCCTTCCAGTTTCCTTTACAGGTCCCATTCCTTCACCACCTCCCATCAGCAAAACTGCAGGCAAGTCGGGGTCCATTTCAAGTTCTTCCCTGAGTTGATCCTATGCAACCAAGAATTAGAGGGGGAGAAAGGGCACCATTAAGCAAATTCAGTAACCAAGCACATTGAACCCTACATACAAACACAATCTCAGACATGCAACGCACCTTGGAGAGAACTGCACGGGCAAAAGTGGGCCGGATTGGCAAGCCAAAAACACGTATTTGAGACTCTTCAAGACCATCTAATAAAGCCCTTTTAGCTACCTCCTGTGATGGGCAGTAGCACCTATTCACCCCAGGATGAAACCTGGATACTATATCCATGTTAGGAGAATACTGTATGGTTGCCTATGACTAATAAGCATGCATAAATTGGAAACTCTGATTGGCCTTATCAAACTGACCATGTAGGATGGCAGGTGTTGAGATCTGTGATAACTGTCACAAAAATCACTTTCTTCTGAAGGCCTTGCCATTTGAGGACCCACAGAGGAATATGTTGCATCAAAGGATGTACACTGATTATAATATCTGGCTTGTACTCCATGAGACCAGCCTCCACCTCCCTTCAATTAAAACACAGCACTACTTACTTAGTACTTATCAAATCCCAGTAAACTAGAACTTTCTAAGTCAACAGAATCAGTTCTCCACCTAGAGCAATAATTATTTTTAATCTCTAACGATTGATTAGGAGACAAGTGGATGATAAAGAATCATTTTAAAGAAGAAAAGATAAAAACGTAAAGCATAAGTGAAAGTCCTTCAAATACTTTAATGGGATATTTTTATGACGAAACTACAGCTCTGCTTGCAGGATTCAAACAATCACTTGCAAAATTGTGTATGTGGTTCATTGAATTGAAAATGAAAAGTGGGAGGAGGTAAGAGAGTTTACTTGGCATAGTAGGCTGCAATAGCAGCAAGATAGACACTGTGTATCCATCGAGGAGAGGTGCTGTGAAATGCGACCTTCCACAGTTGCACATGTTTCACCATGAATTTGTATGACCTCTCCATGTCATTTAGCGGCCAACCGGTGTACTCTTTCCAAACATCCTTCACAAATATCTGAAACATGTTCGAATTAAGAACTTCTCAAATAGGGAATTTACAGGAGCACAAGAACACTTTTGATTAAATTTCGGAATTCGTATGAATTGGATTAATATGGTTTTGGAAAGATTAACTTAATCATTAAATGGTACATACGTATGCAGATATTTCAAAGAAGAAAAGGTAAAAGCTTAAAGAACAAAAAGTCAAGAAGTTCAACAGTTTCAAACCAAAAGCATTCTATCAGAAGGAAAATCAATAGAAATGAATGACAAATACAAAATCAAAGAAAGCCCAAGAAAACTCAGAAGAGAAAATGAAGAACCCAATTAAGCAATTACCCTGTATTCATCGCCAAACTCCATACGAAAGGCATCGCGTATGGCCTCGGCAGAAGCTCGGTGGCCACCACCTGTGTCACTCATGAGAATCAAGACGTTCTTGGTCCTCTCAGCTCCAATCTGCACCAGCTCCATAGTCCCATCCTCGTAGTAATCGTCGTCACTTTCATCGTCACACCTCAGACTGTGACTGCTGCTGTTGTTCTTGAGGTAGCTCAGGTATGAATATCTCCCAACCTTCTCAAACACTTTCTCTGTTATTGACTTTCGCGGATACGCCACCGACATCATAATCACAACAAGACACCAAAAAGACTCGAATGAAAACCCAGTTGAGCCCAACGGTCGAATTGTCTTTCCCGCCACCGGAAAATGGGTTTTTCCGGCGCGGAGGAGAAAGTTGGTCCAGGAGAGACAGGGGAGAGACAGAGAGACAGAGAAGGAAGAAGGGAAGTTATAAGTTATTAGCAACGATTTTTTTGGTGGTATGTGATTTGTGAAGTTGTGTGTTGGCGAGTCCGAGTTGGCAAATCCGTGGAGGAGCTATACCTATATTGGTGTTTGGATGCTAGAATTATGCTTTGGAATTTTTTGGTTTGGGGGAATTTCTAGCCGTCAGATGCGCATTTTGATTTCGAATGTTCGTGGGGCAAGATTCGAATCTTCACAAGCCTGGAACAGTGTTTCTAATTGTTTAATCAATTTTGGTTTTGTTGGTTTGCATTTCAGGCCTTTGGTTTTTGGGTATTTGCTTAGGTGGGGTTGGAATTTTAGAGTTGGTCAAAAAGAATTGGCTGGTTCGTGGTTGGCCTTGAAAAAGGAAAGGGTGGTGGGGGAATTTGCATTCATTCAAATAGAGATGCATTATGCATAAGCATCGCTGTAACTCTGATTTGTCAAGCATGTGACTTACTTACATAATCATTGTCAACAACAACCTTAGCCAATTTAATTTCAAATATTCACAATAAAAAGCCCAAATGCCAAACTTCCACTCATCAGCCATTGGAGTTAATATATCTTTGGAGAATCATATTATGAGATTGACTTGTACTTGGCTCTTACGGTTATGAGCTTATTAAAGATATATGATTACTATATACCTAGATTGTTCTATCTACTCGGTTGTCAAATAAGATAGCATTACGTTAGGAAAATACAAACCTTCGTATTTATCTAACGTGTTTTACAATTTGACGATGATAATTTTGACCGAAAATAAATTGGATGATGAAAAAATCATGACTAATTTTTTAACTTTAGCAATATATAATGGTCTTGTCAATCTTTTAGTGACGGTAGAATCAAATAACGTTTCAAATGAGGGTTCTGGTGGATATTCTCAAAAAGATTTTTTCTTTTAAAATATAAAAGTGGTATAAGAGCAGAAAATTGAATTGTGATATAGAAGGTAAGAATTGGCGTGCAGAAGTGAAGGCCATTACTTAAAGGATGCGTTGTGCAATAAAAAGGGTAGAACTTGGTTAAGAAGATAAGAAAGAAGTTTTGGATTTTATTAGCCTCAACATTAAAGAAAACGTCCAATTTAGTGAATAATTGTGGGCCAAATCACAAAGGTATACATATTCTGAGAGTTTGAAATTTTAGTCCTTATTGCCTATATTTCATCTTTGCCAACTCTAGCATGCTTGGAAGCAGCAGCAAGCACCAGGTGTGGTGGGGGTGGGGTGCCGAGGAAAATGATGGGGAGAATAGGATAGGATTAAGATTAGAGACCAGAAAAGGACATTACTTTGCTTGTACAAGAAGAAGCACTTGATGGAACGGAACCAAGAGGAATTAATACTGTCGAAGTACGTGGACATTTCTGCAACAGGATGTCTTATAACTATGAGTTGAATGTGGAGCCCACGTTTGTGAGTGTCATCATTGGAACAAATCAAGCATTAATGCAGTGAATTCTGTTCATACTCAATTTGGAATGGAATGGTAAATTCAAGGTTTTGTTGTCTCAGCCGTCCTAGTCTTGTAGCTGGAAAAGGCTTCAGTTAAAAACATTCAAGATAAACAACAAGTACAAGAACAGATGATGATGAAATATGAAGCTTCCTAGTTCCTCTCCCAACACTATTTAGTACAGCAAGCTGTCATATTTTGCTTTCTTTTGGGTAGAAAATGTTACAGTACGCAGCGTTAAGGTAGTTGCAGTGTCCACATATTTCTCAAAACCTGTCAATTATAGCAGTCCATCAGCAATCAAGGTAGCTAACTGTATAAACAGTTAGTATCCTATCCTAAAATCATTAACTACTTTTAAAAGTACTGTGCAAAAACAATTGGACAAAGATGTGCAGCAGCTTCCTTTTTGGCCCCTTTTCTTCAACTTTTATTTTCTGTACTTTGTGTTTAATGTGGATGAGATAATTGTAGCCATGTGAGTTGAAGTTGAAGACTCTTGAAATTGTGTATAATTTGTTTTTCCGCTTTTTTAGGATCCAGCCATTGCTTTCACCTTTCTCTCTTCCTCCTTGACGAGACTCATTTTTGTTTTTTGTTTTTTGTTTTTTATTTTTTCTTTTCTGGCAGTGAGAAATGATGGTTTATTAGGCCTCGTGGATAGCATAGGATCATGGTCCAGCTTCCAAGCTTGCACCTTTGGCCCCTTTCAAGTTTCAACCAAATTCCCCTAAATCCCAAAGGAACCTCTTTTGACATTTCTTTCTCAGGCCCAGTTTTTTACTTACATTTCTATCACACCCTTTACCCTTTCTATGCTTCAAGTCTTGAACCATCCACCTGTTTTATCATTATTTCCAGAAGGCCCCAAAATTTAGGGTTTTCATCACACCCCGCACCTCTTCTTCTGGTAAGCTCGTTGTTCTCTATCCTCACAGCTAAAAGTTAAATTCTTTCTCCCAATACTGTGTTTCTGGCAAGTTGGTAACAAATAAATTTCATGTACTAGTAAATTAGTAATCAATTCAACAAATGTTAGTGTGCTTATAATCGCGGATGTGGGTTTTTGGTTTGAAGTCATGATCTTGGACTTAGAATTCATGGTTTTCCTGGACAAAAGGGGCTTACTTTGCTCATTGGATGATCATCGGGGTTGGATTTGTTTGACTTTCTTTAAATTGTTTGCTGTTCACTCTCCGTGAAATACACTGATTTTGGCGTTGTGTTGATGTAAAGGTGGGCTCAGATGATAACCCACATGCTCTTCTATCATAATTTCGATACTCTAATATTTTATGTCAATTTTCTTTACCAGTAATTTTCATTGGAAGTAGGAGACTGTAGGAGACTGTTTTTCTGAGGTTAATGTGGATGGGGTTGTTTTAGAGTTCATCTATTTAAAGCTTAGGATCATGGTTTATTTCCATATTGCTAGAAGACAACCCCTTACATGGTGCTACAGTCTTATTTTTTAATATTGTAGTGACAATTTATTAACTATTCTTCCCCTGGAGTTGCAGATAAGAACATCACTTCAGGTTTTAGCTTTGCAACGGGAGAGTAACTCAGTAAGCTTACAAATCTTCTCTTGCCTTATCTTTTATGAATTGCTATAGATTTGATATATTCTCCTACTCCAAGTAGATGCTAGAAAACAGAGAACTGCACTTCCTCCAAATTTTGTACGCTCACTTGACGGGTTCACACATGATGATGATAGCTCTTGCCCCTACGTTTTGCAGGTTTGTCTCAGTAGTCTAGTCTGTAACTCTGCATTAGACTGGGCTTGAAATATTCTGTTAGTCATTAATGTAAAATACATGCTTAAAACCAAAATTTCAGTGTAATGGTTTTCAAATATGAGGATAAGACACTGACCCAAAAAAAAATTGGAAGAAGATAATTTTTCCTAAACTTTTGAACTTTTGTCAGAAGATATTGGAACCTACACCCTGCTGAAGTGCTCTGTACTTGGAGGATTAGAGGGCATAGATTCATCAAAACAAAGTCTCTTTTGAAGTATGTTTGAAGTATGTTGGTTTTAGTTCTCACTTACATATTGAAGTATGTTTGAAGTCTCACATATGTGTTAAAATATGGTTGCAGGGGTGCATGATTCCTTCTGGACTCATGCATGTGATGTGGACCAAATGAACAAGATACTTGGGGAAAAATTTGTGGAGCTTTATAGCATGCCGATACTTGAAAATGTAAGTGAACTGCGTCCTGTTTCCCTTCCTGAAATTGGGTCTCCTCATAAACTCAGATCTTTTTCTGGCTTGTTTAAAAGCAAGTTGGGTGGAATGACGTGTATTTGACACAATGATTTCTCAAGGCTACTTAAGTTCGTTTTGATGTCTCCTCACAAGAAGTTTAAGAACTTACGACTGCGTCTTCATTGTAGAAAACTTTTGCATTGAAAGGCTGTAGTCAGCTTCTCCCTAATTTTTACTTTATGATATAATGAAATGGTCAAACTGCTTCTAATTGTTTGAGAACTTGCATTTAGAAAGTTGCTTTACACACATTTTATATGTAGACCTGAATTAAACTATTTTTTCATTTCCATTGATATCTTGATAGCTCTGCCTCTTCCCCGTTGCTTGAAAGTTTCCAAGCATCATATCCAGCATCGACTTTTCCTCCACTCCCAGAAAGAGGCGACTTTGACTTGCAACAGGTTCTAGAATCTCCATACTTTTTCAACTGAATTTCCAGTCATGAGCAGCGATGATAACATGTGGAAAGCTTTGTCACTTGTATCATATGCACCCCCAAATTGACCAAGAAGCTTTGTTAAGAGTTCATTTGGATAGGGGCAGCAAGTTGAACTGGGAAACAGAAGCCTAAAAGGTTCCTTCTGTGAAAAGTGAAAGGACAAATTTTGATTCCCATGGTCAACAAGTCTGTGATTCTGATAGGGTGGTGATCATCTTCAGTGTTAATGATCTGGCTCTATTTAGAAGCGACCAGTGTACGGTAAAGGAGACGCTTCTATTAAAATTCAAAGATGTTTAGAAGTTCTCTAATGTGGAACAATTTTTTCGGTGGCAAGAGAGGTAGACAGAAGGCGGCAAGGCCGTTGGAGCTAATTTTGTGGAGTTCATCTAAATGGTGCAAAAATCATGTATTGTTTCTTTTCTAATATGTTTAATTTTTAAAAGGGAAAAGTCATAATTTCATTAACCCAAACAGATCAATACATATTTAAAAGGTATAGCCGGGCGGTTAAGCTCGGTCTTTTAATTTTATTTAAAAATAAATCGTATAGCCAATAGTATAGCCGCGCTAGTAAACACGGTCTTTTAAATTTTATTTAAAAAGAAATAGTATAGCCGTGTGGCTATACTTGGTAATGTTGGCTATACTCG